AGAGAGAGAGAGAGAAGAAAAAAAAAAAGAAGAAAAAAAAAGGAAAGGGAAACCCACAAGCGTTTCGAGCGCTCATCGGCGCGGCCCCGTCACCCCGTCCAGGCACGACAAGTCCATTTGCCGCACGGCACTCGGCTCTTGGCGTCCACCCCTGCGTTGCGTCAGGCATCAACCTTGCATATCTATGAGTGGGATATCACTCTGCCAGGGAAAGGAACAAAAAAAAAGGGGGGGCGGGAATGCTAAAGCACGCACTAGCGTATTTGGTTGCAATGGAAAGCCACTCATGGCATCACCCATCACGTATATAGCTAACAGCTAAGGTTCGTTATCCCTGATGGGTGTCGATGGTGAGCGAAGGCCCTAGCACCAGGGAACATGTCCCAGCCACATGGCCATCTCTACTAGCCCTAGATAGGAAAGGTTCTATGACCCAATGACACAAACAAGTCAATCAGCTGGCAAGGACATGGAGCCATCATGAATACAGATTATTTAAATGTCTAGCCATAGTAGGCCGCTTTATTGCATTACACCTTGGCATCTACACCCCAACGGGCCGAAAACGTCCAAAGGCAAAAAGTGCGGTATCCGCTGGTATCTAGGCAGCCAAGCGCCACAACCAAAATACAAAAAGAAAAGACCAAAGGGATAAAAGCATGAAAGCCAAATAGTTACATTAGAAGGAGAAGACGTCATCAACATTTCGTAGACCTCCGCCCGTCATCGACAAGGCAGCGAGGATGTCATGGGGATTGCCGTCAACAAGCCCCTTAGGCCCGGGAGGCGCCGGTGGTCTCGGCGTGGTCGGCGCCGTGGTCGCTGCTGGCCTCGGCGCCAGTCTTCTCGTGGGCGGCCGACTCGGCGCCGGCGCGGTGCCTGAAGTCGCCCGTGGGCTCCCAGTCGACCGACTTGGGGGCCGAATTGCACTCCGAGTACATCATGTCGACCTCCTCGAGCGAGAGGCCCTTGGTCTCGTAGATGAAGAAGTAGACAAAGGCGATGCACAGGAAGCAGCAGGCGAACCAGACGAAGAAGATCTTGGACTGCAGGTTGGCGTAGCCGGCGCCGTAGTTGACCAGGTAGGGGGTCGAGTAGGCGATGGCCCAGTTTAGCAGCCACTATAGTTCGTGCAGAGGTTAGCAAGTGTGCCCAGCCGCTGGGGGGTAGTAATCTTGTTGACAGAGATGCAATACTTACGTTGGTGGCGGTGGTGATGGACAGGCCCTTGGCGCGGTGCTTGAGCGGGAAGATCTCGCCCGTAACGACCCAGGCGAGAGGGCCCCAGGTGGAGGCGAAGAAGAAGATGTAGATGCAGACAAAGGCGACGCCGGCCTTCTGGGCATCCGCGTTGAAGACGATGATCTTGCCCTCGGCGTCCTGGCCCGTGGTCAGGGTTCCAAGCATCGCAACGAGGAACTGGCTGACAGTCATGCCGATGGCACCACCAAGTAGCAGAGCGCGGCGGCCCAGCCTGTCGACGGCCCAGAGACCGGGGAGGGTCGAGACGACGTTGATGACCGAGGTGATCATGGAGATGACGAATGGCTGGTTGAGACCCGAGTTCTCAAAGTACTTGGTGCCATAGTAGAAGATGAAGTTGACGCCCGTCAGCTGCTGCAGAGCCTGGAGACCCATGCCGGTGAGCTGGCGCTTGAGCATGGGGCCGCTGAAGCAGTCGAGGTAGCTGGCGCTGCCGAGGCTCATCTCGAAGTCGTGGTTGGCCTTGATCTCGGCGATCTCGTCGTCGACAGCGGGGTGGTCCGCCGGCAGGCGGCGGAGCTTGCCGAGAGAAGCCTTGGCCTCCTCGACCTTGCCCTTCTTGATGAGGAAACGCGGGGTGTCGGGCAGGAGAAGCATGCCGACGATGAGGATGATGGACCAGGCGAACTGCACGGCGATGGGGATGCGGTACGAGCCCGTGTCGGTGTGCAGATGCGTCGCGTTGTTGACGACGGCGGCGAGGAGCAGGCCGATGGTGATGGACAGCTGGTAGGCGCCGACGATTGCACCGCGGATCCACTTGGGAGCCGTCTCGGACTGGTACAGGGGGATGAGGGCAGAAATCAGACCGACGCCGAGACCGGCGAAGAAGCGGCCGGCAAGGAAGAGTGGCAGAGAGGTGGCGGCAGTCTGGAGGATGACACCCAGGTTGAAGACCCAGGAAGAGGCGATCAGGGCCCAGCGACGGCCGATGGTATCGGCAAACAGAGGCGAGAGGAGAGCACCGAAGAAGGTGCCGGCAGAGAGGATCGACACGACGGCGGCCTCCTCGGAAGGAGAGACGCCGGGGTTGCCCTTGGCGTCCACCCAGCCAGTGGAGAACTGCTTCTTCCAGAAGTCCATGGCCAGAATACCGCTGATGGTGCCCGTGTCATAGCCGAACAGGACACCGCCGAAGGCAACGAAGGCACCGACGGCGATGGCGGGCCAGGCCGAGCCGGCCTCGTTCTCCGGCCGCTTCACGACAGCGCGGACCATGGTGTGTGCGTGAGGTGAGACAACAGTAGTGGATGATGTGATATGACCCGAACAATGAGGTCAAGAGATGACTGCCCAGTAGATTGGGGATGTGATGTGTTTGGAATGGTTGGGGGGAATGCAGAAGGACCTGGGGAACCTTGCTATTTGTATCTGGCCCGACAACCCAACTCCAGACCTGTTGAAATGAGGGTTAAACTTTGCCCCAGTTCAATTTGCGGCCAACTTGGTAGCTTTGCCCCGACGGGGTCACCACGAGAGTCTCCGCGTTCAGTCGTCCCACGGGGTGGGGGCTCCACCAGCGGAGAAAGACAGGGACGGGGCCTGACAATGGGCCCGAGGCAACGCCATCAGGCATATGGCGTGAAGGGCACCTGAGTCCGGCTGGTCAAGCACGCGAGCCGTCAGCCATACTTCTGCAGCGGCGCTCCCGGCTCAACCTACCCCCAAAGGGCCTTTCCTTCGGCTTCTGGCGTCCAGATACATTCTAAACAATCTTCCGCCATGTCTCAACAGCCACTAGACTCCGGACTGTGCACCAACGCCGTGGCTTCCGCTAGCCTTGGAGGCCTGTTGGGGAAGACGCCACGGGAAGCTAGTCACTCCTTGCCTAATAAGAAGTAACTCTGCGCTTCTAGCGTGGTGTGATGCAACCTAGAGGCAAGCCAGAGTGCGAGGCGACACGGGAAAGACACAGCGCCACCAGCGCCAGCGATGTCGCTCTTCTCCATTGTTGCGGGAAATCCTGGAGAGCCTCGTGGCTTGGGGTGTGGGTGTGTCCTAGCGCCGTTCCCCACAACGACGCGGTGCTGGCAGGAGAGCGCTGTTTGGAGTAGGGCCGAATGCAAGCATGCGACCAAGAGAATCAGCCGCTTCCATGATTGGGCGGTGGGGCCAGCCGCGGCCCTCGCTCTCTGTTCTCCTTGCTGCCTTGCGTCCTGCCAGAGAGGATCGGAAGAGGCGGAGAGCTGGAGCAGGCGGGGTCGCCCCCTGGGAGCAGACACCCTGCCAGACGCCCTGAGTCGCGCCGACGCCAGCCTGTGAGCTTTTCCCCCAAAACCCGGACCTCATGCGGGAGCTTGGGGGGAGACGCACGCTTCATGCAGTAACCTGGCGTCGCCGGCTCGAATTGGCTCAAGAAAACGTCCGGGGGTTGGGTGGCACTGCACGCCCAAAGGACAGCACCGACACTCGCATCTGGGGAAGTTGGGGTGCGAGCGCACCCCAAGCTGAGCAGGCCATCCTCGATGTGCGGGTGGCTGGCATCATTCCAATTGCATTTGCGCCCCCCCGACTGAGCAAATTCCGCGTTAGCACCCGATGCTCACAGGGACACACCGGCCCCACACGCAACTGCCATTGGCCAAGCCCGTAGAGCAGTGGAGATCGACCGGGCCGCTTTCACGCGTCAGTCAGCGTCGCGCTCCTTCTTGCCCGCCAGCAAGCCGTCCGTCCAACAAATCACCAAAAAGACCGGAAGGATGTTTCAACATAATTGCCCGAAGCGGCACGTAGTGCACGAGCCATTTTTTTCTCCCTCTCGCTTACAGAATTTATCTGACGACAAACGATAAAAACGCCGACAGGATGGTCATGAAAGGGTGACAGTTGGTCACGCACGCGCAAGGGCATGATGTCATGGGCCCTGCCGGCCTTCGGGCCTTTATGCTTGCCTCGTCGCTTGCGGCCTCGAGCCGCCCCACTATGGTCCCCACTTAGCAGGGCCCGTTTCGTCTTTTTGGGTGGGGGGGGGGACATCAGGGCATCTCGCGAGCCAGTCTGGTGGAAGACATGGGAACCCGAAGAAAAAAAAAATTGCTCTCCTTTTGCTTGAATGATTCCCATTCAGGGGCTCGCCCCGTTACCGAGGCCGCCGAAACGGGGCCCCGAGACCCCGGTGGTGACTCCCGGAATGAGCCGTCGACATCTGGAATGCTCCGTCGGCCACGAGACTGAAATACCACGCCGCTGTGGGCTGGATCGCTTACTGTACGTGCCGGCATTCCCGTCCGCACCTCGGCACATCTTCTATCCCGTCGCCATGTCCGGCCTCGGCCTGCAGGTGACTCTTTCCTGGTCTAGGCCTCTCGGTCTGTAACTTGGCTGGCCAGTGAAGGGAAAATCTCCCTCCCCCCAAAATAGCGTCAACACAAGCCTCTGTCCCACCCCGTTCAATATCGCCAAGAGTCGAGGCACAAAGGGTCTACCACCAGTCTGGTCTCTGTCCCCCAAACTTTTTTCTCATTGGATTTTACTTGGTGGGTATTCATTCTTCCACCGCGATTAATGGGTGGATCGTCCCAGCGGCCGCTGTCGCCGAAATCCCCAACCCCACGCAAACCCACCACGGTCTGCTCAGCTGACCACCAACGTTCCCGTTTTCAGGTGGCGTGTGCTTTCATGGCTGTGTCTGTCGTCTGCTTGGTCAAGCCTGTAGCTTGAGCTTGGAAATGGCGGTACGATTTTTTGTAATTGTAGGACAGGCGCGCGCATGAACAATTTACTCTTTCGTGTCGTTCTTCCACTTTGACACCCAAAGTCTTACAAGTATCATCATTCTCGCGTGTACCCAACTCCACAGCCCTCAAGAATTGATCCTTTGATGCAAAACCAACATCAGGTTGCATCGGTGGCTGCGTCTGGGTAGGTAGCGCCGGGTGCGTGGAATCCAACGAAGAAGCGCCGAGCTGCATATAGGAATATCACCCAGAATAAGGCAGTCGAGATGATGCTGCGAACTGTCTGCCGTTTACGAGTCGTGTTTTCTCGCCACCCTTAAACCGCTGGGACACATCCACCACACCACACCTCACTCCGCACCCGCCAGCTGCCCATCGATCGAAAAAAAAAAAATGATCCACTAATTTTTTTTCTTTTTCGGTTGGTGTTGCCCTCCCAGCGCAGTCCTTTTGCGGGGAATTAGCCCGTTCCCTGGGCCGTCTTTTGCTTTTGGATCGTCGCTCACTCGCCTATGCGCGCCGTTTCCGTTCTAGTGCTGCGAAACGTTTTTGGGGGGGTGCATTAGGGCGGGGTCGCATGCATATTCGTTGCTAGAAGAAAAGCTAGCATTTTCCACCTCGGAGCCAAATCCTTGTCTCTCACTGCCCGTACTCCTTGAAATGCCGAGATGGGCTGTCTGCCAGATCCAAGGCCAAAAAAGTCTGCTCCATAACGGGCCCGGCTCGCGGCCATGTCAGCTAAAAACAGACGTACATGGAAGGGAAGCGTTGGGGAAAGATAAGGAATCCATCTCGGCCCGACAGTCGGTCAACACAGCTGGCTGGGGCTCCAGAGTCTCCCCTGCCTTTCCCCAAAAACCCCGCATTTGATGGCCGAGACAGCACCGGCGGTGGCGGGGGGTTGGGAGTGGGAGACGGGATACAACTATGCGTGCCATGGGGTGTTGGCCGGATTGGCTAGGTCCAGACGGTTGCGACGCGCTATGTAAGTCGGCACCCTGCATCATGCCATGGGCGCAAAAGACTGGCTTGGGCGGTCGGTAGCCCCGAGTATTGGCCGGTCGCTCCGACCCGGTGCTTCAACTCCGTTCCCTCCCGAGCACGGAGGGGTTGTGGGATATTTGGCACTATCGACATGGAAAAAAAATTTACCCCCAAAATCGAGATAACGCTACAGCCTCAGATGAAATCCTTGACGCCATCCCAGAACGCCGCGGCATCCTCGAACATGGGCAGGTGCCCTGTTTTCGGTACAACCCTGAGCTCGACCCCGTCTTTGCCAACGAGCCCCTTGAATCCATCCATGGCCTTGACCAGCGCGCCCTTGCCGTCGCCGTCGCCTACCGCCAGGAGCCCCGGGACTTTGCACTCGGGCAGCCGCGGCTTGAGGTCATAATCCCAGAGCGCCTGGCAGCTGTACTTGAATCCGCCCACGTCGTTTGCCGCCACCATTTCCGTCATGCTGCTCGCAAGCGCGGCCTTTTTGGTCATTGTGTCGGGGTGGAACCACCTCGAGACCGTCAGGCCCGCCAGCGTCTTGATCCCTCCGGCCTCGGGTGACTCGACCATCGTGATGCGCTCCTTCCAGGCCGCCGTGTTTGCCGCGCTCGACGTCGCGTTGCAGTCGCAGGCCACGAATCGCTCCAGCAGTTCCGGGTGGCGCAGCGCGAACTCGAGCGTTGTAGCGCCGCCCATGGAGACACCGACAAGTGTGTGAAGTTTCGGGATGCGAAGCGCCCTTACCACGCTCGCTAGGTCATCGGCCAGCCTTGCCAGAGTAGCGGGGATTTCCGGCGTTCCAGCGTGCCGGCCGCGCGTGTCGTACCGCAGGATGCGCAGATCCGGACGCTGGGACTTGATGATTGACACGAGCTCGTCCCACATGTGGAGCGAGGTCAAGAGCGAGTTGCAGAAGGCGACGGTCGGGGCCGTGGGGGACGGATTGCCCTCGAGACGATAGGGGATGCCGAGGCCGTCCGCTGCAGCGACGAATGATGTGATAGCTGCTACTGCTGGCTCGCCAGCCTCGGTGCGCGTTGTGCCGTCTGCCGTGCTGAACGACCTGACTGGCGGCAGGGCGGACAGATGGGTGAGATCGCGAGGCGCAGGGCCAAAGATGTAAAAGAGCTCGTATCTGCGCTGATTCGAATCTTTGATTCCCTTCCCGACTTTCAAGGTCCGAGGCGTCGACTCGGCAGCTGCTTGCTCCGGCCCGCCTAGGCCGTTCTCTTTTGCGAACTCGTTAAAAGTCAATAGATTCGGGGCTCCACTGCCGCCCTCAATCGTCGAGGTGCGGTAGACGCGGGTGCGCAACCACCCCGGTATTTTGGAGACCATCTCGAGATGTTCTTCCTTCAACCAACTGATGATGTCCTTTTCCGCCTCCGCGCCAAAAGTCGTAATGTCGACCGACACAAGCACACGGCCCTCCGCTTCTGCACCTGAAAGCTTCTCGGGCGGAACGAACTCTGCAGCTTGGCGTGACAAGACGAGGTCGAGGAAAGAGCGGACAACGTCGACCTGTCCGATTGTTTCAGCCTCTCGCGGAGACCGATTCTCGCGGAGACTTGTGTAGGTGGGCGTGGTCAAGTGGGACATGGAGGTGACATCATAGCTGGCGAGGAAGGTTGGCTCGGCTGCGTCGGCTGCGCGGTACCGCAGACCGTTGGTGAAGATCTGGGGAAGCCGCAGGCGAGTTGGGCCGTGCTCGTTGTTGTACCACTCGTGGAATTGGTCGAGCGACAGGCCGGGCTTAGGCTGCATGGTAACATACAGCATCCCAGGGGTCGACATGGCGGGCAGAAGGTGGAACAGTGGACTGTGGGCTGCGGAGAAGGCCAAGGGCTAATCAGCGATGTGATGAATGGTGAAAGAAGTGCTCATGGTTGAGTCGTGTCGGAGAGCGATGTCGATGCTTTTCAATCTGGACATTGCCAGGGGCATCTGCCGTGGGCCTGGGATGCCATGGTAGCGGGGGGGCTCTCGATGCTCCATTTACTGATGCTTTGCCGTTAATCGGTCCTGGATAGGTAATGCTTCGGCAGAGTTTAGCTGTGCCGAGATGGAGTTTGGTCTCGGCAGCGAACCCCCGCGCTGAAGGAAAAGCGTTTCCCCGGAACCGGGATTTGCAGAGGCCGCGCGTCACGTGTCAGGCGGACCTGGACCCTGTGCATATGAGAAACAGTCAAGTTGCACACCAATAATCACACACCGTATGAAAAAAATAAATGATACTCAAAAAAGGGACTGCGAATTTGAGCGTTTTCAGCAACCACACCAAGTAAAATAAATGTAAAAAAAATCGAATAAAGGAAATTGAAGGTTAAAACAATACATTCCCTTTTTTAACCCGACTTTTTTTCGCTGTCGTGTTGTAATGCTAAAGCATTGAAAATGGTGAGGTGGTTGTGGTTGTTTCCCGTTTTTGGTGGTCATGGGCGATTTTGTGAGGATCATTTATTTGTTTCATTCGGTGTCACAGTAGCTGCCCGGTGGATGGCATCCTCGCCTTAATGGAATAAGAGCTGGGCAATGGGATGGTTGTGTGCAAAAAAACAGGAGATCACCAGCAAGGCACAGCTTGTCATGGCCCGTGCTTTTGCATGCTTGTGATTGACTCCACTTTGGATCCCACCACCAGCGCCATTCGCCGGAGCCGCTTGGGGGGGGACTGGGGTGCTCGCGCGATAGAGAACATCAACCGCCTAGCGCTTCCATTTGAGCTTCCCGTCATCCAAGCAACGAATCTCAGCCGCCCAAGGTTGGGCTCCTCCAGTTGGAGCCTTCATCCAGAGTATTGGAAGCGCTTTCCGGCAGGTAGAGGGCACGAAGGTATGCGCGTTTGCGATAGCCTTGATCCGCTCCAGTCTCTGTGCCCCTCACTTCTCGTCACGAAGCGAACATGCGCTTCCCCGCAGTCGTCACCCGAAGCTCTGTCGCCTAATTTTAACCCGGGAGCTCGATTGGCCTCCACCACACCTCTGGAGGGCCCCGTCGCTTCTTGGGGCGTTGTGCGCCTGTAGCATCCCGCCTCGCGCTCCTTGCCTGCCTCCGGTTTCTTCCCTGGTCCGCGCCGTCCTGGGGCCATCTCTTTTGTCTTTTAATCCCTGCGGGAAGGCCCTCTTCCACCCTCCGTTTCCGCATGGGCTTCTAGGATTAACTCCTACTGTATCACTCGCCCCTGTCTTAGGATCTTCGTGGCCTACCCTCAGTTGTGTTGTCTTTTATACAACTGTCCCGTCTCTAACGCCCCAAGCCTCGGTTCCGTTTGTCCTACCGCGAGTCCAACCCCAAAATCTTCTCCCGGAGAGTCAGCCGGAATCTAATATCCATAGGCGTGCCGATTGACATCTGCTAAAACCCAGGTCCCTCTGTTTGGTCAGGTTTCCAGAATGGAGGTCTTCATGCACGGTCTGCCAGACCACCAACTCTCATCCCGGACCGTCGAGGTGCAGTTGATGCAATACATGAAGCCGCTTGGTATCCACCGGGAGGACTTCACCTGCGAAAAAAGTCCATCGAGGCGCATCGCCCACGTCACCTTTTGGCGCCGCAGCGACGCCGAAAAGTTCCTCCTCCGGCACAGCGAGATCGACCCCACAACGGGCAAGCCACCGACGCAGCCCTTTGTCCCGCCTGGTAACAGCCGCCGCACCAAGGGCCCCTCCCGTCACCAGGGGCCGAGGCTGAAAGCAAGACTGCACATTCTCGGAGCTCCAGTCTGGTGCAGGGCGAGTGATAGAGCTGTCGACGAAATTACTCTCCGCGGAATCACGCACGATGCCGAGACCGCAAGGCTTGCAGAGAAGGAGCGCGCGGCAAATGGTGCCAATGATCATAGGGATCAGTCTGTCGATTTCAATATGCGCAGCTTCAGCTGCGGCCATTATGCCTACGTTGAGAGAGACCTGACATTCTTCCCAGAACAAGAGGTTAGTCATGTGGTCGCGGCCCCCTCGTCGCACTGGTTCAGTGTGGAATGCGGCCGTCTCCGTCGTGCTCGCTCCAGCAAATGTTTCAATGCTAACCCAGACTTTCCGTGATAGTGGCCGCAGCAGGGCAGTGCCAGATTCACCAAGCTCAACCTGACGGTGACCTTGAATGATGGGGTCCATATGCGAATCCCACTCAGTTCGATTCACGAGATTGTCTGGTCTCCGAGCGGACTCCTGACTTTAACTCTCGTCGATGTGCCGTACTTCTTCACTCGAGAGTGTACTATCGTCGAAGCGTTGGCTCGGCTTAAACTTTCCGGCAGTCGAAACCAACAGGACAAGATCAACAGGATGATTGCCCTAGACGAAGCGCACGCAAAGATCGTCGGGATCTGCTTGATCTACCAGTTCCATGTTGTGGACCACGGCCTGCAGCAAAAGATTTCCAAGCTCGAGCGACGGAACTTTACGACTGTCACGCGGTACAACCTGCTAACATCAAGGCAGCCCCACCCAACATTGGGGGACTTCCAGTTCCAATACGAGCTATTCAGGCAGGACTTGGACAGTGCGACGACGGATCGCAGCGTCTCGTTCGACGTTCTATTTGTCCTCCAGGCGCTCCTGTTCAACGCCTACATGCACCCTTGCCTTCTCCGAGAAATTCTGTGCGACTTGCGCCGTCGCCACAAGGCTGACACGCTCGCTGGCAGGAAACCCATATCCGCCGCTGCGGTGAAGGCCCTGATGGAGAGCACTGACTTCCCGGCTCCCTACGGAGACCCCAGTCACTTCGAGCTGGCTTCCATCATGGAATGGGTCTCAGAGAAACATGTTGAGATGGAGAGCGGATATGCCTTGCGCTTTGGTGAGGTTCAAAGCCCCAACCTCACCAACATATTTCGCGCTGTCGTCACCCCCACGAGGATCACCCTGCACGGGCCCGAGGTCGAAACCAAGAACCGTGTTCTTCGCAAGCACCCCGGACACCAGGACTACTTTCTACGAGTTCAGTTCTGCGACGAAGGCAGTCGAGATCTGAGATTTGAGACAGGGGTTTCTGTGGAGAGGGTCTACCAGCGGTTCAAGGATGTATTACTAAGTGGCATCCGACTCCCTGGAAGGATCTACAACTTCCTTGGCTTCTCCCATTCCTCACTGCGGACCAGTTCTGTCTGGTTCTGTGCAGCGTTCCGCGACAAGGAAACCGGCAAACTTGTCAATCACAAGAGTATCATCGAGGGCTTGGGGGAATTCGGGCACATCAGGTGCCCTGCCAAGCTTGCAGCCAGGATTGGCCAGGCCTTCTCCGAAACGCCCTCGGTTGTTCCTCTCAGCGGCTACAGCGACATCCTCATCAAACACGTCCCCGATATCTACAGTGCTGATGGACGCAGGTGCTTCAGCGACGGCGTCGGCTCTGTCTCGGAGGAGATGATGCGTATCATCTGGGCTCATGTACCCATGAAGAAGAACGCCCCAACCTGCTTCCAGATCAGACACGCAGGATGTAAGGGCATGCTGGCGCTTGATACCACTCTCTCTGGCAAAATCATATACTTCAGGGACTCCATGAAGAAGTTTGACAGCATCGACCAGGAGGACCTGGAGATCTGCGATACCGGTTCCAAGGCCATTCCGTTGGTGCTCAACCGCCAGATGATCAAAATTCTCGAGGACATGGGAGCGGATCACAAGTGGTTTCTGAAGCTTCAAAGCTACCGCCTGAAAGAGCTGCAGGCCGTCACTGCGAATGCCTACAACGTTCAGACCTTCCTGCACACTGCGAACGTCGGCCAGCCCATCAGCCTCGGCAAGTTCATCTACTGGGCTCACCTCAACGGCATGGACTACAAGAAGGACCCTTTCCTTCGTGGTGTCGTGGAGGCTCTGGTTCTTCAAGAGCTTCGCCTGCTCAAGCACAAGGCGCGCATTCCCGTGTCGAAAGGAAAGACCCTTTTCGGCCTCATCGACGAGACTGGACTGCTCCGCGAGGGCCAGGTCTATGTCACTTTCGCATCCGAGAAAATTCCCGGCTTCCAAAAGCCACCGCGCCATAGTCAGTCGGTTATTGTCACGCGATCCCCGGCGCTTCACCCGGGAGACATCCAAATCGTGACGAACATCATTCCGCCCCCTGATCATCCGCTTGCCGCGCATCGGAACAGCATTTTCTTCAGCCGACATGGTTCTAGGGATCTCCCTAGCATGCTCAGCGGAGGCGACCTAGATGGCGATATCTACAACATCATTTGGGACAAGGAAGTCCTTCCCAAGCAGAGGTTCCACCCTGCAGACTACTCCAACGCTCCTCCTCAGGACATTGGACGACCTGTAGAGCGCGAGGATATTGTACAGCACTTTGTGGATTTCATGAAGAACGACAACCTTGGAGCCATCGCAACTCGGCATATGATCTTGGCAGACCAGATGGTGGAAGGAACACTGCACCCAGACTGCCAGAAACTTGCCGAGCTTCACTCTACTGCCGTTGACTTCTCCAAGACTGGCATCCCAGTGGATATGAAGGAGCTTCCACGGACAAACAGATTCCGCCCAGACTTGTGAGTGATTGCCCGAGACTGCTTTTTTGTCTCCCGAACCTCGACTGATCCAATGTTTACGTTGCCACAGTCTCTCTCCTGGCCCCATTGCCAATCTTCACGATAAGGACGAGATTCTCATGGAGCAGTACCGCGCTCCAGACCCTGAAGAGGAGCTTGAGCACGGTGAGCCGCCGCGCTTTAAATACTACAAGTCGGGGAAGATTCTGGGGAAGCTGTATCGTGAAGTGGATGAGGAGAAGATCTGGCGAAATGATGTCCATCGGCGTGTCGCTGCGAGCGGCCCGTCTTTCTGGGAAACATTCTTGAACCTGATCTTGGACAGGGCCGCGGCGGTCGGTGCCATGAGCTGGCCGGTGCGTGTGGATGAAGCCAGGCGTATCAAGGGCGCATACGACGACGCCATCTACGGCCACATGTGCAAGTTCTCAGACCATCCTGTTCAGCCAATCTCGGAACTCGAGGTCTTTATCGGACACATCCACAACAAGACCGGGCCGCAAACGCACCGCCAGCGCGACTCCAGCCACAAGCTGCGCGATGCTTTTGATCGCACGGCGGCTTATTTCACGAAACAAATGCGCCGAGGAAGTGCCAGCCTGGCTCCTGACCAAGATGGAGACGATGACGACGAGCCAGCCCCACTCACTGGGTATTTGCTGGAGCTCGGTCCTACGGCTGCGCTGGATTTGTGTCTGGCCTGCGTTTGTGTCAGCTCTTTGCACGACTGCCCTTTCCTGGCAGATCTCGTGCCCGGCGCGAAGCCTACCCCACGGCGCAAACGTGGTGACAGCAATGATGATGGCGGGTTGAAGAGCTTCCGTGTCGTGGCGGCTACGGCGCTTATGAAGGAGCTCAGGATTCTGGAGGCGACTCTGATGGGCATCGGAGAGGATGGGAGTGTAAGGGGAGGCGGCGGCTTCGTGGGCGTCTCTGGCTGATACTCCTTAGGCTTGGTGCAGCGCCCCGTGGGCGCATTTTTGGCTGCACCCAAATATCTTTCATTTTGTCATGCTATACTTGTACAACCATGTACATGTTAGCTGTTACTTTGGGGTCTTTCTGGGGATGGAATATTGCCGCCATGGAGCTTCGGTGTCGTGGGTGACGGAACCTCGCGGCTTCTGAGCTCTTCTTTTTACTTGGGATGATCTGGTGCGCGCACTGTGGCGAAGTCAAGCCTGACGATTTCCGCTGTGTCATGTTGGCGAGCAGAGTATAATTCAATGATGAAAGTTCTGTATCCTGTTCAAATATGTGTAAACTGTTGCGAGAACGGCAGGTCAGTAAACCTGAGATGGCTGAAGGCAAAGGGATTTTTTTTGGGAGCTTATTAGACGAATATCCTTTTCGCAGTCCATGCGCCATTGTGGAGCCTCACCAAGCACTATCCAAGACGCTGTCGTAAACGGTCGAGTACTGCCACCCCGGCGCCAGGGCGAAGAATATGCCCAGGACCCAGACGTATCCCAACATGCGCCGCCAGGCGGGGACTGGGGCGCCCCGCCGCCGGCCGCCGGCGCCTGAGAAGAAGAACCGTCCGGCCACTGTCTCCAGCAAGCACAGCGCCCAGTTGAGCAGGAAGAAGCGGGCCTGCTCGAACGCGTGGCTCCGTCCGGTCAGCACCCAGCCCGTGGCGGCGTGGCAGAGGCTGGACGAGAAGAAGATCCAGCCCGCGGCCAGCATCTTGTCCGCCATGGCGACCACGCCGCTGCCGCAGCCGGCCAGGCGCGAAAACGGCGGCGTGTAGGCCGCCAGCGTCTCGACGTGCAGGCGGTGCCAGAAGACGCCCCAGAAGCGGCGGAGCGTGTAGGCCTCTTGCGGGGCGCCGTACAGCGGCGACGACGACGCGCGGGCCGCCCACTCGTCGGGGCTTTCGGCGCGCAGGACGGCGACGTGCAGGACGGCGAGGGCCTCGCGCAGGGTGCAGAGGGCGAGGTGGGTGGCGCGGATCCAGTTCACGGCCGTGACGGCGCGCAGGCACAGCTCGCGCGCGTTGAGGGCGTCGGAGGGCGGGAGGAGGGCGCGCTTCGGAGGGGCGAAGTCGTCGAGGGTGAGGTTTAGGCCGAGGGTGGCGGTGTTGATGAGGTGGGAGGTGAGCTGATCGAGGGCATAGAAGGTTAGGAGGCGGTTGAGGGTGTGGGCGACGAAGATGGGGATGGAGTTTGGGTTGTTGGTAGGTTTGGTGGTGGTGGTGGTGGTGGTGGTGGTGGTCTTTTCGGCTGGATGGCCTGCCGCGCCCTCATTTGTCGGCGTCGGCTTGTCAGTGATGAGGGTCGTCCAAAAAACAAACATATGCCGGAGCTTCTGCGTGTCGAACAGTGTGCTTGTCGACTCGACCACGAACCCCTTCCAGAAGAGCAGGGTAAAGGTGCGCAGAAAGACGGCGATAGAGAGCATGACCAGGATAAAGGTCGGGGCCGAGTCCCGGTCTGGCTGTTGGCCCCTGATGTAGCCGGCAGCGGCGGTTCCGAGGATGCTCAGGGAGCCTAGGACGAGGCGGACATGGTCACCCGGCCGCCGGTGTGCTGCGAGATAGAAGCAACCAAATGCGGCGAGGAAGCATGTTGGCGCGGGGGACGCTATTGTGTGGTAGAGGGTGTCCATTGGAGTGGGCGAGTGGGTTATTTTCTTGGTGTGATAATTACATGCAGCATCAGGATTGACGGAAGAAGGAGCGGCGTCGATTGCATATATGCCAGCGATGCATCGCTCCGCCGTAGTTTTGTCCTTCTGTCCCTTTGTAATCTCGTCAAATTTGGGGGCGACATCTTTCCAAATATCCGTTGGCATTTGCAGTGGGTGCTTCCGACTAGATGGACTTACTGGGAGCTGGAATCAATCGGTGGTCCACTGCAGGAACACGCTGCTTACTGTCGCGTGGGGAACGCCACCGGATTGCAGGACTGAGGGCTGCCGGCCCCACCATTTCATGCAGGGCCTTCCTCCAAGCCAGGGCAAGGTAATCCTTCTCGTCACGTGCCACCCGTGACTTGGTTGCCCACTGCCCCGCCCAAGCCTCCATGACGGGTTGAATGATGTGCCCTTTTTGGGAACCGCGCGGTGATACGAGGGCGGCTCCGCGTCATCAATTGGCCTTTCTGACAGGGTGCACTTAGTGTACCACATGGTAGTCTACTGCATCGGCGGGGTGGGAACGACCCATGCATAAAGAGTTTGGTGGTTCGTTCGCGAGGTGGTGGTGCAGCGTGTAATCGATCGCCGAGCACGATTGTGCCAGAATTAAGCTTAACACCACCACGTCCCGACCTAACCGGGGATTACTGTAACAGAACCAGACGGAGCAAGACGCTCGCCTCGAGACCAAGACATTTAAACCCACGGAATCTACCATGTTTGGCATCATGAAGTTTTGTATATCCCACAACCAGCATCACCCATCAACTCCATCGACCAGCTCCATCATCTTTCAACCCATTTTGTTACCCTCCCCCTGCCCCTCTTACGAACCCCAATCCCTGCCCCTGCCCCACCCCAACCCAACCCAACCCTAAACCACCCAAAATGCCCTTCATCCCCGCCATCGTCGCCGGCGTCGCCACCGTCGCGGGCGCCGCTGCTCGCATCGCGCCCACCGTCATCCGGGCCGTCGGCGCCGCCGGCCGCGTGGGCGGCAAGGTGGCCGACATCGCCAACCAGGCCCAGAACCAGCGCAGGGGCGAGGGCGGCGGCAGCGTCGGCGACTCGATGCACCTGACGCACGACGACATCGTCGGCACGGCCGGCGTGCCCGCCCTCGAGGCCCGCCTCGAGGACTCGGATAGGCGCGAGCAGCGCCGCAACCTCGTCGGCCTGTGCGGCGTGCCGCAGTACAACTTTGACATGTGCAAGGACCAGCTCGCAAAGGGCAAGCAGGTCATGAGCTCCATCCCGAGCAAGGGTGGTAAGTTTTTTTTTTTTTGTTTCTCCCTGCCGTTGATTCTTTCCAGTATCCAGTAATACTATGCACCCCGTCCATCTACTAACAAATCCGTGTCCGCCGCAGTGGCCAAGTTCGTCAACATCCCCCCGGCCTGCATGAACCTCGCCGTCGTGCTCAGCGGCTCCTGCACGGGTGAGGGCACCAGCCCGGTGCCGTGTGGGTCAGACTGCATGCAGTACACGGGGCTCAACGACCAGCAGATGATGTTCCTCTCCAAGGCCCTCCAAGGCTGATTGGTTTTCTCTCCCTTTACGACATGGAGCTCGGCAAGTCCTTTTTCCGCATCGTCTCTCCTTTTCCTTTTGATACCCAATACCTATTAGGACTCACCTTCACAGCATCTAGAACAGTGGTCTCGAGACTTTGTTACGCATCCAGCAAACCGGAAAAAAGGCGTTAGGTGGCATGGGCGGGTTTTTATTCTCTGATTTTTTCTTAGCGCGGCGTTTGGCAAATCGGTACCTTTACTCTGCCTTTGTTTTAGTCAGGCGTTTGGCGATAGTTCTTCTCTTCCATCCATCCCTCACTTTTGGCTTCGGCGTTAGGATCATGGTTCTTTATTCTTGCTTCATACACCCTTTCAGAAAGACACTGCAAATTACACGTGTGTTGAAGCACTGGTACCAACTCCACATTTGAAACATTCGAGCCCCGAATTCCATAGCATTTGCGTGTGGGGTCTTGGCTATATTCCCACTCTCTTACTCGCTCCAGATTACGGGCACTGACGTTTACCGGCTGCTCCATATCGTCAGGCGCCGCTTTCGTAGGGCGGCGCGTGGGTGAAGGACCCCGTTGTGGGGCCATCCGTATTGACGTGCCCATACGCCAGACGGGTCGGTAGGGCGAGCGTATCTCCACTCCACCTTTATGGTTCTGTGTTTACACTAGTGTTTATGCCATAGGCCATAGCCGGTGTCAGGTCGGGCCCACACAGAAGCGATGGATGCATGCGACATCGCAATTACCTCCGGCGGGGCTTAACAGACGGGCGGAGAAGGCTTTCACGGTCCTCCAGGGGCTGGCGAGATTCTCGGTGTCCGAGACGAGGGTGAGGGAGCAGATTTGGTGTTCGGGGCGCGTGGGGCGTGGAGAAGATACAGCCGACTTTGATGAGGAAGACATGTCATGAAAGTTCGGCTCGCTGGAACTCGAATGACGACGACAGCACAAGCGAGCAACCTTCGCAGCATGTGTCTTGTGTACGGATCGCTTGTTCCTATCCCGACAGGGGTCCCCATGGACGTCGAGTTGGGAGGCGTGTGATTTCCTTGGTTATATCGGGACGGAGTCAAGATTTCGTTTCAAGCGGCGTCGCACTACTTTCGGTGCCCCCTGTCAGTGTTTTTGAGCCGGCCGTCAGCCCTGTGCGAGGTATCAATATAAAAACACGTCTTGCCCGCTGTCCTTAAACCACTTGCCTTTTCCTTCCTTCTCACTACGCATTCCGATCCGAATATCTCCTACTGTTTTTCCTTATCTCCTTTCCTTTGTATTTCCTTATCTCTCATCGCAATCAGTTTCTCCGTCTCATCCAGACCAAGGCCACCACCCAAAATGCATGTCACCAAGATTGTCCAGGCTGCCGCCCTCCTCACCGCCGGCGCCCGGGCTTCCTCCGCCCCCGCCTCCCAAGACAGCAGCCTCGAGGCCCGTGGGGTTGCAGCCGACATGTTCAAATTTAACTGGCATGTCCCCAAGGTCCCAACCTGGAAGGAGCTCCAGGAGCCGACCCCCCGCAACAAAAAAATCAAGGAGTCCCAGGACAAGCAGGTCGCCGCCGCCGCCGCCGCCAAAGCCGCCGCCGCCGAGGGCAAGAAGGCAACCCGCCGCTCAGTGGACCGCAGCCTCGAGGCCCGTGGGGTTGCAGCCGACATGTTCAAATTCAACTGGCATATTCCCAAGGTCCCAACCTGGAAGGAGCTCCAGGAGCCGACCCCTCGCAACAAAAAAATCAAGGAGTCCCAGGACAAGCAGGTCGCCGCCGCCAAAGCCAAAGCCGCCGCCGCCGCCGAGGGCACGAAGGCCACCGAGGAAAAGAAGCCCACCCGCCGCTCCATCGAAAGCGACGAGGAGTCCAAGCAAGAGGAGGGCGTCGAGGTCAAGCGCGGGGTGGCCTGGTCCGCGTGAGAGGGGCCCTCTCCACGTGGGATTTTCCTTCCTCCTGCGACCGCAGGATTTGTATGTCTGGTGTTCTGTTAGATCCATTTATCCGTCCAGGGGAACGCAGCGGCGCGAGCCTGGTATCTGAGCTAGTTGTAATTGTTGTGGCAGCTTGGAGCCTGAGATTCTGACAGAATAAAAGACCTTGGTCAAACCTTTGTGCCGAATTCATGGTGGGAAGCCCAGTGCTGCTTTAGTATCGCCTGACACCAACCAGTTGGTCTGGAGCACACTCTTTTCTTCCCCCTCTCTGCCTGCCTGGTGAGCATGTGCATGGGTAAGCCCAAGCAGTCATGGCGCGGTTGTTTTTATGGACTATACACCGTCCCGGAAATGTACTTGGGTGGCAAAGGACCAGCAGCTTGGGTTCGGGCCCAGGTCTAATCGGGATTGAGCTCCAGTGGAAGCAGCCGAGGCTGTGGTTAGATCCCCGTCTGGATTCTGCCTGTCCCGCCGTGCGCAGGAAGCCCGGCCGCGCGGAAGACAAGATAGCCCCGAGATATGACCCGCCCACCGCAAGCGGCGGCGCTCTCACAGCCGGTACATCGCAACGCCAGGATCCCAGTTGAGTCGCCTCCGACAGGAGGTCTTGCTGTGGTACCAAAAGCATGAGGAACAAGAGCTGGCAGCCCGGAGCTCGGAAATCTCCAGGCTGTAAAGGGTGTCGAGGTCTGGGTTTTCCTGTTAACTTCGCTTGACAACGGGCCTCCCACTGGGCGCGGGGCGCGGGATTGGAGGATGTTGTTGACCATGTCGATCGTCCAGCAAATGTTCGCCCGGGGCGGTGCTGCTCAGGACCTTGCCGCGCCAGGGCCTGGTACCCGTAGGACGACTGCATGGCCAAGGCCACGGTCTACTCGACCCTCCTCGGCCTGCCGGTGGCGGCGTTGAGGCGGCCGAATATCTGGGTCCATGATGGACACGCTCCAGCCCGCCTGCAGCAGGACGCGGCCGCTGCAGGCGTGGTGAAAGCTGATGCCGTAGGACACCATGGCCGTCGACGCGACGAGGCCATCGATGCTGGGAGGTCTAACAGCTGGACCTGAGCTTTATGAGCTCCCGCACCGCCTCCATCTGCGTCGTCGTCACGCCCCCTCCCCGAACGCGTCCCGGGCCGGAGTCAGGACTGAATAGGCCGCGGCGGAGCAAAACTCGGCGGCTGTGGCGGTGGAAAGTTGTCGCCCAGCTCCTCGGTGCAACCCGAGGCGGGAACAGGAACAGGACGTACATGTTGAATCAGGGCTGCCGCTGCATGTGCCGTAGCAGCTCGAGGCCGACGGCGTCCATGAGCTTCGTCGCTGGCGCGCAGGCTTTTGTGGCTCCGGCGCGGGCGCATTCCGGATCTCGTCGTGCGCCGAGGGCCCGACGAAGCGTCGCACGATCTAGTTGACGCTGCGATGGTAGTGTTGGTCTCGGCGGACGACGCGGTTCGAGCTCCTCGATGCTGGGGCCGTCGGACGTGCCGTTGCGGATAAAGGTCTGAGATCCCTGGTAAAACTATTATGAGCTGCCTCGTTGAAGCTCCCAAGTTTGCAACTTTATACCTCCCATCCGCCCTCGCCAATACACTTCGCTCATCTAAGTACCAGACTCCAATGGCCAGGCCATATAACACGATTTCGGGTGCGCCGCTTATTTAATAGGCAATATGGTTTACCTGAAACAGAGCTTTGTGCTTTTACAGCACTGCCAATATTTGCTGCGGTTTTCGTCTGTCATAGCTTTACATTCGTTTACTGTACAGGAGGAGGTACCGCATAAGAAGGAGGAACAATACCTACGTATGGGGGCAGAAATGTTGGACCGGGAATGGTGGGGTTGAATGCGGGAAATGACGCGGCGTTGCTGGTAGTTCTTGCTGAGAGCGTTGGCGGCGAGCTGACTGGAAACGGCTTTGCAGTCATGGGGTAGAGGGGGAGCACATCTCGATTTATTTGACCTTTTCGGCCTACAGGCCGCAAGGAATAGCCTCTCCTCTAACTATCTAGTGCTGGAAACCCCAACCCTCCGGTTTGATGGCCGCTTGATGAGGTGGTGAAAATAGATCCCGTCGAGCCGCGGCTCGGCTTCAGATATTCGGTGGGCCGGCGACTTGGTTCTCGAGGAACCGGCGGTAGAGGGAACGGTATGACTCCGGATACTGGGCAAAAGCCCACCTGCCAGGGTCCTGCTGCATCATGTCCCCGAGCCTGGCATCCTTCAGGTACAAAGGGGCCTTTCCCTTTCTATCCTGCCCGTACATGAGGCAGCCCTTGGCGATGAGGCGATGCTGGAGCTCGCGGAGCTCCTCCAGACGCAAAGTCGGGCAGACCCTTCCGTCATTCCTGGCAACCTGCTGCTCAAATGTGACTTGGCCTTGGTTGGCGCCTTGCGGGGCGCCCTTCTGCCACCAGGCGGTGACGCCGGCCAAGATCCGCTTCGCAGGGTCATCGATCTCCGGGCGGTTCCAGAGATAGGGCGTGGCGGGTGTGGCGGGCGTGGCCGTGCTATGGACCTCGAGGATCATGCCGCAGACGGCCTCGACGTCGTCGGCAGTCTTGAGGTGCTCGGGCAGGCGGACGGGGACGGCCTGGAGGGCAGTGACAATCATGGCCATGTGCTCGGGCATGAGGACGCTGATGTCTTGGATTGCAATGGCGATCTCGGGGTCATTTTCAATGATGCGCCGGACCATTACCTGCATTTCTTGCTGCGATAAGATGTGCTGAGAACTGCCAGGCGTGGCCGGGAGAGGCGTTATGGCCTGGTCTGCCTCGCTCATCGGCTGAGAGCCCTGCATACATTTGGTTAGTTTGAACAAGTAGGAAGCAAGTTCCAGCAGAGAGATGATACGTACCATCTGAGCATCCATCTCGCCCTTGGCTTTCATCTTGATACCGGCTTCCTTTCCGGCCTTGTCCTCCAGCTCGCTGTCATCTTCTGGCTCGCTTTCGAACCGCTTCTGCTTGCTGATCTTCATAATCTTGCCAGCTCTGGTCTTCTTGGCGACCTTCATCTTCTTGCTGGCGTTTGTCTTTTTGTCGGCTTTCATCTTCTTGTCAACAATCGTGTTGGGCATCGCTTTCCGACCAAAGTGCCTGGAGAACTGAGCAACGACTACGACCGTGAAAAAAGAGGGAGAATGGAAACAGATGAAGCGCTGATGTTGTATGACAATGGGCCTGGGCGATGACTGGAAAAGGCGGCTGAGGAAAAAAAGGGTGGAAAGGAAAAAAGAAAATTGACCGAGATCGGGGAGGAGGGGAGCATGTGGAAGAGCGTAGAAGGCAGGAAAAGTTTCTGCCCCTCCGTATCAAACCGCCCGGCCTTGAGGATGGGGAAGGCACGCTTGAGCAGGTGGTCTTTTACGGACGGGAGCCAAACCATACCTCTTTCGGTAACGGGAAAAATATGCTAGCTAACAGTTCAAAAGCAATATTTATTACGAAAGCCAGTAGATAAAAGAAAGTAGGTATCAAATTCCACGCTAACATCGAGAAGGAAGCCTAAATTGTACGTATATTCCTTTTCTGGAAACCTAATTTTTAATTGTTCTCGCTAACCGGCATGTTAGACACCCGCGAGCACGCTCAACATGTCGGCCTCTCAACCGGCGTACGAAACAGACGAGGCAATAATGCCCATGGTGCCTCTCCCGGGCTCGCTTGCCAGTCCTGATCGCCTCTCAACTGAGGAAGCGCGGGCAATGGTCGAGCGCGCCATCGAGCGCAACCCCGAACTCGCCGCTGCCGCCCAAGTCTTCCCCAAGTGCCTGCCCACGCAGCACCACATTATCTCTGCCCTCCGAGCCATCCCCGATCGCCTGCCCAAGTACCTCGAGACTGCCGAGGACGTCGCCGCCATCTGTGACAAGATCACCGAGGCATTCGGTCCAGAGCCCGACTGTATCAGGAAGAGGGCTGAGGACATCTTGCACGACATCACCACCTGGTGGCATCACGGCGCTCCGCGAAATGGCAGTTACGATGAAATTAACTACAAGCGGCAAGAAATCAGGAATCATGGAAGAGACTGCCCGACTTTGCATCCGGAGGAGGTCCTCGAGCTTCAGCATCTCACCCTAGCGACGGATTGCATCAAGTCCCCGCACAACACCAAGCAACCGACACGGAAGAAGTGTCCGCCCTTCCTGATGGCTGCCAGGATCCGCAATATCCTGAACCCCGTCCCCAAGCTGGGTCGGTTCATACACTACCCAGAGGAGTACCGCGTCCTCTACCGCGGCATCGTCGATAGCCGAGTTCCGCCCGAGCCCGTCCCGGTCGATGTCAGGGCGGGTTCAGCTGCAGGCAGGAAGCGCGGCCCCGCGGAGGCCCAAGACGCGCCCGCCAGCCGCAAGCGCCGCGGTCCTCGAGGCCGTGGTCGCGCCGCTGGGATTTGAGAGCTCTTGAGCCATCTCCCACAGGAAGCGCCATAGAGGGCCCCAAGGCCAAGTTTTTCCAAGGTTAGTCAGGCCCCAGCCAAAACCTGTCGTTGCGGACAAGTTCCGAGATCACACGCAAGACTATTGGGAGCTACCCGTGTTGGAGTTCCCAAGTTTTCAACTTGCTATGGAATCATTCCTTATATCTTCGCCAGTCCACTTTGCTAATATACGCTGCAGGTTCCAATGGCCATACCATATCCAATGGTTTCGGGCGCGCTGGGTACTTATTCAAAAGGCGATGTAGCTAGGTAGTTCAATGGAACTTTGTGCCTTTAAAGCACCGCCCAGGGATCTTTCCTGCCACTTGAGCGTGTTCCAGCCTCAGATTCACCCCCAAGACGATAGGACCGAGGCCAGCCAACTGGCACCTGCGCGTGGGTGAGGGCTTCTACGGCAACGCCAGGGACTCCCTGGCAGGGAGACTATTCATCAGATTAGACACATGGATATTGATGTGTCCTGCGCTGAGCAAGGCCATGATATGGCTGAGGGACAGCTAAGGTATCTTCTCCTCATATGGCTGACTTTTAATGTGATTATTTACTACAGGCGCATCATGCTCGAGAACTCAGTGGTAGTCGTGGTGGTGGTGATACGAAGCTCTTCGCTGCCTGAGGCATCAAATTCGGTCGTCATCACATCGCCCCCGCCTGCAACAGAAGCTGACGTGCGTCTCGCCGCACCATCTTCCCGACTACCCCAATAAGCTTGAGGCCCGGCCATCTCTCTCACGTTAAAGAGCCAGGAATATGTCGACCAGGCCAGTCAAGTCCTGCACCGAGTGCAAACAAGCCAAGGTGTGTACGTCGACTGTGCCCACGGTCGGCCACAGAAGCTGACGGTGGACGCAGCTGCGATGCGACTCCAAAGACAGGTTCCCAAGTTCCTGCTCCCGGTGCCATGCCCGACAGCTGCTGTGCACCGTGGACACTACATTCAAGAGAACGCCAGCCAGACGGTGCGTTGATGCTTTCCCTGTTTGCTTCCTGGGCAATGGCTGACGAATGAGACGGTGTACCTTGACGTCCGGCAGACGACTGCAAGCAATGAGCCAAGAGCTTCAGACTCTGCGCCGTCAGCACCAGAGCCATGACGCCGCCGACCTGGCATCTCAACCTAGATCAATCGCAGCCAAGACAGACGAGGCGGACTCGTGGGATGCCAGCCCAGATAGCCTCGTCCTGGATCCAGGAATGCTCGTTCTCGACGGCGGTGCCCAGCTTCCGGCCACCATAGCCATAGAAGCATTCACGGCGTGAGTACGGATTGAGGCGGGATTTCATGGCGAGCCGGACGGTGCAGCCTGCTGACGGCGCCTCTTGTCAAGACAGCTTCGTGAGCGTGTTCAGACCCCAGATGCCCATCCCGGGCTCCATATCTATGCGCTCAATGCACCGCTCGCAGCCGCTGCTCTTCTGGACCATCGTCCTGGTCGTCGCCACCCACTCTCCGAGCCCGGCGTTCGACGGCGTGCTCGAGCTGCTCCGGCGGCCCTACGAAGCCATGCTGCAGCGCCAAGTCCTCCAGTCACCGTTGCCGCTGCATGGAATCCAGGCCCTCCTGCTGCTCTGCCAGTGGCCCCTCCCGTGCGACAAGCAGTCCCAGGACCCCAGCTGGCTGTACTGCGGCCTCGCCGTCCACGGCGGCCGCTTCATGGGCCTCGACCGCCACCACCAAGAGCAGCAGGCGGCGGAGCCGCCACTCGCGAGCCTTGGCGTTTCTGCCGCCCATGCGCCTCGCGCCGTCCGCGTCAACACCTGGCTCGCCTGCTTTGCCGTCTCCGCATCGTATGTGCCTCTCTCTCTCCCTCTCTTCCTCCCTCTCTCCATCAGTTCGCGAACCATCTCGTGGCATGCTTCTGACAAGGCGAAAGACTCGCCATGCACTTGGGCCTGCCGCCACCTATCGACTCTGCTCTAGACCTTGCCGTTATCCATGCCGCCCTGCCATACGCCCCTGCGACCTTTGTCAGCCATGTTAAGATCCAGATGGCGGCGGTCAAGTTTCTGACACTGCTCAACCACGACATTGACAGCCCCGGCTTGTCGTCAATACTCGGCCACGCGGACTCTGAGCTCGAGGCGACCAAGAGGGAGGCGCAATCTCCCGCGATGGAAGCCGTCGATGCTGGTCTGGGGAGACTCCTCGAGTTGAACGTCCTGAGCGTCAAGATACACCTCTACGCCCTTGTACTCGCGAAACATCATCAAAACCTTACAGGCAGTTCTGCATACTCCATGATCCACGCAGTCCCGAGCAGGGCACTCGATGTCGCGATTCGGTTCATCGACCTCTCGACCTGGGATCTGCGCAACATGGGCTGCCCCGGGGACAGGCTGCCGGCTCAAGAGCATCACCTGCCGGACGCTGCTGCTCTGCGTGTCAAGCTGAAACGGCAGTGCCTGCCCAAGAACCATTTCCGGTGTCTCGCGCTGGCAACGGCAATCCTACTCAGATTCTTTCGCAAGCAGCAACAATCTTCAGACGGCAACAAGACAAATGAGCTCGGTGGCGACCTCGGGGTTTCGGTGGCGAACCGCATCGCCATGTCGCAGCGGTTCGTCAAGGCGTGCGCCGGACACGACTTGGACGAGTTTGGTCGGATGGCGACTGTCTTCGAGGCCCTAGCTACGCAGCAGCAACAGCAGCAGCAGCAGCAGCAGCAGACGGAAGGACAGGCATCCACAGGCGCCTCCAACTCGGATGCGATGACGAGCCCTCGGCTCCAAGTCACCCAGCGGATGGGGGTCTCGATCCTACTAGACTCGATAACCACATCACACCAGGTCCGTGGCAAGGCCGTCCACGTCCAGGACGAGGTGGCTTCTCTCGGCGAGACGGGACAGACCTTTAGCCAGGACACTGTCACGGCGCCGGCCCCCGACGACGGTTGGGGCCAGATGGTAGACTTTGACCCGATGTGGGGACTACCAAACGGCCCATTCTCGAGCATACTGGACATGGACCCGGCCTGGTTTGACATGGAAGACCTAAGAAACAGCCAGTACTTGTGATTGAGGGCTTTCATAACTCGATCGATCGGCTACAACCGCCTGGAAACATTAAATACTATCTGTGACTCGATAGAGACCGAACCCCAGATCACTTGACCAACACCGTTCCAAACCAGGCTACCCACCCATCACTGTGACCCGACAGCCCCGACAGCCACCGTCGGTATCTCAATATCCGCAAGCCCGAGGTGCTCTTGGGACCCGTGGACATCGTCCTCCATGAACCCGCCCGCCGCCGCGACGCTCTTTCCCCCGCCCGGGCGGCAGCGGCGCCGCGGGACGGTCACCTTGAAGGCCGCGGCGGCGTCCCAGAAGCCCATCCAGACGACATCGGTCTCGGCCACGCCCAGCGCCCCCGCGATCCTCTGCCTAGAGAGCACCCCGGAGTCCCGGACGCGGACGTAGTCGTCGCGGGAGGCGAAGATGGCGTCGAGCGTGATCTCGTAGGGCCCGGCGTTTTTGGACCGCAGGACCTGGCATAGGTCAAAGAGCGTCGTCTGTCGTGGCGACGACGACGGCGGCGGCGGCGGCGGGCAAGTTGAAGCAGCAGCCTGGGTAGCGTTGTTGGAAGAGGGACCGTCTCCGGAGCAGCCGCCGGACTGCGCGCTGCCGCCTCCGACGTCACGGCTGTGTGCTGCCACGCCGCGCGCGCCGGAATACGTCACTGCCTTTCGCGAGGGCTTCGGCGGGCCTGGGCCGAAAATGGCAACCTCTCCGCGGAAAAGAGGTGACTTTCCCTTTCCATCACCTTTCTCGTCCGCCAACGCGTGGCCACCGCCGCCGGCCATGGCTAGACGCTCTTCCCCAGGCTCCAGGTCCATGAGGTGGTAGAGCGAGAACTCGGCACAGGGACCCGCCTCGATCTCCATGAGGCCGCCGATGCCAAAGCCTAGGTTCCCCGACGTCGCCTTTTGTCCCGGATACGGAGCATGCTGTTATTGCACGCTCATTGGGATGATTAGTACTCTGTACCAGTCTCGCAGATCAAGGCCTTGTGCTCACGATCATGGCGATCCTCGCTTTCGAGACGATGCTGTTGGCCAGCTCCTGGGTCGGCGCCAGCGCCTCTGCAATGATGAAGACGGCACCGCGACTGCGGCTGCCAGTCATGAGCCCGCGGGTAGCAATGGTGGCGGCGGCGGCGGCAGCAGCAGCTTCACGCCCATAAGAGTGAAAGCCGAGCTCCCAGGCGTCTTCATTGAGGTCGGAATGCTGCGCGGCGACGTACGCTTTGACACGCGCCAGCACATCGTCCAAGATGGATATCAAAACGCCTGCGATGGGCGGAAGTGTGTGGGGGTCGCCATCAGCTTAGCACACCGAAACGGCCAGTAAAAGCGAGTAGACAACCTTGTCGAGAGAAAAACTCACGATCCTTGACGCTACCCATAGCGATAGCGCGGTATCCCACCACCCGCGCGGCCTCGAGCTTGACAGCGTAGCAGGGCCGCCCAGTACTATTACTGCCACCATCGCGGGACCGGACGAAGACGGCTCCGTCCACCCTCACCGCCCTCGCGCGCTCGCCTCCGTCTTCGCCAAGCCCCGACAACTGCCTGTACTTGGCCGCCCCCAGGCGGAGCTCGCCCCCGGGCCCGCGCAGGATGTCGGGGCGCGTGTTCTCGTACAGCGCGTGGGCGGCCACCGAGGCTGGGGTGCAGCGGGACCCGGGCGCCACGGGCATGACATCGAAGACGCCGTCGGGGTAGACGGTGGCCGTGGCGCCGGGACACTTGGGGGTGGCGCAGAGGCCGCCGCACTCCATTATCTTGCCCATGTGCAGGAAGCCGCCCATCACACGAGGGTCTATCTCGCCGTCGTCGCCGCTTCTCTTCTGGAGGAGCCGCAGCTGGTGGATGCACCAGGCGGCGTAGGGGGCAGGGTCGTACGCCCTGCCGCCGACGATGACGTCAAAGTCGGGATGTGCGCCCATGGCGTCGACAAAGGGCTCCGGCCCCATCTGGGCGACGATGCGCGGGCTGGCGTTGATGTCATCCGCTGTCGCGGGGGGCACGCAGGGCCCACACCCAACGAGGAGGCCTTGGTCGAGACGGCCCAAGACTGTCCTCTTGTCGATGCCGGCGAACAGCGAGATGGTCTTGAAGCGGTAGTTTCTAGGGAAGACCTTTCAGACACATCGCAATCAAATCACACTACCTGCGCAAAAGATGGGCGCTGAAACTCACTCGTTGCCGGCCTCGGAGCAGATCTCCCTGATGATCTCGCCCATCTCCCGCACGTGCTCGTCCGAGCCGTCGCCGCCGGCGGAAGCAAACAACAAGGGCACGTGGAACTCGTGGCACAGGCGGAGCAACCTCGATAGCTCCCGGACGTAGGCGGCGCGGGGCGACGTCATGGAGCCCATGGCCAGCTTCTGAGGCCCGCTGTCGGTCGAGCCCGAGTCCAGGATGAGGGCGGTCGGCACGCCGGTCAATGTCAGGCGCGCGAGCTCCTGCCGGGTCAGGTCCTCGTCGAAGCCATAGCCCATCATGCCTACGGGCGTGTGGATGTGGCAGAGCGGCTGCTGCTGTAAGGGGATAGCAACGTGAGCAGTCATTGTTACTCGCGAGTGGCTTGAAGGCTCCATGGGGGAACAAGAGCGACGGACGGATAGCGATAGATGATAGTACAAGAAAACGACGAGTTCCACAGTCAAGCGAACAACATTGGAGTCTTAAGTCGTCGTGATACCTGAGTCGAGCCTCGGCGGGTTCTGTTGGGCCTCATGAATCCCGCCGGGAATAGTCATCATGCTGCCGCCCCGAGGCCTGATGGAGCAACACCAAGGGGCAGAAGCCCTCGGGTCATCCCAAAAACCAGCGGCATCTTGGCTGCGTCGTCGGTCCGAATAGGTCCCCGTCGTTGCTACGGCCGAGCGGTTTTCGCATTGTTGAGCGGTTTTCGCATTATCGAGCGAAATCCGCACATCAACGTGATTGGCTGTCCAACCCGGCCCCTGCATCGCCCGGATATACACACGAATCCTACAGCGACTGGCCAGGGAAATTTGTTCAAAGTCAGCACGTCGCACTTTCGGACTCGAACTTCCTATCGTAGAGCAGGGGATACCCGAAGACTTGCATCTATGCAGACAAGTAGCTGTATCTTATCCAAGGTGGCAGTGCGGGCGAACTGCCGACACAAGGCCGAGAACCTAGATCGGCTTGTGGAAGAAGATATATATAGGTGGAACATGGACCGTTGTTGATGACTAGAATCGATAGGTAGTCAACTTCCATTTCCTGCACAAGATTAGCCCATGCACTTTTATCCACTTTGACGGTCCTTCACAACAAAACCGGCTTTGTCTTTTCGTCTACCCTATAGCCCAAAGCCCTGGACTGGACATAGCGGGCATCATGTCACAGGCGAACAGGCTTGAGCATACGCCACAGCACAACGGAGCTGCTGCCAAAATCCCCAAAGGCACCTACTCAGCTACCCCGTCCATGATGTTCGTGGAGCAGGCAGGAACATCGAGATCAGGCACCCCAGGCTCGCAACAATCAACCTCCCCGGCGCCTGATCAGCAGCATCAGCCCGAGTACTCACTGGAGCAGCCCCTGCCCCTCTTCCAGGCTGTCAGGCGCTTCCCCAAGGTGGTCATGTACTGCATGGGCATCACGCTGGCCGTCATCGGGTGGGGCTACGACCTGGCCGTCGTCGGGGCCATCCCAGCCGTCGATCCCTTCCTCGCCGACTACGGCTCCCCCAGCGATGCAACGCCCGGCGGCGAGCTCATCGTGCCGGCCCACTGGCTGTCACTCTGGCTGGCCCTGCCTCCCGTCGCCTCGGCCCTTGGCGCTGTCGTCGCCGGCTGGTTCGGCAACCGCGCCGGCCGCCGCGCCAGCCTCATGCTGGGCTGCGCCGTCTCGTCCCTCGCCGTGGCCGGCATCTTCTCGTCGAACCGGCTGCCGACGCTGGACGGGCGCAGGGCCCTCTTCACGGCCGCCATCTCGCTGCAGGGCTTCTCGGTCGGCGTGATCAAGACGACCTGCGTGACCTACGTGTCCGAGAACGCACCGACGGCGCTGCGCGGACCCGCCATGGGGCTGTTCCCGACCTTTACGCTCGTCGGGCAGCTCATCGGGGCGGCCACCGTGTTCACAATCAGCAGGAAGGCGGACAAGGGCCAGGGCGGCGCCGGATACGCCGCCGCCTTTGCGTCCCAGTGGGCCTTTGCGTTCCTCGTCTTCGCGCTGGCGTGCTTCGCGCCCGAGAGCCCCGCGCACCTGATCCGCAGGGCCACCGCCGGGAGCGCCGGGGTGATGGTGGACGAGCTCATGGAAAAGAAAGCGCTGGCGTCGTGCACGAGGTTGTTCGCGCCCGCGGTCGACGCGCGGGCCGCGCTGCGGAGCATCGCGCGCACCGTCGAGGAGGAGCAGAAGGCGGCGGCGTCTAGACGTGGCGGCGGCGGGGCCGCGACGTACGCAGCGTGCTTCCGGGGCCCGGACCTGCGGCGCACGCTGATCGTGGCGCTGGCCAGCTCGACGCCGTCCATCTTCGGGCTCGACCTGCTCTCCAACGCCAGCATCTTCCTCAAGTCGGTCGGCATGGGCTCGAGCACCAGCCTGCTGTTCATGATGGCCGGCATCGTCGCGGGCATGGCGGCCAACCTGGCGGGCATCTGGGTAGTGTCGCGCGTGGGCCGCCGGCGGCTGATACTCACGTCGTTGGCCTTTATCGCCGTGTGCTGGGGCGCCATGGGCGTTACGGGCATCTGGGGGCCTCGGTCGGTCAAGGCAGGCGACGGCGGCGGCCAGGGCGAGGCGGTCGGGAGGCTTGCCTGGGCAGCGGCGGCGTGCATGATGTCGGCGCTGGTGGCGGCGGGGCTGGGCTGCTGGCCGGCCAGCTTCGCCGTGGCGGGCGAGACGAGCTCGCTGCAGCTGCGGGCACCGACCCAGGGCGTCGGCGGCGTAGCCACGCAGGCGGCCTCGACGGCCATGGCGGTGGCGCTGCCCTTCGTCTTCGGCCCGGACGCCGCGGCGCTGGGTCTCAAGACGGGCTTCGTCATGTGTGGCGTCTCCGTCGCCGGCCTCGCGCTTCACTGGCTGTTTCTCCCCGAGATGAAAGATCGCACCATGGCGGAGCTGGACGCTATGTTTGAGATGAAGATGCCGACGAGGGAGTTCCGGCACTGGAGGGAAAGCGACGAAAGGCGGGAAGAATGACGCGGAAGCCGATGGCCAACTCTTTGCTACACAGGCGCGCAAGCTTTTGGACTTTTAGAAGTGAGAGCACCGACGAGTCGTATGTTGTCCGGTCTATTTTACGCGGCCTGCTACCCCTCACACGACCGCATGTTCGGCATCACTGCGGGAGGTCGCTTTTGCCTCCTTTCCAGAGGAGCCAGAGCCGGAGACGTGGTTTGCATCCCCCATGGGAATAGGGTGCCTGCGCTTCTTCGAAAGACGGGGAGTTACTAACACGAGTGTTGCGTTTACGGTTTCATACATGAACATGCTGACTTGATGGCTGATATGGTACCTCGACATTTTAATTCACGGCGACGAAAAGACTGGAATTGTTGCGCATATAAACCGTACGCGCTTGATTATTATAAACACAATCTGTTTAACTAGGCAGCCTTCTATAACCTTAAAAACAAGAAAAAGAAACAAGGAAAAGAGTTTAAGATCGGGAGCCTTTGCCAAGCAAACCGCGTAACCAACTTGACAACCTCGAGAACCGCGTCCTTGCGAACGCCCGAACCCCGGGAGAAGCTTCCCGATGAAGACTCTGGCCTAGGTCAACTGCTGCAAGACTGCTGGAAACGCTCTTGGCTTGCTTCGGATCGACGGAGATATCATGACTCCGACCTAGGTCAACTGCTGCAAGATTGTGGGGAACGCCCTTGGGGTTGGCGCCTCCCCGCAGCAGGACCTGCTGGCCAAGGTCAACTGCTGCAGGACTGTTGGAAACACTCTTGGCTTGCTTCGGATCGATGGAGATATCATGATTCTGGCCAGGGCCAACTGTTGCAAGATCGTGGGGAACGTCCTTAGCATAGCTCGCCTTAGCATGCCTTGGGTCGACAAAGAAATGATCGATACACGCCATGTACTCCTGCGGCAGCGCGCGATGGAGAATCTCACGCGAGGAGAACGGTTCGTACCCAAAGTCGAACCTGGCCGCGACGTCTGCACCGCTGTCCAGGAAATCCTGGATGATGTGATACAGGCTGGGATCCTTTTCCTCGCGGCGGCTGACAGATATACTAATATTGTAAACGTCTTGCAAAAGCAATTCCCAGTTGGATTGATACCCGCTGACCTGGTCGTTGGGGTTGGCGCCTCCTCGCAGCAGGACCTGGACCATGGGTCGATCGGCACCCTCCACGGCGACCCGCAGCAACTGCGCGAGAAGAAGTGGCTCGTTTGGCCGGGAACCGAGTTCCTGGTTCACGTACCGACAAAGGCCGTATTTTGCGCAGACGTGCAAAAACTTCGTGCAGGCCGGCCTCAGGCTACAGCTCTTCCCAAACCCTTCGCGTAAGAGGGATGATAGCATTGTGTGATAGAAGTTGTCCCGAATAACCTTTTCGAGGCCGCGTAACGCCGCGTCGAGCTGATCCAGGAACCGCCCCAGCAGAGCCGGTTCGCAATCTGAACCTGGGTTGTCATTCAGGGCTCTGCAGTGGGAGAGAAACAAATCAAGCAAGCGGGTAATATAGCCTGCTTCTCCGAACATAAAATATCTGTGCGGCGCGGTCTTCATCTGCGACAAGATAGCGCCACAGATGATCACATCAGTGCCGGGGGCCGGGGGATCCCAGGTGGCGAGAAAGGCCTGCGTCTCGGCCCTGGCGAGGAAGTCCTTGGCGGTGCGGTGGAGAAAGTCCACTTTCCACCCAAAGTGGATGCTGTAAGACAACCTGCTTTCATCGACCGAAGGAAGCTGGGAGTGAACCTCGAGGAGGCCCTTGCAGCAGGCATTAAGCCGCTTCCGCATCTGCTTGTGTCGCTTGATAGCCTGTTGGACGTTGACCGGAGGGCCAATCTCAAGCTCACAGGCATAGTCGGCATCCCCTTGCTCCATAAACCAGTAGGTCATGAGAGGCAGTGGATCGTGGGCGTTTAGCGCCGCGGCGAAGATGCGCGCGGATTGCTGCTGGTAAAACTCTGGGACGTCGGAGAGTAGAATCTTCTTAAAGTATTCGTTGAGGTCTCGCGGCAGCTGTCGAAGCCGTACCTGGAGGTCCTTGATACTGTCGCCGTTGACGAGCCCCTCCTGGAACGACCGGACGACTAGTATGATCCAGAGAAAGACACCTTGGGCGGCCTCGATGATCTCATTGATCAGGTTGCGTCCGGCCCCGTCCTCCTCCTCTAGCTCATGGTAGTTGACATCGTTCTCGAAAGTGTCGCAAACGTACTTCTGAATATCCTCCCGGGTGAGGTCTTGCATGTAAAGCTTACGGGAGCCGGATTGACCGAATTTGTCTTCGAATTCGTTCCACGGACGGCTGGAGATGCAAATCTTGACGTTGGGGATGGACCGAAGGATGCCGATCAAATCTATTATGTCCTTGGGTTGGCCTTCAAACTCGTCGAGCCCGTCGATAAAGAAGCAACACTTCTCGTTAGACGCGGCGAGCAATTCACACGCCCTGCGCAGGACGGATATCAGGCCCAGCACGCTTGTCGCTGGGTTTGGTACCTGGAAAGTCCTGTCCCATGTCCCTGGGTGACTGGCGGTGCTCGAGTGGCGTTGCAGCTGCGTGTGCCCGATATCGGGGTAGATGTGCTCGATGAGTTCCGGGGACTGTCGTAGGATCTGATAAAGTAGAGACCGGAGGAGCCCCTGCTGCGACTTCTGCAGGGACTGCTTGGCGGCGTTCCAGAAAAAGAAACCCGCCATGATGAGTCGGTCATCCTGGGCCCAGGCTTGCAGCCTCCGCCTGGTCTCTCGATGCATACAAATGTACTTCATCAACGTCGACTTGCCGGAGCCGGGCTTACCCGAAACCCAGAACAAGTCCTCAGCCGATGTGAGCCATTCGGCAAAGGAAGAGAGAGGCGCGTCCTTCTCAAGTTGTGTCCCAAATACCCAGCAAAAGCTCTTGGAATGCGCCAATCGTATGCCCTCGTACCGGTCATCAATGGTGTCGAATCTCAGCTTGTCTAGCACGGCCTGCTCGGCTGAATACTGAACCTCCTTCTCAGCAACATGGAGGAGAGCCGACATTGGAGCCCTGTGGGATTCATCTCCGTGCAGCTCCTTTTTGAGACCGTCGTACGCGCCCTGAAGCCGGCCCCTCAGATCCTGGATATCCTTAGCCCTAGCGGCCTCAAGTCGGCGATTGTGTGCGGCGAGAAGGTCCAGCTTCCTAAAAATCTGGCGTTGTTGCGAGGCCATCAATTCAGAGTTGAGGGCTTTGCTGAGCTTGTCCATCCTCTTCTGTAAATCCTCGATCTTCCCGGCCTTCCAGACGGTCCTCAGAGCTTGGTGGAAGGATTTCCACTTATGCTTCCCTCCCTGGAGCTTCAGGGAGTCGAGGGCGCCGAGCAGCTCATTTGCGATCTCGATTGAAGACGTGGCGAGCTTTCCAACGCCGCCATCGGTGTGCGTGTGTGCTGGGTCCTCGTCATCGTCGCCGTCTTGTGGCGGACGGATCCCTTCGGCCAGGCCGCGCAGTTGCTGTGCGATCGCTTCGAGCTCCACGTATTCCGACTTTGCGCCCTGCTGAGAGAGCTCGCGGGCCGAGGAGATGAGCCGTCCCGTGACCTCGACAAATTGCAAGATGTTGGCTGCAAGTCCGAGCGCGGTGAGGGCATCCATGTTGGTGCGAGGTGCAGAAGTTCGGGGAGGTTAGGGAGGTTAGAAATGGAAATACGGAGCAGGCTTTGAAACCGGGCACCCGACTTGACCATCGATTCCTCAAAATCATGCGTGCTTGCCTCGGGCAACACCGCCATCTCATCAGCCATAGGCTGGAATTTGCCGCTGTTGGCTTGCATAGCGCCGAACATGATTGGTGGCAGCCAAGTTGGGAAATGCCGAGCAGTTACCTCATTCAGTAAGCCGAAGATATCTCATTGTCGCTTTGCGCTCTACAAGGCTCTGTCAAAAGCGTCAAGCAGCCTTCTCAGTGCCTTTTTCACTTGGCTCTCGAGGTCTCTAATACACCTTGTGGGTCCAGTTGTCAGGAGTGACCCCTGGAGTCGACTCGATGTCAACCATCTGACTTGATAAACTCGCTCCCAGAATATGAGGAGGAGTCTTCTCATTGACAGAAAGCTTCCCAGTACAGTTCACGGAACCCGCCCACGTCCTAGGCAAATACTTCGAAGTCGCACTTAAAACACAAAAGCGCCCAATCACAACATCCCACCCGCCCTCTTGGCGGCGACAAGCTGCGTAAAATTCGCGATGCGCCCCGCCGCAAGGTCAAAGGCGACACGGGCCTTGTTGTCGTGGATGGCGATGGTGCTCGTGTTGCTCGACGGCGTGGTGGGCGCGCGCGCGCTCGACGCCCACGCGATGGTGACGGCCGCGCCCGCCGGGTCGACGCTCCCGCCCGTCCACGCGCTGCAGCCGCTGCACAGCGCGTCGAGGCGCCAGTGCGTCGCGTTGGTCGTCGACGTGCCGAAGACGGCGTAGCTCGCCCCCGGGTAGGGCGACGGGGCGGTGCGGGAGCTGTTTGAGCCGCGTGTTAGATGCAAGTGCGCACATACATACTGAACCAGGAGAGAGGAACGAAAGCGCGCTCACACTGCTCGCCGGCTGCTCACGACGGCGCCCGTCCCGCCGTTGGAGTAGGCGATGGTGAGCGGGTTGTTGGTCATCTGGCCGCCCCAGGCCAGCGCGGCCCAGCCGACGGCGCGGGGCGCCACGATCTGGATCAGCACGTCGAAGGCTGTGCCCCGGGCCGCCGTGTCGGGCACGGCGACGCGGTAGGCGACGCGCTGTGTGCTGACGAACTCGGAGTAGCACACGGGCCCGTCGCAAAACTTGGCTGCTTGCACGACGGTCGGGGCGGCTGCGAAGAGCGCCAAGGCCGCTGTTGCAGACTGTAAAAGGAAACCCATCTCAGCTTGCTGTGATCTTATCGGAACTATGTTCAGGTCTTGATCTCCTCTGCTTTGCGCAGCTTCCGAGATCGGGCTGGCGAGCTGTTCAACGGGCGCGGACAGAAGCGAAGGCTAGTTCAGCTCCAGATCAGGATGGCGTCAACCGACAGATATAGGACAGACATCCTAGTGCAACCGCAATGGTCTCTCGCCCATATTTGGTGTGACGGAAAGGGTCGGCGGACCCCATGTGTGGTCCACGAAGGGCATTGTGGGATTTTTAGCCGGATAGTGCAAGGAGACAATGCGAAAGATGAACCTCCAATTGCCTCCTATATATGAGCAATATGCCGGTCTGTCCAGGCACTCGGCGACCTAGCCAGTCAGTGGCAAACAAGAGATACAGAGTGGTCGGCATTGGTGGCTGCAGTTTGGCTACCAAGTAACAGCCACCGAGGGGCGAGGAGTATGGCACGGCACTTGCATCCAGGGCCTTGCCTTGCTGGGAGAGAGACTGCCATTGCGATGCGGCGGCCAAGAGGCGGGAAGCAGCGGTCACGATGATGAATTCGCATACAAACGCCCTTCATGTTCTAGGCTAATGTCACAGCCCTCTTTCAAAATGGATCGCAGAGATGAACGAAGCAGTAGCGAATCAGAGGCGACATTTTACAAATTCCTTTGATTAGGGGCATTTAAACAAGACATAGCCGGCATCCGGAAAACGCCATTTCACGTCGTTTTGCCGAGCAGAAAAAAACAAAGGCCAGCACGACACATGTCGTAAAAGAGACGCCCGCGACGAGTCAAAGGCGGGCAAGCACAGCACACCACCTCTTCTCCGCCATCACCTCCCCCCATGTAGACAGACGATCACTAACTAGCCCCGACGGCCGGGCCACTCCTCCACCCACCGCCGGAAATCCCCCTCCGACGCAACCTCGACGGTGAGCGGGGCGCCGCGGGCCACGATCCGGTCCAGCTCGCCGGACGTGGTGGGCCAGGGCACGTAGCACAGGTCGCCGGTGCGCAGCGCGAGGAGCCGGCCGGAGCAGGGCGGCGTGAGCAGGGCGCGCAGCCCGCACATCTGGGCACCCGTGCAGGCCAGCGGGTAGCAGAAGGTCTGGCTGCCGAGGGGCCGAGCCGTCAGGTCGACCACCGTCACCTGGACCGTGGGCTCGAGATGGGGCCCGGGCTGGGGAGGGGGGTGTCCATCCAGAAGAGGCTTTCCTTGGCATAGGGACTGATTTGGCGGCCAATCGCTCCCGTGGCTGGGGTTCTGGGGATGCGAGGGGTTGTGATGGGCGCTGTACACGGTGACATGGTCGTTGGATGGGCCGGCCGAGTGGCCTGGCCCCATGCCGTGGTCATTGTGGGCAACAACACTGCTCGGGTTATTGGGCATGCCAGCACGAGAGAGCGTGTTCCAAGCTTGGGTCGTAGCGGAACTGGGAGGCGCCATTCCAGCACCGCCGCCGAATCGCTCGGGCTCGGTGTATAGCTGGCGGATGTCAGTGACAGAGCCTCTGCCGCAGTCAGCTCCGGGACCATCATTGCTATCGGAACCACCCTCCATCGCGGCCACGGTCCTGAGCTTGCGTTTAGCTTCCCTGTGCATTATGTTCATGCGGTGCAGATGGTCAGCTCCGCCCGCGCAGCGGTATACCGCGAACCGGTCGAGAGACATGGTGGGGATCTGATTGCTTCAGCAGGATGCTGGTTGCTTTTAGGGGGGGATATCTCCGGGAGGGCACGGTAGAGGGATTAATGGTGTGCATGGTCTTGTGCTAGCTCAGACATATGCTTAAGGACTCCCTGCCCTTGCAAAAATAATGATCGCTTCAACATGATCCCGAAAGGAAGACCAACACATTATGCCTACCAGGTTTGAATGAAATGATTAAGACGGAGGAGCGCATAATGGCTGGGTACGGTCACGCTCCTTTTAGTCGACCGTCGACTGAAAGAACAACAACATGCATAATATCCCATTCAAGCACCGCCTCCACCCTACTACGGCATGCAGTGTTAGTCCTTTCATGTGCTGCCTAAAGTATTTCGGCGATAGCTTCCAAACGTTCCAGTCGACCGCTGTTGCCAATGGTCGGACGGTCGTTAAAAAAAATACAAGGTATAAATATAAGCAAAAAGCTTGCCAGGCAACCTATCGGGTGCCTGGTTGCGAAACCTTAAAGGTTTGCTTCGATCCTCTAATCTTTCCAGGTGAGCAGGCATTTTATACCCTCGGTAGGGTATCCTGCGGCGACAACACCTGTACTCGAACTCGAGACGTACAGAGACTAGGAATTACAAGTAGGAGCCCGGCTCTTACCAATACCACTAAACCACGCCCTGTAGGCCTTAGGAGTTGAAGAATAAGGCTATTAACCGACTTTATAATGCTTGGGCGTCATCCATCTTTGTCAAGAACATTGCTTGCAAACAACGATGCTTTGCAAACAAAACTGGTGGTTCCTACAGTTTCCAGTGAGCCTACGATGCAGAAAGAAAGCAGACACGTGGGATCCACGCTCTAGTGCTGGTGTGTGCCAAGGCCGACGCGCCCCACCCGTGCCCAAGCCAGCCACTCAGCCGCCACATTGATCCTGCTGTTGGGGACGGGCCCTGCACAGGCCCCATTGGAGAAAGACTGACTTCCACGTATACCTTCAAATTCTCATGTGTGGTCCTGAGAAATCGCCTTTCCGCTCTCCTCTTCTTTCCTCATCCCTCTCCCACGCTCACCTATTGTGCGACACGCTGCAACTGCCACACCCGACGGGCTTCTTCGGCTTCTTCCATACCACCACTCTCATTTCCTCAAGACACGGCATCGCCGTACCGTCAAGATGGCCGGCCTCAGCCCCCAAATGTAAGTGCGACACCCGCCCGCGCATTCCGCTGGGTAGGAAACAGCGCAGCACAGCCAACACTCGACCTCGAGCGCATCGCGGCGCCAACCTTGCTGTGCTTCCGCTGCTGACAAGTCGCCGACGATGGCGGACGCAACAGAACCAACATGGTCATCATCCTGGGCATGATGCAGCTGGCCAAGAAGATACCGTTTGAGGATCCCAACGTCCTCAACATGGCGCGTGCCGGCTATGCCCTGAGCAACCTGCTCATCCTGGGCGTCTCTCTCTACATCATGTCTTGCATCAACAAGAAGAAGGGTGCGCATCCTTTTTCCCCCTCCCCCCGCACTCCCCGCGCGTGTCCCGTGCGCATGGTCAAAACAGGGGAGACATGGCTGACACAAGACCTCGGCACCAAACAGACCTCACGACCCTCAAGTACGTCGAGCCCACGCCGGTCGGGTCCTCGGAGGAGCCCAAGCTGGTGACGACGACGATCCACGCGTACGACATTGGCAAGCTCAAGGAGGCGCTCCGCTCGCAGGCCATGGGCGTGGGCATGATGGCCGTGATGCACCTCTACTTCAAGTACACCAACCCGCTCCTCATCCAGTCCATCATCCCGCTCAAAAGCGCCTTCGAGTCCAACCTGGCCAAGATCTACGTCTTTGGCCAGCCCGCCTCGGGCGACCTCAAGCGCCCCTTCAAGCAGGCCCAGGGCCTCATGGCCGGGCTCCAGGGCGGAGCCGTCCAAAGTGACAAGAAGGCCGTCGAGGCTGCCGAGCGTGCCGGCCGCGGTGGCGCCAAGGAGGAGTAAGGGATTTGGAAAGGGCAAAAATACGGGATCTCTTTTCTTTCATTTCTTTGATGTAATTCTTTTCGGCGCCCGCGTTGTTTCCAAGTGCCATGTTGATCTCTTCGGTACCTTACATAGGGGATTGCGGAGCGGCGGCCCTGCACCTGGTCGATTAATGCATAAGCAATGCGCTTGGGGCCTACCAGAATGTCATGCCGACTAAAGCGATTGGTCGGCAGGAAGCGCAATCCGGTGCCGTGATTGTGAACAGAACAAACGATTTGTCCAGCTGGAACCGCCGGGGCACATGTTGGACCATGGACCAGGTTTACAATAGTCGAGGCGCGGGCCTTTCGGAACGCGCCACTATGCAACGGCTAGGTGGTGGCGTCACCACTGATTTCGCAGCGATTTCGTAACTCCGATCCTTGAGCCGCATCGATCCCCTGCAACATTCAACTTCCTCCCTTTGCGGCAGCCCCTGGGCGAATTCAATTGTTTCCAACCGAAAGCCAACCACAGCCTTCGACTTTAGAATTCGACGCCCCACGGCATTCTTTACAGCCAGCGACTCGCACCCTCCATGATGGAGGCCCCAGGAACCCCTCCCCGACAGCACGCATCGTCAGGACGACGGCCGCCATCCCCACCAACGCCCGAGGTTACCCGCCGAATAGTATGCCCGCTTCTCCGACGCCCCAATCCCGTCTCGGGCCGGGAGACGCCTGGCTAACCTTGCTGTGCTGGCTAACCTTGCTGTGACCCCAGGAGGAGAACCGCCTCAAGGCAAAAGCTATCCGCGACCAGCATGAAGCCGCCGCCCGCGCCGCCGGCAGGTCGACGCTGCCGCCCAAGACGGCCTCCGGGTTCGTGGCCACGGACGATATCCACATAGTCGGCGGCGACAACAGCCGGGCGACCAGGAGCAGCAGGAAGCGGCCTCACAGCGAGACGGAATCATCGGCCGGACCGCCGACGACCCGCGCCTCGACCGCCATCAGCCGCGCGACCGTCCCGACTAGCATCCGCGATGCGCGCGCGGCGCCAACCAAGGCGGGCGAGGAGGCGCCCCTCAAGGCAGCGCGCAAGTTTACAAACTACGTCGACTACAACCTGAGCGCCATGACCGACACAAAGGGCGGCTTCATGACGGCCGACGACGACCCGCACAACTACGCGCTCAACTCGGGCGCCAAGGGCAAGGGGGCGGCCGAGGAGCAGCGGCCGGCGCACATGACGCAGGAGGAGTGGGAGCGCAAGCAGCTGCTCAACAAGCTACGGCGGCAGAAGGCCGGGCCGTTCGAGCCGGGCATGAGCGCGCTCGTGTCGGACGCGGAGCGGAAAAAGTGTCGCGAGTGCGCGAGCCTCGAGGTCGACTTTGTGTGGGACGAGGTCTTTGGCGTCTGCGTGTGTGGCACGTGCAAGGAGAAGTTTCCGGAAAAGTACAGCCTCCTGACTAAGACGGAGTGCCGGCAGGACTATCTTCTCACTGAGCGTGAGTGCTCTCCTACGAACCCTTGATAAGTCTGCCCCAGCTAACCTAGACGCTGCCTACCCCCAGCCGAACTCCGCGACGAGGAGCTCCTGCCGCACCTCAACAAACCAAACCCGCACAAGTCGCACTGGCACGACATGATGCTGTTCCTGCGCTGCCAGGTCGAGGAGTACGCGCTCGGCCCGAAGCGGTGGGGGTCGACCGAGGCGCTCGACGCCGAGTTCGAGCGGCGCGAGGCCGACAAGCGGGTGCGCAAGGAGGAAAAGTTCAAGAGCAAGCTGGCCGAGCTCAAGAAGCGCACGCACGCCGACGCGTTCCGGCGCGCCACAAAGGCCGGGCTGGCCGAGGCGGGCGGGGTCAGGGCCACCAAGTTCGGCGACAGGATCGGGGCCCGGGGCCCGCACGTGCACGACTGGGGGCGGGCCGTCGAGAACGAGGCGGGCCTGTCGGTCAAGACGTGCCAGTCGTGCGGGATGGAGGTCGAGGAGCTGGAGTTTTAGTCTTGGCCTTGCTGTCGTGTCTGTCCTCTAGCGTGCTAGCGTATGCGTGATATCACTGCGTTTGTCTTTTTTTTTTTCGACCGAACCGGGTTTCCGGACGGCCATTTCTCCCGGATGAAACGTGAGGAGATGGGACCTCGTCGATTGCAGATCCGCACGCTGGTGGGCCCGTCCCATTGGTTGGCGGGCGCGGGAGGTGTTCCTTCTGCCCTCGTGCTGAACACCCTGGCAATCCCAGGAAGTGGCCACCTAGCAGACACCATCTCAGAATCTGTCGGGCCAATCACGCGCCGCCAGGTGGGGCACGGCCGTGCCAGCGCTGGCGGTCGGGTGGCCCCTGCTCTGTGCATTGTGTGCTCGTGGGAGGGAGCTGGGCAGCTGCTTGTGCTGTGGCCGCCTGGGGGTGTGATGAAATTTGCAGCAACAGCGCCCGCAAGTCACAGCAGCAAGCAAGCAGCAGCCTTCTTGGCGCGACAGGCCAAAGCCAGGCCCGCCGACGAGCAAGGAAAAAAAAGGCCAGCAAGCCCACCATCGTCGACAGCAACGTCGAGCCGAAGCAGCCGCCTTCTGCGCCCTCTCTCAACCCCTCGACGCTGGTCTGCCGGCGCAACCCACCGGAACGACGACATTTACCGCTTGTGATTCCATTCGTTTTTTTTTTTTCTTCTTGTCCAGCATACAGATACAGCCTCGAGCTCGGGCTCCTCGTTTCGTCGAAGCATCGCAAAGTCTGGTCCGGTCCCGCCCCCCTCTCGCCGCCATCACCACCTCGCCCGGCCGTGCCCGATACTTTGCGCGCCAGCCTACCGCGAGTGGCTGGCCGAGAAAGAGCAGAGCCGCAGAAACCGACTTCTCCCGCCTCTCTCAGGTCCCCGGCCGTCCCAGTTGCAGAGCCAGACTCTTGTTCTCTCGCACCCCCGCTCTTTGGAAGCGCGAAAGACGTCCACGCTGTCCCCTCCAGGTCCCTGCGCGCTTCTGCTCTTGCCCTCCTGGTAGTTGATGGGGACGAACGCGGGCAACGGAGTCGGCCCCGGCCCCGGAGGCGGCGAAATGTCGGGCATGATGCAGTCCAATCCCTCCAACGGGCCCCATGCCACGGAATATACACTCCAAGGTTCGCCCCGGCCCTCCTTTTTCTTTTCTCGGTCTGCGCGTGCCTTGCTTGCTACGGCCCGGCCGCCGCGAGAGGATGCGTTTCCATGAAGCTGCGGAGCTATCCCGTTCATGCTAACATCGTCTTCCTTCCGCGCCCAACAGGTGTGATGCGCTTCCTGCAGACGGAATGGCATCGACACGAGCGCGACCGCAACTCGTGGGATATCGAGAAGCAGGAGATGAAGAGCCGGATAGCCTCACTCGAGGGCTCGGCTCGTCGGGCCGACGCGACGCAGAGGGCGCTCAAGAAATACGTCACCATACTGGAGCAGAAGGTGAAGGAGCAGGCCGCCAAACTCAAGGCCAACGGCGACACGTCGGAGCCTGCCACCAAATCCGTCAGGGAGGAGCGAGAGGCCCTGATCAAGGAGCGGCTTGGGCGTAAGAACTCCTACCTCTCGATTTAACTTTCGTGATATGTCAAGCTTGCTATTTTCTTGGCGGGATTGTCAATCGTCTTGGCTCGTGGTTCTGACAATTTTCTTCCCTCCCGCAGAACCCCCCGAAAAAGGTCACGATCCATCACTTCGGCCCGAATATCAACGCGCTGTTGAGGAGGACCCCTCGCCTACTGAGCTCAAGACATTCCTCGACCAGTGCCAAGCCGAATTTACATATTTGATGATCACCCCCGCGAACCCGATACCCCCCAGAGAATCGCCGCCGCTGCCCCTGCTGGACGAGATGCCCCGCGAGGGCGAATCCTTTGGGCTGCCAGCCGGCCAGCAGGCTCTAGATCAGTCCTACCCACCGTCGCAGCAACTCCGCCAGGCTCAGAACCACGTCCGCGAACATAACACGAGGCCAGCCCCCGCCCCTGGCGCAAACCACCACGTGCTCCCGATGCAGCAGCAGCAGCAGCAGCAGCCTGCCCAGCATCAGCAACAGCAGCTCCAGCAACAACAACTGCAGCAGCAACAGTTCCAACAACTGCAGCAGCATCAGCAGCAGCAACAGTCGGTTAACTTTGCCAAGAGCTCCGAGATGCAGCCTACGCCCATGGTGCGCTCCACTGCAGAGATGCAGCCCCTGTTCGGAGGCAGCGGGAACGCCGCAACCGGCGACTGGCCAGTTACTCCTGCTGCCCCAAACCGGCCTGGCGATGAGGGAATGGCTGATGCCAACCATCGGGCGAAGCCTACTGCTCGGGCGGCCAATGAAAGCCTGGAGAGCGTTGAGCAGAGATTTGGTGAAGGCGATGGAGGGTGGGACTTTAACGAAGCGTCCTTCGTCGAGCCGCCGCAGCCCCAACAGCAGCAGCAACCAGCCCAGCCGATATCGAACCGCCCTGATACCGATGTCTTTCCCAACGCGGATAGCATCCCAAAATCGCCCAACCGTGGGCCAAACTCTCATCGCAGGAAAAGCAGCATGAGCAGGAGGAGAAGCTCTGAGCACGAACTTTCCCTCAACGCGATTGCGCAGAAGGCTGAGAGCGGCGCCTTCAAGCTCCGGTTTGGGCTAAGGGGTCACCTCAACACGGTGCGGACCATCATCTTCTCGGGTGGTGGCAGTCCAGGCGAGCCCGAGATCTGCACCGCCGGAGACGATGGACTCATCAAGAGGTTCCACATCCCTCGCATCTCGCACTCGGGCAGCAATGGCGCCGCCTCAGATTTGGATGTGCAGGCCGACTTTACGCATCGCGGCCACCAGGGCGCCGTCTTGGCGCTTGCTTCTTGGGCACCGTCACCCAACTTCTCGACCGGTGGTAGGGCGCAGGGCGACGGCTGGATATTCTCGGGCGGGCAGGACTCCATGATCCGTGTGTGGGAGCGAGGCCGGGTCGATCCCAAGGCAAGCCTGGATGGCCATACCGATGCCGTCTGGTCTCTGTGCGTTCTGCCAACGACGCTCGGCGCCATATTCGGAAGTCCAAACCCTTACGGCAACCCGGATAGGATCCTGCTGGCATCGGGCGCCGCCGACGGAACCGTGCGCGTGTGGGCCGTCAGCTCGCCGCCGCAGTTGTCATCGCCGCAGCCGTCGCTTGCGGGCCGCAGTGGCCGGGGTGGCAGTGGGAGAGTTAGGGGCAACTCCATGAGCTCCGGCTCGGCGTTCCCGTCCACCCCGCAGCCCTCAATGGCCACCAACAGCGCTTTTAGCCACACCCTTGTGCACACCATCTCGCGCGCCGATGGTAACGGTGGTAACGCAAGCCCAACGTGCATCACAGCACTCGGCAGCTCGGGCGAGGCTTTTGTGGTCAGCTACTCGGACGCAGCTATTATCGTGTATGACACGCGCACGGGCGAAGAGGTCGGCAGCATGGCAAGCCTCGAGACCTACGACGGCACGCTCAACACGAGCGTCAACGCCGTTGTCTCCACCACCGTGGGACTGGATCAGCCTCAAACCAGCGGCAGCGAAGACGAGGCCAACGCAAGCGGACCCACTGGTGGAGGGAGGTCCATGGCAGGATCCGGAGTCGAGGGCGTCATTATCTCGGGGCACGAGGACCGCTTCGTCCGTTTCTTCGATGCCAACAGCGGTATGTCGGCCCTCACATGTCTTGAATCCAGCTTGGTTTACTAACAGCATCTACGCCTACTCACCAGGTCAATGCACGTACAACATGCTCGCTCACCCGGCGTCCATCTCGAGCCTGTCGCTCAGCCCCAATGGCCAGGAACTGGTCAGCGCTGGTCACGATGCATCCCTGCGTTTCTGGAGCCTCGAAAAGCGGTCCTGCACCCAGGAGATCACGAGCCACCGCATCATGAGGGGCGAGGGCGTCTGCTCTGTCGTGTGGAGCTCGGACGGCAAGTGGGTCGTCAGCGGCGGCGGCGATGGCATTGTCAAGGTCTTTGCCCGGTAGGACGTGACGGACGACAAGGTGCTGCCACTTCGGGCTCGGGACGGGAATGACGACGACAGCCATGGTGGAGGCGGGGGCGGTGGCGGTAGCAGATCTCATGGTGTCGTCAGGAGTCCAAGCCGCAGCAGCCGTCGCAGCAACAGTCGTGTGCGTGTTCCACGCGTCCATACGCCGGCCCCCTGCCCTGCCGCCACCACGGACGACGCCATGGTGCGAGTGGCTCCGGCGAAGGAACAGCACGGCTACCGTGCGAGCAAATTTGGCGGGGACGGCGAGGAGGATCTTGACATCTACGATGCGTCGGATGACGAGAAGTCGGATACCAGCAACAGCAGCGACGTAACAGTCACGCCCGACCCCCCGAAAACCATAAACGTCTTCGAGGAGCTCCGGCAGCAGCAGTCTCATCAACCCAGCCGCAGCCGCCTGCTGCAACTCGCCGGAATCACACTCAAGTCATCGACATCATCGCTGTCGCCGCCTCGGAGGCCCCTCAGCCCGTCTCTTTCCCCGATCCATTCGACCACTCGATCGAGCGGTTTCGAAAGCACCCTTCGTTCCCTCGCGATAGGGGTGAGCCGCGACCGCACGACTCCTGCTCCAACGAAAAAGAGAAATGACGATAATGATGATCCGGCCCATGACGGGGATATCTTTTGAGACGGACGTGCAGGCGCTTCTGGCTTTCCTTGTTTTCTTCGTTTCCTTATTTTTATAAGAGCGCGAGCTGGGCCCATTGGGGCTCTACTCTCTTACCCGAATACCTCGTCAGATATCTTTTTTGAAACCCCGTGCATATTCCATTCTCCCATCACGCCTCAGGGTATTCGTGTCCCCCTGTGCCCTTTTTTACCCCTCTGTGTTCCTATCCCTGTTTTTGGTGTATCTGGAACTGGGAAGGATATCACGCAAATGGCGTCAAGAAAAAAAGAAGATACAGAAAGCCTTTCTTTTTTCATGTTCCAGAGGTGGATAAGTAGAAAGACGCCCGTGTACCATATAATCATCCGGTTGTTTCTTCCCTCTTTCGTGTCTTGCACGCGTCAGTACAACCACCCCCTCAGCCCAGACAAGACGGCATGCATGAATGCAAGGTATGCCACCAGCATTTTAGATTAAGCAAGCTTCTCCCTGTCCGGCGCTGGCGCGTTTCTGAAGGTAGCAAAGATTATCTGTAAATTGGTTGACATGCAGAGCGACGCTGTTCACTACTCGGAGATCCCCCCTGCACCCAAAAAAAAAAATTACCACGCTGTCGCCAAGCCAAATACAAGCCAGCTGGAAGAGAGATCTGCTCCTTTGCTCAGTTTCGAGATATGAACAAAAGAAAAAGGACATGTGAGAGTATAAAAACAAACTGCTGGAAAATTGCAAAAGGACACCTGAAATAGTAAAGGGGCAAACTAGGTAAAGCCAGAGGTATCCCTTATCCAGAACTTTGGAACTGGGCCTCATCATGCGGCACAGGAGACGTGATTCCCATGTCGTAGTCCATGTGTAAGCTATCCGCCAACACGTCATCTTGGCGTTGCGCGTATGTGTAGGAGCCGCTCTGGTCGCCGGAGGGTATCAGCTGCGACATGCCGCCCAAGTTCAAGTCGCCTGCGTACGTCACCGTCGCCCCTCTGTTCATGTAGTCCGCGTCGGGGTTTGGCAAAGCTGCTGTTGTCCCCGGGGGTATATATTGCTCGCCGTAGCCGGCCGGCCCCATGGAAAACGGCTGGAAGACGCCGTCGGCCATGGTCGCCATGGCGGCGGTTGGGGCTGCCGTGGCCGCTGTCGGCATCTGAGAAGAAGCGCCGCTACACATGGCGGAATTATTGTATGGCCCATCGGGGCCGCCGCCGGCCGCGTGGCTCACGAGCAGGCGCGTGTCGGCACTGTAGCTGCCCATGCCGGGCGTGAATGACATGGGCCGTTGCTGCTGCTCCCGTTGCTGTTGCTGCTGCTGCGGCGGTGGTGACATGTTGCCGTTGGGAATTACCGTGGCGGCGCTGGAGCTTGGCCGTCTCATGAAGGGCGCGACCTCGCGTTGCTTGCCAGCGGCCACGGCCGACATCATCTCCCCCATGCCAATCATCGAATTGCTGTGTTCAAGCCAATCCGTGACATCCTCGTCGAAGGCGAATTCCCCGCTGGCCATGCCGGTGCCTAGCCCTCCGTTCGTGGTGTTGTGGTGGCCCATGCCATTGTAGTGGCCTTGATTGCGAGTGGCAAGTGCGGCCGTGTGCAAAGGTATCAGCTGCGCCGTGGAGCTCGCAGCCGCCTCTTCAGCGTGGGCAGCCACTTGTGGTCGCGGCGCCAGCGGGCGCTGGTACGAAGAAGACCGAAATGCCAGGTTCGGTGTTGCTATGTGCTCGCTGGGCGGCGGGCCACCGTTGCCGACACCGCCATGGCTGGGTACAGGAGGAAATGGCTGTGGGCACCGGCGTTTGTTCCTACCGTTGGGCTCTCTATTTGCCGTTGGGGAGCCGGAAGGTCCGCTGGAGGAGCCGGGGGTGGCTGGTATCCAATCATGCCTGGTCTGCTGCCGCCTTGGTGCAGCGCCGACAGGCGCACCACCTGATTCGATTATGGAAAGGTGCACGCCGCCGTGATCTTTACGCTCCTTGGTCGGGTCCTCCATGCAGCTCTTGAACTTGCTCTCGACGTACTGCTCACAGTCGCTCCCCTTGGACTTGAGCGGAGGAAACCCGCCATCGTCCAAGTGGAATTCGTGCCAGACATCAAACGATTCGACAACAGGAGCAAATTCTGGACAGTTTAGCTGCTGTTAGTGGGAAACTCAAAAGGGAGGAGGCAAGGAACGGGAAAAGGAAGTGAGAACGGCAAAGTGCTGCAAAGACTTACCACTACTGAGCACAATGGTATCCTCAGGGAACAAAAGTGCCCAGAGAGCCTCCCACGTGTCCACCTTCAGCCCCTTTTTGCGGCCATTAATGCGATCCTCGATGTCCTTCGTGATTCCGTCCTCGGGGTCTCTATTCCCCACATCCACGTCGACGAGGTTGCACCGGTTGACCTGCCTTAGGTGTTCTTTCAGTTCGCGGTCCGTCTCGAAGACTAACATGCACCGGCCACACTGGTTCTTCCTCTCATTTTTCAGGCTGTGGTATATCTTGACGTGCCGCTTCAGCCGGGCCATGTCTGCGTGCCCTTGACATGCGCAACTGTCGTAGGCACGAACATTGAACCGAAACGGGTTGCGCTTGCGAAACGGGCAGCTCAGCAGCTTGACCTCGGACGAGGTGCGTAACTCAGCCCCCTGGTTGTCCTTGCCACTGTCGTCCTCCTGGCTGGAAGAGCCTTTGTCCGGGCTCCCATCAGACGGGTCCTTACGCTTGCGATGGTTGGCTTGCTCCTGACCCTGGCCAAAGGAGCCGCCGCCCCCACCCGCGTTGGCTGGGTGCGAAGATGGCGATGCATCGCAGGGTGGCGGTTCGGTGCTGTGCGGCAGGGAATCCCCAGAGAAAGCTGCTGCTGCGATGGAAGCCGCCCGCTTGTTAAGAGTGGCTTGAGTGAGGTTGGCCGCGCGCTCGACGCACCGGTCTGCCAACTCCTTGAGTGATTGATCGAGCTCGTCGAGCACAAGGCCTGGAGTGTGTTGCACAATTACAGCGTAAATGTTCTGAGTGAACCGGTCTTGTGAGTCTTCGGCGAGCTCTTCGCAAACCACACTGCTCTCGACACCCTGGTCGGAGCCCGAGTCGCTGGTACTTGGTGTCGGCTGAGCCGGAGGGGAGTCCTCGCTTTCTGGCGTAGATGTTGAGCCTCCTTTGGAGGTCGCGGGGCGCTTAGGAGTGCGAGGCTGGGCGGCGTCTGGCCTATGATAACTTTGCGAAACACTGCCGCAGCCCGAGTCAATGGTGCTTGGCACTAACTGAGCCGTAAGGGAGTTCTCGCTCTCTGGCGCAGATGTCGAGGCATCTTTGGAGGTTGCGGGGCGCTCAGAAGTGCGAGGTTGGGTGGCACCTGTCCTATGGTGACTCCGCAAATACTGCCGTGTCAGCTTTATATTGATGGAATGGTTATGGGGCCCTAGGGCTAGGTGCAGAGACTCCTTACCCGACTATATGGTTAGAGGACGTGCCATCGCTCTCCATAGGCGCTCTTGATTCTGGCGTATCGCGCAAGCTCTGACTCCGGCAGCCTTGATCCTGGACAAACTGCATTACTCTGTCCTCTGATTTGGCCTCGCCGCTCAACCCAGCCTCCCTCTTACGGAGCTGGGCAAGAGAGAGGGACCGAGTCGGAAGGTCTATGGGGCCCAAGATGCCAGTGATACCCTTCTCTGGGGCTAGAGTCGGCCCTGAGTGGCGGGGCGGGGAGAAACTGGCCTCGCGGGCCGTCAACTCCGGTGAGGCAAGAGGGAAAGTGCTATGAGATACCAGGAGCTTGGGGGCCACAGCGGTTGTTTCTCTGAGTCCCCGGCTATGGGGCATGGTCTTTCGGGTTGCGAGAGGTTTAGGTACGTCCGTGTCGACCATGTGGACGGACCTTTCGGACTTGAGATATGAGCCGACAAGATCATGAGTCTTGGATATACTGCTCTTGATGGGCACCCTAGAATTGGCCACGTCGCTGCCGAACTCAGAGGTGACAGGGTTCTCCATAATGTAGGATTGAAGGTAGTCTAGGGGAATTAGTGGATAACGAAGGCGATGGGGATGCTTTTGCTCATCCATCGTATAATAATCACCAGTGGGACTGGAAGCAACCGTGTCTACAGATGCCAAGGATGACCATGTGGAAGTTCGCGTCACGGGCGTGTGGGGGGTGTTTGTCGACACGGTAGTCAAGGTGTTGGTGCGTAAAAAATCACCGAATAAGGCCTGGTCGTCGTTGTCGTCGGTAGTTGGGATACGTGGTATTACGATACGGGTACCCGCTCCTTTTTTGCCGCCCATCTGGCGACTCACGGGAGAAGCCATACTAGCGCTTTCGTAGGGAAAAGGGGTTACCGGATTGGAGACCGAAGCTGATGGCGATGGTGGCCTGGCCGGGTCCACCATAGCGGCGGGTAGTGATGCTCGAGACGAGCCAGTCTGGGTCTGGGCGGCTTCATGGGTAACGACTGGCTCCTGTCTCAAGGAGAGTCCTTGTATTCCCAGAGCCAAACCTTTGACCGTGTGATCCTCCGGCTCAGCCTCGGCTTGCGTGGCGGACATTGTTCCAGGACCGGAGGTATTCCTCAAGGACAAATGCGGACCGCCGCTCGCCGTTGATATGCGCGCAGGGGCCTAGCACTGGAGGGCTCGCCAAGTGGTGACAAGGGAAGGGGGTTAGGCTGAATAGGCGGAAATAGACAAGGCGTTGTTCCTCTGGCAGCGCCAGGTGGAAAAGGACCTGCTCCAACGGCGCAGGGAACTTGTCTGTGTGATGGACTGGGCGATTGAACAATGTAGCGAGGAAGGCATTGGAGGGAAAAGAAAGGGAGGAAAGGAGCTGGAGCCCTTCCCTTCCCTTCCCTCCCACGCCTTCCCAGTCGGGCGACACCAAAGTGGAATTGGAACGGGCGGGCAAGGCCCTTCGTGGGGGTGGGAAGACAAAGCCGTGTTGTGCGCTGTGCTGCCCCTTCCTGCTGAACAACCAACAGCCACAGGGTGACATGGGGCCGGCCGATCATCGCCTGTGCAGCCAATGGCTCTGCTTCAGGCACCAACATTGTCGGATCGCCATCCAATCAAATACCCCGCCGGCCCTCCATCAAAGGAACCGGTCCCGCAAAGCTGACAGCCGATGCAACTCAGCTTGCAGTACCCGCCAGCCTGACCTCCCTTGCCGTCCCGTCAATGCGATTGTCCTCGCCCACTGGGACTGGGACCACCCCAGAACAGGGCGAGGGCGGACGGACAGCGTGGTTACATGCCTACACATATACCACCAAAGTTCAACAACAATGTGGAAAAACACTTCTCAAACAAGATAGATGCACCTACCGCGCTGCCAGGGAGGCCTCATGTGCTGATTCTTTGTTGTCAAAGGGACAAAATATCGGAAACTGGGCAACCGGCGTCGCCGTCGGCCGGAGCAAGGCAATTTGGTGGGGGTAAACCGATCGTAATGTGGAGGTTCAATTGGAAACCCCAAACCGGCCATGAACTAAGACCTCGTTGGAGATATTACTACCAATACGGAAGGCTCAATGGGCACGGGAGCGTCTGCGTCAATCGGGGCGGCAGTGTGCCTTGCAGTCGTGCAAGGCGAGGCAGATTCATTCGGCCCTTCGGCGACCCAGCGTGACGGCCACCAACCAGAACCGCTGAAACCAACCAAATCGAACTGTATTGAACCAGAGTGCAGGACATGGTAGCTAGTTGGGCCTGTGGGAGGCCGCCATACCCGCTAAGCCTCAGCCGCCAGGAAGCGGCTCGGCGCAACACACTCGGGGGTTCAGCGCCGTTGGATTGAGCGCTCAGCCTCGATGGCGACACCGCATGTCACCGGCCTATGCCCTCATGCACTTTTGCGAAGGCATGATGGCGCTCTTGATTTTGAGATATAACTTCACCGCACCCATCACCCCGCTACAGCTGCCCCTGTCTCTATCACACCCAAACCGTCCCGACCAGACCCTCCACTCTTTACACATTTGTCGCTGCCCTCGACCAAGTACCGCCTCCATCACGCCGGCCACATACGGTTCCATTTTCTCTTGCTACCAAAATCTTCTTGATTGCCGCATCATCACAGACGACTGCCACGGTTTTATGGGTCGCTCTACAGCTTCCTGTTCTTGGTTGGCTGGCTGGTGTGCGCTCGCTCCGCGGCTGGGGACTGTGTAAGATGGGGATAGGTAGGCAGATAGCAAGAGCTTGCAGAATGCTGCAAAGCATTGTCCATAGACCGTAGAATCCTACCAACTCCAGCCCAAACTCGTCGAATCCAAGGCTTCTGGTTCGATGGTGGTGAGGCCTTACGTACCTTGCACCCTTGGGTTTGCGTTCAATACAAACGGAGCGGCTTAGATGGCTCTAATTGGCGCAACAAATCCTCAGTAATAGTGACCCAGCAATGGCAGCTCCAACCCTAGGCATTCAAATCCATCTGCTTCAACCGAAGCGGTATTGTTTGGAACATCGTGTTTGCTTCCTCGAGTCGTGCGTATTTAAACGGCGATTTTCGCCCAAGGGAGACGTTTTTCCATTCTTCTATTGTCTTTCCCTCGAGGGAGAGATCAAGGAGAAAAAGAAATTTCGCGAACAATACCAATCTAACGACAAAGCATTGTAGGAACCCGCTTTTCGCAAGTGGAAAAATATCACAATGTTGCTAACAGCACAATGCCTAGTTGTTGCGCGAAAAGAAAATCGCAAACATGCCGAGCACCACAGGCTCAAACGCGCCGTCCATGGTGCTGTCCGATTTTGGGTCCGGGTCCGGGTCCGGGTCCGGGTAAGGACTGCCCCGACTGCCTTGTGCGGGCGTTGGCAGCCGAGGCTGACTGCTGTTGGTTGCTTCCATCCTAGAAACAGCACTTCCGCGACCCAATCAGGGACCCTGGCCGCCTACATTTACAACACCGACGGTCCCGCCGACCGGTTCGTGCAGCCCTACCCCGAGTCACAGACCGATCGGTTGGCCAGGCTGGACCAAGAGACGGCAGCCCTGCAGCAGAGGGCTCGCCCTCCGAATGGTGCATGACCAACATGCCTTCTCCAGTCGCGCAGTGGATCAAGAAGACGAAAAAGCAGAATAATAAAAGGGGCGCGCAGAATGACAGCTATCCAGGACCATGGTTGGATAAATGCGGGAAGGCTGTTTTCTGTGCATATCTTCTTCTCGGGTGGTTACCGTTTTGGGAAATGGATTGGAGGCTCGGTCGGTTCTTTCTTTTTTTCTATACGTGTTTTTGGAGATACCCACGATACGCCCGACCAAAAAGCAGCTTTCTGCTATCCCCTCTAGAAATATTTTGACCTATACTTGTGCGTCGTTATCGCTCGCCCATTTCACCTGGGTGTTGTGTTGTAATAGCGGCTGTTCTTGTTCCATTTTGACCCCTGGGCGCTGCTGCAGCGCTTGGTCACAGTCTGGGCGGGCTGCCAACCCCAAAGGTACAGACCCACCTGCCTGGGGCTGCCCGCCATAGCTGCCAGCCCGCCACCAGCCACACCTATAAATGTGGCTGGGACCCACCAACAGCCTTGACAATTGCGACGCTCTTGATGGACTCCTTTTGACCTCCTCAACCCGCACAGGGCACCAGGCATCTCGAACGCCTCGCAAGCTCTGCAGGCGCCGCGGTGACGTGCTGTCACCGGCGGCTACTGAGTCGGTGATGCACAAGAAATCCCATGCCATGCTTTTCTCCAACCGCCATTCGATGCGGGGCCTTGCGCAGCAGACGGCCCTCAGCGCCGCCTCTCCTTGCCCTCGCCCCTAACAGGCGCACGACGCCCAGAATAGGTAAGCGGGCACATCGTGTCCTGTCTCCCCTTGCTGTCCTCCCTATTCTCTTCTCCCTCCCTCCCACCGAGACGCTGCCTCGGGCTGGGCCTCGCCGCAGCCGCCCTTTGTGCGAGGGCAGCAGCGAGGGCAGCAGCGCCCCTCCGCAGTTGCACATCTGGCTCAAGCGGCCCGCCGTGCCAAAATCAGACCGCCCAGTACCATTATGTCAGCGGCTCAGCTTGAGTCAGTCGCTCCACTTTTCTTTGGCACACCTCGCGCCGGTTTTTTCACCTGCTGCTTAACCACCTGCCTGCAGCGCTCGGCAGGGCCTGGCGCGCCCGCAGGCAAGCAGACAACAACAACAGGGCGAAACATTTCGCCAGATTGGATTTTCAGCCTTCTGAATTTTCCGACTCACCACATCACCATCCGCCCCACGAACCCGAATAGCTTCGGACCACCTTTTTCGACCTGCTGCCACCACCGCTGCGCTTGGTTTTCCTGCCCAAATTTATTTGCGCACCCCGATTTTGCTGTCCACGACCTGCGACGCGCTGCCTACGACCTAGCTTTATTTATTTCTCCAAGGATAGCATCCCGCCTCCTCAATATCACAATGGCTGGCGGAAAGGGAAAATCTTCTGGTGGGAAGAGCTCCGGCGGTAAGACCGCAGGTGAGGGCCCCAAGAAGCAACAATCCCACTCCCAGCGTGCAGGACTCCAAGTAAGTACCTCGTGAACTGCATCCATGGCTTCGCATTGCATTTGGTTTTCCCGCCTGCCATGGACTCCTGCCTGCCGACAGGCCACGCCACCTTCCCGCGCGCGCAAACTTGCCCACCCACTTCGTCATGTTCGACCGAGCTCGAGCTCCCACCATCGCTCAGCCGCCTCTCACCGAATTTGACCGCGAAAACGACCGCGCCGCCACGACCATCGTGATCATCATCAATCCGAATGCCGCGCACCATGGCTGAAGCCCGCACCTTTCATTCCGCAAATTTTGCGAGCTATCCGGACGCGTCAACCTCGACTTTTGCGGCCCCGCATCGCGCAACCCGCCATGGCAGCGACACTCGCCGACCACGTCCATCACGAATCCCTTGAACCTACAACTCATGGCGCGCCATCGACATGCCTACGGATGCAAACACATGATCGCTGGCATGGCCTTATGGATCTCCGATAGCTAACCAGGGCCTTGTTTCCCAGTTCCCTTGCGGACGTGTCAAGCGTTTCCTCAAGCAAAACACCCAAAACAAGATGCGCGTCGGCGCCAAGGCGGCGGTTTACGTTACGGCGGTGCTGGAGTATCTGACTGCCGAGGTTCTCGAGCTGGCAGGCGTAAGTTCAATCTCCCCCTCCCAACACTATCTCTTCCCCCGCTTTCCTCACTCGTCGCAACTTTATTGCCACCATGACGGCCACGTCACGGGGCGCGAACCGCACACATCCCTCCCTTTTGTCTGCCTTTCCCGTATTTCGGGTGTTTGTCTCCCGAGCAGCCAGTATCGACGTGATCTTGTGCTAATATTATGAACCCGACATAGAACGCGGCCAAGGACCTGAAAGTGAAGCGCATCACTCCTCGACACCTTCAACTTGCCATCCGAGGTGACGAGGAGTTGGACACGCTCATCCGCGCCACCATCGCTTTCGGAGGTGTTCTACCGCACATCAACCGCGCGCTGCTTCTCAAGGTTGAGCAGAAGAAGAAGCAGAAGCAACTGGAGGCGTGAGACCCCTTCCGTATTACGGTTGTTTCTACTTTATCATGATGGGATTTATTTCGAGACCGTCCTTCGGGAACTTGGGGGTTTCATGGGTTCTGTTCTTCCTGTCTTTGGCTTTTTGTTCCTCTGACTCTCTTCTCCATACCTATCGCAAGGGAAAGTTTGTGGTCTCTCGTCTTTGTTTTATGTGGCACGTGGGCAACAGGGTGGCGGAACTGGGCTTTTGTTGGGGCGGGGCAGGTATACCTTGGTGCTGGAAATACGTTTGCTCCATCTGCTCCTACGATCACGTCTGTCCCATCTTCTTGTTCAGCTCTATTCTCGGACACTCGGATATACGTTCTGGCTTTATCGCCGGCTGAAACTGCCCGACTCGCTCATCTCGCCAACCCTGAGAGCATTGGAATGGGAACGCACGACTACTATCCGAGCATTCCCATACCCTTTCACGCAGCACCGGCGGACACATTCCAAGAGGTCCTCTAATTTAACCATGGTGCGACTGGGGAATTCTCTTTCGAATCTGATGGATTGGGCGGCTGCTCTGGCCCAGCAGTCTTTTTGCATCTGCCGGGCGGTTGCATGGCGCTGTCCACCCGGGGCACCAATCAGCCATATCTTGTAGTGATATAGCGGGCCGGGTTTCGGTGTTTTGGGCATTAGAAGCTACCCTTCACCCGTAGCAGACGAGAAATGCGTCCCGCCATTGATGTGACATGAGTTGGATACCTGCTATGATCACTCAAGCGTGCGTACTCACCCGCCCTAGGAAAGGACAAACCAGCCACGGGATTTGCACCATGAGGCGGCCTATTCGGTCAGAAAAAAAGCAGATTATTTAACAAGCTATTTGTTTATTTATCGTACATGGGAGTAACGCGAAAAATGACAATGTGATGCTACGTAAATGCTAACCAAGCCAGGCCTGGCTTCTATGCCTAACCAAAATCTGCGAAAATGAAAAAGAAATCTAGAAAGAATGCTAAAGTTCATCGAATATCAATCAGTCAACCCGTCCGCTTCAAAATTCGCCCTTGAAGAAAGCGCTGCGGAACCGCATCAGCTCGGCGAGGTCATCGTCGGCGCTGTTGCCCCTGCTATTACTGCGCGTTGCCGGCGGCGAGGAAGAGGTCCTGCTATGGCCGCGGCTGCTGTGCCGCGAGGTCGAGTCCGAAGACGAGGAATGGGAAGAAGAAGAAGAAGAGGAAGGAGAAGAAGGCCCGTCGCTGCGGCTGTCCCTGGTACCCCGTCGCGTCTTCGGCCGGGAGAGCAGGCTCGAGTAAGACCTACTAGACCTACTGCTACTGCTACTGCTGTAGTCCTCGGGCTCCTCGGGCAGCGCCGGCAGCGGCCAGCAACTACCGCGGCTGCCACCGCGACTTGGAGCCGGCACCGGCGCCGACAGGGAGGCGTCAGAGCGCGTCCGGCGGTGCCGGCTGCTGCGCTCGGCGGCGACGCGGGAGGCGCGGGAGGAGGACTCAACGTCGCCGTCGTAGGCCTGGTCGTCGGGCGCCTGTTGCTGGGATGAGGAAGAAGAATGCATGCTAAAGTTCTCGTGGGCCCTGGGGTTTGGAGCCACCAAGGGCATAGAGAAGGGGATCCTGCCGGGACAGAGAGGTATGGCTTTAGCAAAGAGGGTCTTGGGGGTGTGGTAAGGGGTTATTAAGGGGGTATGTATGTGTGTTGCTGCGGATCAGAGGGCTTACACGAGGGTCATGTCGTCTTCGTCGCCCGCCGCCGGCGGGAGCGGCCACGGGCCGCCCGTGCCGGGCAAGGAGGAGTCCAGGTCGGACGACGAGTCGCCATTGTCGTTGTCGCTACCTTCGGACGACGCGCTCTCGACCACGGCCCGGCTGGCCAGGGTCTGCTCGGCCTCGTCGTGGCCGCCGCGTCCGTCCCGGTCGCCCGAGGTCGCCGCCGAGGCCTCTTGTCCGGGCGTGCGCCCCGTGTCCAGGGTCTTCGTGGGCTCGGACGAAGAAGAAGAAGCTGATGACGATGGTGGTGGCGGCGGTATCGATTCCGCGGCAAGGCGGAGGATCCAGCTCTTGGGCCCCTTTTCCTTTTCCTCCTCCTTCTTGCTCATGTTGCCCAAGAGCTTGGCGATCCGCTCGTCCCGCGCGCGCCGGCGCGTGTAGCGGCACTCGGACGGGTAGTTGCAGTCCTCGGAGCAGTTCTGCACGTTGTCGATCATGCGGCGCTCGCGCGCGAGGCGGTGCTGCCCCCGGTGGTGGCCCTGCTGGCCCAACTGCTGATGGTGATGGTGATGGTGGCGCCGCCGCCATGCGGCGTAGCGCTCCCAGCCGTTGAAATCAAACTCGCTGACGCAGCTGCCGCCGCGGTCGCGGCGCCGGCGTGGCTGGGGCTGGGGCTGACGGTTGCCGCTGCTACCGCTGCTGAGGCTGCCGTCCACTCGCTCGGTGCACATGCGGTGGCCGCACTCGAGGCAGCGGCGCGTGACGCCGAAGGCGTAGGGGATGCGGCAGCGGTGGCAGATCCAGTTCCAGGGCAGCGGCGTGGGTGGTGGGGGCGCGGCCGAGGCGGCCGGGGCGGGCGTCATGATGAGGTCCTGGGGGGTGTTGTTGTCGGTGGGGGACTCGGGTATGCCGGGGAAGGAGGAGAGGCTGTGGCTCTGGCTCATGGCTGTCGCGTCTTGGCGGTGGTGTGTGATGGCGTCTGTGTCGTGTTGGACGAGCGTCGAGTTCGTCGGCTGGGGGTGGTGTGTGGTGTGAAGAGAGGCTATGCTCCGGGCAGAAAGTAGGGGTAAGAAAACGTGGGAGTGCATGCACACTAAGAAGGAAGAGTGTGGTGCTGGGCTTTTCCAGAAGGCCCAGAGAGAAGGTATGTAGGTGGTAGGTGGGTGTGAAAGGGGGAAATACGAGACACAGTACGCGGCCTGGAGGGGAAGATACAATATATACAACACTCGCTGTAGGCAGCAGAGAAAATCCTGTCTGCTGAGTCCTCAATGTCGTTTCTTTAACTTGTTGGCTCTTTGTAGTGTCCAACAGCCTCGAGCACCGTGATCGAGGCTATGGTGGCTTTGACTTGGCTTTTCTTTGTTGCAGGTATGGAGCTTTTGGAGCTATTTTTGGCTCTTGGGTCGTTGACATCAATGGAGCTCTGTCTAGTGGTTGAGGATATGTTTGCTAAATAGGGTACAAAGAAATCACAAGATTTGGCGCAGCCAAGACAGCAGACCTGAGGAGGGCAAAGATGAAAACGAGGAAAGATGTTTCAAAACCGAGAGCCTACTCGGCGCCAGTACAAGATCAAGTTGGAGTTCCTGCATTTCATTTCTCTTACCGGGACTGCCAAGGCTACACTTTCACGAGAGCACAAATGTAAAACAGACAATGCTCCAAAAGGTATGATAGAGCGTACAAACAAGATAAACGGGTAAACAAAAGATTGCGTCGATGATGAGCCAATGCGGCCTCGAGTAGTTCGTTCGCCAGACCCAGCACCTGATACAAGCAAGAAAATAGTAAAGGCCAACTTCAAGGGCTCGCGCTTCAAGAAAGTCAAGGCAGCGGACTCCTCATCCGCCCCTGGAAGCCTCCTGGTTGTGGGGTTAGCCTTCGGGTGTTCCGACCTCCTCTTCACTTTGTTGGCTCTGGACATATTGATGGAGTGCTGTTTCTTCTATTTCGAGGTTGACACTACAAAACGAGGACATTTACCCATCTTGGAGCCGGGGGTTTCGCTGGCCGCCGAAAGACCTTTCGCGATGCAGTGAACGCGACAGTCAGCACCGTGACCAAGAGGCAGATGGTGGCCAAGCCGAGGATTACATTTGGCATACGCCTTGGGGAGTGTGCACAATAGGGCTTTGGAGATGGATGGCGGTGTCGGGAAACAAGCCCTCAAGGAGGGACGGCGGCCGAGGGCCGGGCGGCGAAAGACGGCCTTGCGATAGGGAAGAACCCACTCGTCGGCACTTGCAGGGGGGGCACCGCACTCCCTCGACCGCGTTCCCACCGGGGAGAGATAAATTGACTCCAGGGGCGGTGGTTACCAGCCTTGCGTCTACCTTCATTCTTGCTCATTGGTGCGAAGATATTCCCCTGTCGCGGGCGGGGTTTCAGTCGGGGCCAGGAAGTGACTGAATGCAACAGACAGCGATTGCTAGCAGACATCCTCCACGGTGACCAATGCCCGTCAGTGTTCTTACGAGTGCTTGCCCAGGCCGACAAAGGTCCGGGGAGTGAGAACAGTAGTGCAACATCCCGATGCTGTGGCGCCGAATGTCGAGAAGAGAGCTCTCCCTCTGGCCGTCTCGCCATGTCTTTTGGCCCGCTCTTTGCGCCACTGTTCGGACAGTCCTTTCTACCGCGATAGTGAGGCAGCTTCTAGCGATAGACGCGTTATCCAGGAGCTTCGGTTCGGTAGAAACCCGGGGCTTCGGATCTGGGAGTCGCGGGCATGTCGTGCCCGGTTCTTGGGCAGATCCGACGTGCCGACTTCGGCCTCTCGGGGTTCTGGGGCGTGCCTGACTTCGGCGCCTGCGGATCCGGCCAGGGGCCGCCTGACCGCCTGGTGGCTGATGATTATTGCTCAAAGCGTTGTGGTGACGTTTGAGACGCAGGCGGCCATTGTTGTCAGTCTTGACATCACAGGCCTCTTTACAGCCTACAGCTAGGTAAAGGATTGCCGTCCGGACACTAAATTCATCATTCTGGGAGCTTCGGGTGCAGCTTGGTCTGATACGCGAGGTAAGGATGGATAAGAAACCCCCACCATGTCATAGACGCAACTGAGATGGATAGCGTATTCCTTCCTTATGAATCCTTCTCGTGTCCCTCCCATCCTGACTGTTCTTTGGCCCAGGCAGTTTATTGCTTCCGAGCAAGGATTAGAGCAGTAAATGTAGGTTCCCACCTACCCATCTCTCAAAACTATCACCACTACCTTGAACTACACTCACACAGGTGGAAAAGAGCCTTGGATAAGCTGGCCTCCCTTTGCGCTTCGCTTTGTGGAGCTGCCGCCACGAGCTAGGGGCTGGCCTGGGCACCAATTCAGATGCAAAGCGGTCCATATGCAAGAGCTATAACAATATCCAGCCTTATGAAAAGGTGGAGAAGGGAATGTTGAGGGGAACCGGCAAAGTTATGGAGCAGTCCTACATCGGGGAGAGCACCCCCTGAGCCGAGGCGGAGTGGCATGGATTTTCCCGTGGATCAAACTTCTCCATCCATGGTGCATGCACTACAGCAGTCGGCTATCTCGCATGTCACCTTCTATGTAGGAAGCCGTCCAGCTGCGAACTGCTGACGATGACAAACGATTGGGCAAGACCGGGAATCTGGTTCGGATAAGGGGCGGCAGTGCGAGGCAGCCACATCCTCCAAGATAAGCTTGCCGGCGTCAAACATGACCGTTTTCTCCCACTGGGGTGGGGTGGAACGTGGCGCTACGGCGCCAGGGCGCGCATATGGTTTGCATCTGATGGGACGACTGGAGATGACGGGCGGGCGCCAGTCTGCCAGAGGACCTCAGCATTGCTGATTCTGCGTATTCTGCCTTCGGCCTTGCGAGGGGAATTTGCCGACAGGAGTCACAGTCCACTGCAAAAGGCCCCAGCGTCCCTACGACCTTCTCCATCCCTACACAAGCACAGGCGGCCCGGTGCCTGTGCTGTGGGGGTTGGTTGTGTTGGGCACGTATGCAGCGGGGTAGACAGACAATTCACATGGGCATATCCATAAAATGTGTTCTCGAGCTGGTGCATGCATATTGTAGCATACACAGTGCGGACTATACCGCATGCGGCAAGTGAAGGCGTCTGAAGCACTCAAAGGGAAAGGGAGCAGGCAAGGGCTGCACACAGTCAGTCCACAGGGAGAAGCTGCGAAGAAGTCAACCCTAGGCTGTTCCTTTCCGCGAACACGCTATCTTGGGTCGAGGTGGTGGTTGACGGAGCATCATGCAAGGGAGATGGGCTCGCAAAGGGATAGCGCGGGGGATAATAGGAGGTCTCAGGTGAGGCAATGGGAAGATGAGGAGGATGAAAGGAAAAGAAGGCCTGGGCATGGGCTGGAGGGATATTGGCACACAATCATCGGTTCAAGGGTGGAACCTTACGCTAGCCTCGCTTGAGGCCAGCGCCAGTTCCCCGGTCACTGTTTGCTGCAGCCCCGGAGATTTTTGGCCGCAAGAACGAAGGGAGAGAGATCGGGTATTGGCGAGCTGCGAGGGTCGATAATGTCTAGCAAGGTGTGGTAGCCCTACTCCCGTCACTGCCCGTTTGCTCTGTCGACGAAAGTGGCGTCAGTCACACGCGACTTTTTGTGCCGAGGATCGGGCCCTGAGACGAGCGACCTGGCAGACAGGGGAAATCAGTGGTTAGGAAGACAGCCGTCCAGAAATGTGGTGTTCCCGTGGTAAACTTTGGCTGGGTTAGGGATGGATGGATTCAGGGGAAGGGAAAGGGATGAATGATCGTCACCCCCGGGCAGTCGCCGATTCGTCCAGGAGGTGAAAGCGGATGATGACAGGGGTCTAGGACGCAGATCGATGTTGATCTAGACCTGCGCGAGCGTTTCTGGCTGCTCGAGAGCGTGTTTCCATGGCCGACTGCCCTGTTATCTCAAGCTGCAGCAGATGAGGCCAAACGTGTGCTCCCTTCCCGTGGTGTTGTATCTAGTGTTTACCCCCTGGACTACATAGATGGCGGTGATACATGATACGTCAGGTCCCCAGACCCGGGATCGCCAGAGACGGCAATGGGGCCACGGCGATGTCAGAAAGTGACAGACTGATAATATGTCTTGGCAAGCGGTCTGGCTGCCCGAACCGGACCAACAGCACTTTGATTGGCGCGCAAAGTGTGGCTCTTCTGTGCAGATGCGACACTGCGAAGTGGGTTGATCAGCTGCAAGATCAAGAACGATCGACGGTGCGGCGGTTTGCTGCCAGACACGCGCGCAGCAATAGGTGCCGTCGAGACTGGAGCATGAGAATGGCCTTTCTGTGGTGCCGGGGCGCTGCTGGGCGCTGCTAGAACGCTGCACCGCAGCGGGGATCATTGATGGGCCACAAGCCACGGGATGTGCCTGGCCCCACCGGACTCGGCACCACCCCATTGGTGCGTTGGGGAGGTTTTTTTTTATCGTCTGTTTGTTTCGTTTCAATACAACGTGGACGTCAAGGTCGAGGCGAGGGAAAGGCTGACAATGTGTTGGTGATGAAAGCTGACAGGGCAGCCAATGACGTCCGACGCGTGAGTCTATCAATCTAATTTTGCCGGGCGCAATTCGCTTCCTCGTGTACGATGGGCGACGCTCTATTTGCTGACTGCATCTATCTCGCATGCGCTGTGGAACAGCTGACTTTTTGGGGAAAGCGGCTGAGATGTGCCAGCCAGCAAAAATGGTCGATGTCAAGGCGATGGGCAAGACATTGATGTCCGTATCGGCAGGTTCGGCTCGGCAGCCGGAGGCTCCTTGACCGAATGTCTCAGTGTTTGATGAGATTTTCCTTGCTTCTCGTATTGGGTTGCTTTTGCCCCCCTCTGATAGACATCGACATGTTGTGGGAGCGAGGACGGCAAGACGATGGCTCTCTCGCGCTCGCACCGGGGAGTACCAGCAACCGATTTCTGCGGTTCGCTTAGGACAAAAGGTTGTGGTCACAGTCAAGGGCCCATGGCTCGGCTGGCAACCCCTGCATGGAGAATTGGTGGCGTCTTTGGCGCAAATGCAAGATTCCGTTTACGGAGGAATTATTGTGCACATTATCAGGACTGGAGTCTAGCCGGTGGGTGAGAGAGGAGGGACGAAAAAAAAAAAAGAAAGAAAAGGAAAGCCACCGTCGCGAGATCACAAATGCCACCGAACCACGGACGAGTAGCAACAGAGGGAGGGTCACAATGTCGTTTGAGCCGGCGGAGCCTCATCCGGGTGTTCTGACCAAGCCGCGCGCCCGTCTCTGGGGCCCTGGCGGTCGCGTGGACTGGACGGGAAATGGCCGCTGGGGGTGAGCCTGTGGGAGACTGGGCAGGCTTGGTGGGCACGGAACGTTCCCTGGTCGAGGCGAATGGGGCAAACGAATCCTGACCACGACCCCCGGCGAGGCGGCGGCGGCCGTGAGGCACCCGATCCGGAAGCGGCCCGCATCTCTGGAAATTGGCGCGTCGCGATAAACCTAGCGGCATGTTTTTGTTTGGAGACACACGTGTGTGCTTTCCTGGCCAGCTGCGACTCGCGGACTGAACCGCGAGGGGCGGCTGTGTTGCTGTGGCAGTTCTTGCGGATGAAGACGCAGCGAGTCTCCAGTACCGATCTAGGTGGTGGATGCGACAGAAGATAGGTTGGGGGCAGGCGCGTTCCAATTGGTAATGAGTGGCTGTTTCTTCTGGCAGCAGAAAGGAACCGTATCTGCTGTCTTAGGGTGGCTAGACTGCAAGAGCCAATAGGTACCGGACAGATTGCACGTCTGTAGATCTATTTCCGGCCATCCCTTGCTTTTGTGGCCAGTCGAGGCCATCCACAGCCCTGATGGTCCTCGCATCTTGTTGTGGGTGGCGAAAGCTAGGCTAGTCTGGGTGTCTGGCCGCCAACCTGGCTGGCTTACACTGGCCGAGTACCTCGAGGTACAGGCAGTGGCTGCTGTAGGCTTGAAATGTGTCTCCCGTATGCCGTCACCACTGCATGTGTGCAGTCACCGCCGCATGCAAACACCGCCAGCCAGCTGCAGGTCCGGTAGGTCCGGCCATTCTAACAGGCCAGTCATCTCACCTCCTCGGTGAGGCATCCGGCGTTGTGGGCACAGCAATCTGCAGTCTGCATAGTAACAGAGAAAATGCTAGATTGACTGGACCTAGACCCCTAAACTTCCCCCGTGCAGCTGTTTTATTGCACGGGCGTTGCTTATTGGGCACAGACAGTGCCAGAAGCGGGGCAGATTGACCCAGACCACTGTTGTGTGGCCCTTCTGCATTTGTTTTTAGCCTTGACACGAGCGACAACAACACTGAAAGCAAAAAGACTCGAACTCTAATAGGCGGCTCGGGAGGCCCGCGAAGCATTGAACAAATATTGACTGCCAAACAAACACATCATCGATCTGCGGCACTCAGGGACTGGTGTTCGGGGGGACGATACTGGACCAAACAGCGCAGAAACAAGCCCTGGCCTGGCAGATAGGTCCCTGGCAGGTGTGGTATGGAGCATGCCGCGCCCTCTGTTCTGCCCCAGCTCCCCAGCCCCCCCGGTGCTCTGGCACTCTGGGCTGCTGAACCCCTAATGATCCGTCCCGATAGTCTCGCGCCATCCCTGCCCTACAGAGCGCGCACACCGTAATAATCGATCTGGATTCGTGAACGCGCAAGAGCCCACGCCGACGCGGAGGAATAGGAGAAGCGGATGGGGCCAATCGTAATATCCAGGGTCCCGGATGGAGCCTTGTCGGCGCTGTCCCCGAGGGCGACCAAAGCACCAATCATGGTGCCCAGCCCGGGCCAGCTGCGGTGAAGTTTGCCTTGTCCCTGTCCGAGGTCGCGTCGCCCCTGGTGGTGTGCGTCGCTTCTGCTGCTCCCATTTCCTTGCCGGGTCGGGTTTTCTGTCTGGTGCCTGTCTGCCTTTTTTCTGCCCCCTACGTCCAGTGGTCGCGCGAACCCGGCACAGTGCGCACCGGGCAGGGAACGCAGGTGCCTCAGAGCGGTGCAGACTGACCTGTGCGGGCTGTCACCATCAATGATTCCGCCTGGCGCAACCGGGGCCGCACACTAGCGCCGTTCAATTCCAGCCGGGCCCACACTGGCCACTCTGAGGACACTGGCGCAACCGGCCCGAGGGCTGACGCTCCTTGCTAAGGTGGCTGTCGCTGTGGGATTCGCACTGTTCCGCCTGGCACGGCAAGCGTCTCCTGACTAACCCGGCGGAATTTGACAACTGTCAGCCCGCCTCGCGCCTGCCGCTCCTGCGCCTCCATCTCCCTGGCTGCCCATGCCTGCCAGCTGCCAAGCGCCAGTCCTTGCAGCCCCTCACCAAACGCTCCTCATTTATTTATTGTTATGTTTTTTTTTTTCTTCCAGAAGGACCCGCACTTTCGTTGTCCACGGTCCATCCAGTGGGCCGTCCTTGGTCGCAGCCAAACCCGCCCTGTGCTTCCGTTCCCCTTCGCTCCAAAATTTCTACATGCCAGACCCGAACTGAACTGCCCATTCCATCCCCCCTCGAACCCACGACCCTCGACCGTGCTCTCGACGATTTATGCCATCGCGGGATCCTCATCCATCCGTCGCGCATCCTCCCGTCCCTTCTCCTTTCTCTTCCTCCGACCGTTCTACTCTCCTTTGCCGCCCGACGTGATTGCGTGCTTCTCTCGTTGCCCGCACTCGCTCGCTTTGCTCGATTTCCCGTCTCACGTCGGCGTCATTGACCGGTCCCCAAAAAGGTTCCCACCGTTCCCCACACAATTTGCAGTTGACCCCCCGACCGCTTTCGCCAGAGGGGGTTCAGGGCAGGGACCTAGCAAGAACAAGGGAAAAAAATCAGAAAAGGGGGAGACCAAAAAATAGGAGGAGCGAAAAAAACCCTCGTCTCCCGCACCGCCTCGATTCCGTCGTCCTCCTTGAGCGACCGACGAAATCTCGTCCGCTTGCGATAACCACAGGCGAAGGAAGGAATTCTGCTTCTTGCCACAAGCACCACCATCAGACTCGACACTCTTCCACCCCTCGCTTGCCGGCCACATCGGGTTCTTGCAGCCTGCTGTGCTCCGTGGCCAGCAGCTGTGCTGGGGGAACGACGCCCATACGAGGCTCGAATCTTTTGGAATCACCACGCACCTATCGAGAGACAAAATGAACCAGCAACAGGAAGGCTACCTAAACGGCCACTTTGGTGCCACAAACAGGTCACCAAACTCGTCGCGACCCGGCTACGCAACCACGGTGGGGTTTCCGGGAATGGGCCTCGGCCAGGGAGGCAACGGTCGCCAAAACCAGAGGAACGGTGCCGGCGGCGGTATCGATGCGCTCAGCCAGCAGGTCTCGGATCTAAGCTTCTACGGTGGCGGCGACGAGCGCTTCAACACTTTCAACCCGGGTGCGTCGCGGTACGACGGTCGCTCTGCGCCCTCGCCGGGCGCCGGGAATGCCGCGGGTAACTTCATGATGTTTGCAAACGGCCAGGCGTGGGGCTACAACGCAAACTCAAACTACAACGGAAGCACCACTGCCACCATCAACGGCGCCATCAGCGATCCCACCCGCATGAGGGGAGGTGTCAACAGGCGGGCCCCTCTGCCAACAGTACGTCTCCGTGTTTCATTGGTCGCCCTCGGTCCGATCTGGTCCTCCCAGTCTGACATCCACACACACCCCACCACACCTTCCCTGTTCGAGTGCGCTCCCTGGCGTCACCACATTGTGTATACCATCAAGCTAACCATCTCGTTCTTCCGAACCCAACAGGAATGGGGTGTGATGGGTGACTCTGGCCTCGGCGCCCCAAGCTCCATGGGTCGTGGTCAGCTGCACCACTACAACCAGGGCCCCGCGCCCATCTCGGCAATGGGAACAACAAATGGACAGATGTACACGGTTGCCCCACCAGCCGGCGCATACAGCGTCCCCGACCTGAGGCCGCATGGCGACGATGACGACGGCCCTGGCCTCATTAAGACGGCCATTGTCATCAAGAACATCCCGTTCAACGTCCGGAAGGAGACACTGCAGGCCCTGATGGTGGAACTGAACCTGCCGCAGCCGTACGCTTTCAATTATCATTTCGACCAGGGCGTTTTCCGCGGACTGGCATTTGCGAATTTTGCGCACCCCGAAGAGACGAAGGTAGTTATCAACGCCATGAACGGTATGGACGTTTCTGGTCGCAAGCTGCGCGTCGAGTACAAGAAGATGTTGCCCGAGCACGAACGCGAGCGCATCGAGCGCGAGAAGAGAGAGAAACGTGGCCAGCTCGAGGAGCAGCACCGCGCTGTGCCTCTGCATCACCAGCCGTCGCTTGGCAGCATCGGCAACAACGTCGTGTCTTGCCTCTCGGATGCAGCGGCAAGCAGCTACAGTACGTACTCATCAATCTTTCGTGAACTACTCTACAACGAAAAGCAGTGCCACGCGCCTTGGAGATTCTCCGAAATCTTATTGTTCTCGTCGTCGCTGATTCTAACTAGAGCTTCCGCACGTAGGGGAGCACGGCATCGATATGAACAAACAGTCGACCATCACGTTTTATCTGGAGCTTTTCATGTTCCGGAAGGACCCTGCACGCGAGATCATGATCTTCCCGCCCGACCTCTCGCCCGAGGCCCGCCGCGATATCCACGTTATCTCCCATTCGCTCGGTCTTAGCCACACTAGTGTTGGCGATGGCGACAACCGTCAAGTCGTCGTCAAGAAGACCCCCTCGTCAGGTGGCCAGGTGAACACACTCGCCATGCCTACGGCCACGGGTGCCACTCTTGACACGCACCCGAGGGGGCTCAGCCGCGCTGCCACCATCGATTTCGCCGAGCAATCGCGCGCCGCGGGCCCTCAAGGCGCCTGGAATCACGCTCAGACGCGCGCCGGCGGAGGACTTCTCGGTGTTCCCGGGAGCCCAGATGGCCCCCAAGGCCTCAACGGTCTCCGTGGTGTTAAGAGCTTCGCGGACTTGAGGTCATATAGCCCTAGCCCCAGCCCGTCCGTCACCAGCGCCAGCAACGTCGCGCTCGCCCCAGGATCAAATGTCACTCTCTTTGGCCACTACACAACCGAAAGCAACGCTGCGGCTGCAGGCGCTTTCGGCTCTCTCCCGATCCCTCAGCAGAATGGCGCCTCTGACGGCCTCGGTCCCCTGGCGCGGGCGGCATTCGATGCCGGCGGCAGTGGGCAGATCTCGCGCCCCCGAGCTGAGGGCCCGGGTGCTATTGGCAGCCAGCGGCCTGGTGCTGGGGCCAGCAATGGAAACTCGAGCAACAGGGCCCCGGAAAGGCAGCCTCGAGGCCCAGGCGTTGAAACTACCGGATTCGGTTCCCGTACGCGCCAGAATGGGCACATGCAGCGCGGTAGTGGTAGGCAATCTCGCCCCTCGCCTGTTCCCGCGTTGTTCTCAGCTTGGCTGACACTGACATGCAAGTAGATTCTTCTGACAACGCTGGGGCGCCCACGAGCTCTACCTGGAGCCATTAGGCGGGTAATCTCCGCCGGGCACGCGCGCCTCAAGGGTCCGCAGGGACTCTTGAGAATGCGCACATCGGCCGTGTCAGACTGACATCACTTCGGACTCTCGCCGCACGAGCTTTTTGGCATCGAGCCGCTAACCCAGAATCGATGCTCGAACAGTTCCGTGGGGGGTCGCCTGATGTCTTACCGCTTGGGACATGTTGGACAGCCCACTTCGGGCGAGGACCCTACGCTATTGAACGCCATCCTTGCTCACCACCGGAGCCTTGTCTGCACTCCCGACAACCTGACAACCGCCCTCTTCCCCCACCCCATGCATCGATATGTCGGCGTTGAGGCGGCAGACATACCCACTATTTTCCCAGCTGCATTTTTTTTCTTATACTGTTGTTTTTGCTACTTCTTTCTCCGCATCGTCTACGCTATCACTTTGTAATTTTTGCTTTTCCTTGCTGCCTTTTGCTCCTCCGCACCTGAGTGGCGGAGGTACCTCTTGACACTCTCACGACCACCTCAATACGCCCAAAAGAGCAGAAGACGACTCCGCTACTTCGCCCCCACGAGAGGGGCATGGGAGAACGGGTGCGAGTTCTTCCTCAAACGCCACGGCATCTGGAATGACCACTACGCCTGTGCCGTGGCCTGTACACCACCTTGACCGCCGATGTCCTCATGAAGCGATAACGAGACACTTATACTATACCCAAGATCACTGGTTGACGAGAAAAAAAAAAGGCACGAAGAGGCCTCGAGAGGAGAAGACGAGATGACTGAACGAAAGTTGGAAATCTGTTCAGATCAAGAGAAGATGGAAATTGGATTCCTGACTGAGGAAATAACGTCACTTGATACAAAGTCTTGGGCAACCACACCAACAGTCACCAGACGACTGAGCATGCTTCTCGATGAGCCCCGCTCCTTTGGTGGCAAGCATTACGACGTACGAACCCCACGGAGAGCATCGTCGCCCTCTCGAGCATCCGACAGCTTGATTGCTGGCCTGGCTTGTTGAGTGGCATACGCCCTTGTCATCAAGCCCGGCCACCCCCATCCGCCGACGCCTCAAGATCAGATCGGGCTCGCACCCCACCTCCTCGACGGCACCTCGGGCTGTCTTTCTGGCTTGGCTTACAGCCTCGGTGCTTTGTGGGCCTTTTGCCGCTGCTCCCCATTCACCTGCCACACATCGGCTCTATAACGATTTCCACGCTGTTACGACGTGATGTTTAGACGGTTATGTCACATCCTTCCTCTCACCCCAGTCAGACGTATGGGGTTTGGCTATCTTGCACTAGCTGCGGCGCACTCCGCTGGACCAGTCGAGACTGCACAACACCCCACACCTGGCTGGCTGAGGGGAGGCATGCCTGTATCACATCACACAAGTGCGCCCTGCACACTAACCACGCATATTCACCCTGCACACCCCTAATAGTATATTGCTACAAAAGTCATGTTTGCCATCGTTTTTAGCTTTCCCCAATCTACGTAACACGTTTAACCCCCTCATTTGTTTCCGCTGCGGATACGCTGCTTCTCCCGCCCATCCTGCCTCCCGCCCTGCTATTGGCGGGGCATGAATGTTGCAGTTAACACATTACCAACAGCTCGCAAGCCAAGGCTCGGGCGATGCGAGATATTCGCTGGTGATTTTTGGATATCGGACATCATTATCTGAATCGGAGTCCTCTGCTTTTCTCTTTTCTTGCCCAGTTCTCCTGGCTTACTGACCATTCCGATATTGTCGATCCCGTCATGTGTCACTGTCTTCTGATTTAACTATCCACTTTGACGAGTTAAATCTTTACTTCCACAAGTTACTAGGCTTGATTATCCGTTCCATCTACATTGGCCGTATCACCTCTCTTTCTCTCTTTTTATGTCTTGCTATGCTTTCTAGTTTATCTACCTACCACCTGCTATTAATAGTCCCCTTGCTTGCTTTACTCCGTTATCCGACGCTGCTGATGATAATGTGGCTACGTGAACGATGGGTCGTGTGGGATAGGCCGTGCGGGATCTCGGTGTTGTTTGTTTTTGTGTGAGTACCCATGTGTGTGAGCGGACCCGCGTTACCAGGCATCCAGTTGTATTTTTTGGATTTTGTTCAAAATTTGCCAGATTATCCCTCAATTATACCTCTGGCCAGCTTATCCAGTTATATGCCACGGCCGTGTTGCGCAGCAGCCCCCTGCCGTTTTTCCACATGCTTCACTTGAAACAACGGCTCTAGCACTTGGGCGGCCAGAAAACGTCGAAGGTGTCGACTGCAGCGCCGCCCTGACGAATACCGCCGCCGGGCACATAGACGCCGCCGTTGGGCATGGAGACGGCCCAGGAGCCGTGCCGGGGCACCTCCATGGGCGCGAGGCGCTGCCAGGCGTCGGCGCGCACGTCGTAGGCCTCGGTCTCGGAGAAGACGCCGGCGGTCCCGTTGGCCGGGTTGCCCTCGCCGCCGAAGGTGTAGATCTTGCTCCCGACGGCGGCGGCGGCGACGCCGCCCCGCGCCGTCGGCATCCTGCCGGGCCTCATGGCCCAGCCCGCAGCCACGTCGGACAGGTCCAGCGTGAAGACGGTGTCGCGCACGTTGTCCTGCCCCTGGAACCGGCCGCCGAGCACGTACAGCGTGCCGCCGACGACGGCGGACCCGGCGTGGTCGCGCCCCTCGGGCATGGAGGGCGCCGCCGCCGCGATCCAGGCGTCGGCGGCCACGTCGTAGGTGACGACGGTGCCCACCGTGTCCTGCGGTATCAGCTGCCGCATGCCGCCCGCCAGGTACACGCGGCCGTCGTGGGCCGCGACGGCGGCGCTGCCGCGCGCGGCGCCCTCGGGGATCGGGGCCAGGGCCTGCCACTGCGGGCCCCCGCCGGAGGAGGAGGCGGCCAGGGACGAGATGCCGCGCAGCACGTGGGTCGCGCCCGTGGCGACCCAGTTGCCTTCGGCGTTCGGGACCAGCCCGCCCAGGAGGTAGAGCGAGTCGCCGATCACGACGGTGTTGGCGTGGTTGACGGCGTAGGGCAGCGCCGGGCCCGGGCTCCAGGTGGCGGTCTTGACGTTGTAGAGCTGGAACATGTCGGTCGTGACCCAGTCTGACGGCGAGTTGCCGCCGCCGCCGCCGGGGGCCGGGACGATGCCGCCGACGAGGGCGAGGGTGGTGGCGTTGAGGGCGACGACCGTGTGCTCCTGGCGGGGCTGGAGCGCGATGGGGGAGAGCAGCTGCCAGCGGCCGAGGTTTTTGGTTGCGGGTCTGGGGGCGGCGGCGATGGGGGTCGCCGAGGCGGAGAGGGCCAGGCACAGGGCCGCGAGGGCGGCGGTGGTGCGGAGGGAGGGCATGGTCAAGGTGATGAGGAGGTTGGGTTTGGGAGATGGACAGATGCTCTGATGCTGGTGTGCCTCTTTACTTGAAAAAGGGGCGCGGGGAAAGTCGCCATTTATCCATTTTCAAGTCAAGCAGCCGGGCCTCTCTCTCTCTCTCTCTCTCTCAGGGTAATATCTGCAATGCATCTCTGGTGTGGGGAAAAGAGGTAGCATCGGCCTGGAGCAGCGAACATGTCGCGAAAAACGTCCCCAGGGCAAGCAAGCATGTTCGCGAAACACTGCCTACCGTGACCGCCGCGCCCGCTGATGCCGAGACCAGAGTTGCCACGCCAGCAAGCAGGGCCGATCATGGCCCTTGCTCTGTATACCGAGTCCGGTTGTCAATCATGGTTTTTGCTTATTCCTGGATGGATGCTAGTCGGAGTTTTTTGTGGCTGGACTTGCTTGGCCACCAAAACCTCGCGCGGCCGTCAGCGCCGACAATGGATAGCGCGAGCGGTGGGGCCCTTTCGTGGTTGGGGGTGTGTGTGTGCGTCTGTCGGTGCTTGGGTCGAACGAACGCCGGTGTGCCGTTTGGAGAGGGGCCCTATGTCGGCGCTGCGGTCCAAAGCCGAGAGCGACGAGCCGCTTACGTACGCCTGTGGGCGGAGGCGTTTTGGGAGATGGACAAATGCGAGCGAACCAATTGGGCCACCAAGCCAAAAGCGAAGGTCCCCGCTTAGTGGCTGGTAGCTACCCAAGTGGTCTATATCCGTCTGCGACAACAAAGTTGTGCCTTGCCTTGTTGGAACGCGGCCGTTGGCTTGGCTGCACCTGTTTTGGGGATTTTGCTGCTTGTCGAAAAAATGATGTTGGCACACAGCCACAGTGAGTACTTGACAGCCAGAGTATGCTTTGGATACTGCTTCGGCTTAAAAAGTGTGATGTTGCGACCGCGAGGGCAATACCATGTTAGTCAGGTCTTTTCCCTGTTTCAGGTTTCATTGATGGGAAACAAGACAGGTGACGTATATTATAGGTACGGGCGATGTGAGGGTGCAAGCTTTCCTTTTGACCGTTGTGCCAGCAAGCGGCTGCCTTGCTTGTATTTGACGCCGTGATGGCTTGGCTGCAGCTGCCTTGGGATTAACGTGACCAGCTGTCTGCTGTTCCTTTTTTTTTCGTTGTAATTCCATGCGGCTGCCCTACCCGGGTAAAAGAAAGTATCTTCCACACCATCCGTAGCTTTTCTCTTGGTCCTCTTTCTCTCTCAACTTGTCTTCACAACCGTCTTACTCGGAATCCTGCCGACCTGCCGACGCGATACCTGCTTAGGGAGCTATCACTTGTGCCAGACACTTGGGCCAGTCGCACCATCTCGCATGGGTTACTCGCCGAGGGGGAATGTCTCCCATTGCGCCTCACCCAAGATGATTATCAAACTACCGAAAAAAACTACTCCTGGCCATTTAGCAATTCACTCTCCCCCAATCAACACCTGTGACCTACCTATATCCAGGTCAGCTCTATATTCTACGCAGCACCGCCTACTACTCTATGCGTGACGACTCAAGCCGTTTGCACAAACACCCATGAAACTTGGCTCGACCCTCTGCCGTGCCACAGGCGGGTTCGCCGCCCTCCAGGCACGCCTCAGGTCTGCGAGCTCGTCGGCCCCGTGGTGGTCGGCCTCGTGTAGCATCTCGAGATGGAAAAGGTACTCTTTCCCGTCGGGTTTGCGGTAGAAGGCGATGGACCGCGGCAGGGCCCCCGAGAAGTCGTCGTGCTCCTCGAGCAGCACGGTGCATAGCCCGCCGCCGACGTGGCCCCGCTGCAGCAGCTCCATAGGCGACGGCCTGTCCGACTCCTTGAGGCCGATGGGCTCCAGGTGCCAGCCCTCGGCCTCGAAGACCCAGTCGCCCGCCACCTCGGCGTCGCCGCTGAGCGGGCACACGGGCATGGAGGCGTGCCCGCAGCGGTGCCGCTCGGCCAGGCGGTCCACCAGCGCCATGTCGTCGCGGTCCTCGCGCCCGCCCAGCTGCACCACCACGGCGCGCGGCGGCCACGCCCCGCCCACCTCGCGCGCCACGGCGGCCCAGCAGGCCGGGATCAGGGCGGACCGCGGTAGGCGCAGGCTGGGCGGGTGGCCGCCGCGGCCGGCCGGGTGCGCCTGGAAGTCCGAGTGCGTGCGTCTGCTCACCACGATCCAGCCGGCCGCCGGGTCCGCCCAGCCCACCATGTACCGCGGGATGCTGCTGTCGTCGGCGGCGCCACTGTCCCACCAAAAGGCGGAGGTGACTTCGAAGCGGAAGACGCGGTGCTCACGGCCGAACGGGGACGCGGATGCGTCGTCCACCAGCAGGTCCCACGTCGCCTGCTGCATCCGCGGCGGCAGCTCGGGCACCCGCTTCACCGTGATCTTGTAGTAGCTCAGTATGGTCTCGTACGGCCAGGGCCCGTCGCGCACCGGGTCGTGTGGCTGGATGGGGGCGCTGTATTCGGCGCCCATGCTGCCCTCCTTTTTTTTCGCGGAATGTGATGCTGGCCGGGTCGGGTTAGTTTATACCGTCGATAGGTATCAAGACTGAGGGGGGAGGGGCCAAGGAGAGGGAGAGACTGAAAGTGTTTTTATATGGCTGTCTTCAAGGCTAAGGTGACACACTCGTGATCCGTCAGGTTGATCGTAGCTACACAAGTGATGCCGTCGAGCAGCCGGACAACAAGCACTGCCAGGCGGGAATGCGACGGGAGCCCGCCAAATCACAAGTCCACAGCCCATCTGCCGGCTTCTGACGGCGTATACATGGGCTCACTGCAACAACACGCGCGATGGGCAGGGGAGACAAGGTCACTTGAAAAAGTCTAAAAACCCTTTCACTACGTTTTAGAATGTCACTCGCAAACCGTCGGTAAACTATCGGTAAACCATCAGTAAACCACCGGTAAACCATCGATCCCCTTCCAAATCGCCTACCTCGATCATCCAGCCTCGCTCTCCGGCCGCCGTCAGCCTACGAGGCCTCAAGGGTGGTCAAGCACTACGAAACCGCTGTCAGCTTCCTCACACGAGCACTTGGCCGTGCACGTCTCTGCCGGCGCGATATTGTCGGCCTCGGGCGACATCAGGTTGGCGCCCCTACCGCCACTGCCACGCCGTCCAGCCCGCTGCTGCCGGCCCTGCAGCCAGCGCCGGCCCCAAAAGCCCCTTGTACCCCTGCCCTGCGCCTGCGACGCCGACGACCCCGGCGGACGAAACAGACCGGCCCTGGTGCCAAATTGCGCCGCCTCGCCGTCCGACAACGACGGCGGCGCGCAGCACCCGCCCATGGCGTCGCGGTCCAGCAGCTCCGAGACGGCGTCGACTTTGACGTAGCTGCTGCCGCCGCCCGACGACGACGAGCTCGTCGCGTAGCTACTACTGAGGCTCGCGCTCGACAGCCGCCACCGGGCCTCAGACGTCACGTGCGCCGCCACCTCGGCCGCCACCGCCTCGACGGCCGCCGGCGCCAGCAGACCCCCCGTAGTGAAGGGGCTGGGTGGGGCCGTGTTCAGGCGCCGCTCCGCGTCCGCCCGCCGCCGCGCCCACTCCTCGTGCGCCCAGTAGCCGCCGGCGGGCGGGCGCGAGGGGGCGAAGTCGGCGGCTGTGATCTCGTCGTAGCTGGACGAGAGTGACGCCGACGCCGAGCTGCTGGCGGGGTCCGAGACGCCGCTGTCGTCTTCTTCGTCGTTATCCAGGTATGCCGCGGCGGGGGTTGGGGGAGGAGAGTGCAGCGTCGGCCTGAGCGTGGGGGCTGACGAGAGGGTTGGGGGCGACGCGGTTGCTGAGGGGCTTCTGGTCTCGGCCGGGTCGTGCGGTAGGCCGAACGGGACCGGATCGCCGCCGCCGCCGCCGCCGCCGCCCATGCCCATACCCATACGGAAAGCGGCCGAGCTGCCGTCGGCGACAGTGCCAAAGCCCCTGTCACCGGCCAGGGCAGCGGTGCCGTCGGGCTGGAGCACGCCGGGCGGGCTGCCCCTGGAGGAGTAGCCGAGGAGCAGGGCGCCCAGGGACTTTTCGAGCTGCCGCCGGATCATGTCCTGCAGGCTCGGCTCGGGGCTGCGCGGGCCGAGACCCGTCACCCCTCTCGGCCGCCGGCCTTCCTCACCCGGGGCTGCTTGGCCCCTTGCGGCATATTGCGACATGGCGGGAGGGCTGCTGGCCCGGTCCCGGCTCCTATCCGCGTTGGAGGTGATGTTGGACGTTCCCCTTTTTGACATGGACCGGGACTTGCTCTGCCGCCTACTGGGAATCTCGTCTCCGCCGCCCATCTTGCGGTTCGAGATGTGGTTTCAGGCGTAAAGGGGTGGTGCTCCGACGGTCCTCTCTGTCCATATGGATCCCCCTAATTGTAGCCCCAAGACATTTTTTTCGTGCACAAGAAACATGCTTTAAATACACGGTCTGGGTCAAGTTACTAACTTTGACCAGACGAACCACATCATGAGAATAGGCCGACGATGGGCATTCTTGTCATGTCAAGTCACTGCCACACAGAGTGACCACTCCTGCACATCTCATGCGCTGTCCTCCTGGCGTCGAGTGCGGGATTCTCTGCCGTTCCACCGTCTTGACGCAACTCCTGTGGTACCGGAATGTGTGGAGTGGTCGTGCCATGAATACCTGAATGATCGCTACTTGTTGCTACCTCATTTGCGGCGCCTCGGCCAATCGGAACAGCAGCACCCGCGCCTGCCATCGTATCAGAAGATCTTGGCATGTGGTCGGCGCTCAGACGAAAGCCGAGCCGACGCCGATAGGGTGCCTCAAGATATGGTGAATTCGGCCAGAATAGACAAAGCGCAAGCCCGGTCAGGCGCTCCTTGACGCGTAATACCTCGCAGCTGCCGTAGCGTATTTTACGAGACTGGGGTATAGGGCAGGGTGGATGAGGGTTCATGATCCAGCCGAGCGCGTCTCGCGTCCACATATGGCCATACCCACTGGAATATACACCGGTTATCTGACGAGAGGTAGGGCCCGCACTTTATATATGCTGTGGCCCACTGATAGACAGCTTTTACGATATCTGCTTCTTTGTTTATCCGCCCCACTCGTCGTCATGAACATGTTGCCTGGATGCCTCTTGTTCCCCTCCCGCTGCTGTTGCCATGAAAAGTCGTTATAGGGCCACTCTGAAACCCACCTTGTTCGAGGGGAGGGCCATCTCCCTTTCCCTGCGCCCTAGCCGATAAGGTAAAACGAACGGCTTTTCCTCCACCCCGCAACGTCCCCTTGTATAGGGAAGACGTCATAGCGCCTTGGCCAGCGGGCACTTCTGTCACGACCAAGAGGCCGGTTCGGAACTTTCGGATCAGCAGAGTACAAGTCAGGTGCCGAGATCCTTCGGCGTTGTTTTCGCACAAGATCGTGCGACCCTTCAAGGTAGGGATTTTCTTTCGAGGAAGCGGGACTCCCGGGCCGCCCCGATGCATGGATATGATCCAGGCCGATGGAGAGATACTGGGCCAACCCGGTCGGGGCTGGAATGAAATTGCCCTCAATATTTTTCCGTCTGGGCAAAGAGGATCAATATTCCATTCTATTTTGAGAGCTCTCCACAAGCTGGTGATGTGCTCTGGCGGTCAACGCGATGCGGCTTGTGGAACACCGCTTGTATAAAGAGATGGGGGATAGGGCACTTGAAGAAGATCTTGTGGAGGAAGTAGTCACCATCACTCCCGGACAGACACTCCCGAACAGACTACGAGATGCAAACCAACAACATCATCGCTTACCTGTCCCTGCTGGGCACCGCCTCGGCGGTAACCATGAGCCGATACGCCCCCTCGACCCAGGTCGAGGCTGCCTTTGGCCCATACCTGGAACAGTCAGCCTCTGCCCTCCCCACACTTACGGGAGCCCCCCCTTCTTCAGTAGCCCCAGGAAACTGACGCTGTAATTGCCCAGGCTCTATGCCTCCACCGAGATCTCCACCTCCAACGACGGCTTCGTCAACTTCTTCACGCCGTCGGGCCAGCTCATCGTGCGCGGCAACGTCGCGACGGGCGCCCAGGCCATCGCCAAGCTCAAGGAGCAGCTCCTGCCGCCCGGCGGCACCAAGCACTGGAACCACGTGCCCAACGCCACGACCATCTACTCGGACACGGCGGACCGCAAGACGTACCAGGTCCTCGGGGCCATCGAGACGCGCTACGACGGCGGGAACTGCTCGCAGGCCTAGTGAGTCCCCCTCCCACCGCCGCCGCCGAAACCTGGCATCGTCTCTCCTACGCTTCTTTCACGAGCAAGCTGCTGACCCGGGCCATCTCGTTACTTTTATAGTTACTCTACCCGCTTCACAGTCACCAAGGATGCTGGTGGCAACGCCCAGCTGACCCCCCATGCGGGCAACCTGGTGGCCTACGACGACTTCATCGTCGAGCCTTCCAAAACACCCACCGACATCCCTTGCGGGACGCAGTAGTTTGAGCTAGAAGAGCAATCGAGGAGGGAGGCGAGATCAGGATGTTATTTCGGATTATTTAAAAGCTCGGAAGAGAAAATATCCAGCGCCCAGATGAACAACCATACTGGAAAATTCCAAGGGGTTTCTCGCTTGATGCATCCCTCCTTGTAACTTGATCATGCCCCCTGAATAGGCTAACCCGATTTGGATTCTTATCGCATCACTGAATGTAGAGCGTCGCAATGTCAGCCTTGTGCAGGATGAAATGCAAAAGAATTTGACAAAAAGACCACGTTTGCTTGGAGTCGCGGGTTCGATTTGGGTAGGCACTTGTATGCCTAGTTTGTTACCATCGTCGTCTCCAATCAGCATGGCAGCGCTAGAATGATAGAGCTTGGGCGAGGCTTGGAGGATCGAAGTATGACAAAACGGACAAGCTCCATGTATGGATGATTGTCATTTATTTGTGTTCTTCTAAGACATTATTTCCACACAATCATCATTGCTTTCGGCAGCAGAATATCAGGAAATGGACGTGGTGCCTCTTCTTGGTTCTTTCCACCAGAATAAAGCAAAGCATTCGTCATCAAGAACGAATCCTAGTACTCTCGGCTCAAAGATGGCCAACTCCTCCGACTGCCACACGGCGTCGGGAGCAAGCCCCCGATTCCACATCAGGCCAGTCGGCAGGCAGGCAGCCATCTCTGCTCTTCTCTCTTCTCAAATACTGAACACTAAGTCTTAGTCCATCACCACTAGCTCAAATGGTATGCGAATTATGCGGAGACCTTAATGGTGGGAGAGAGCTTCTCGACAGGCGGCAGTCGGCAGGGTCTCCGCCTCCTCTCCGACGCAATCACAAGCCCAAGTTGAACTGGCACGTCTCTGTGGAGGCCGCCGAGCGATGCTACATATTCGCCGTGTTTTTGTCGGGCTGCCGAGGCGTTCTCCAGCAGCACTGCATGGACGAGACTCGCATCTCGAGCGTGGGGTTGCACTTTGGCTACCAGCAGTACATGGGAGACGAGGCGGGCCGCGAGAAGCTGGTGCGCCTGCGCCTGGCCGATGGGTCGAGTTTTGACATTGAGCTCTTCACCCTCCAAGGTAGAGGCCGCCTCCCATTTGGTACATGACCCGCTGGCCGACTGTCAGGAACAGACGAAGCCGAGTGATTTATAAGTTGCAAAATGACAAAAATTGGAAGTACTTAAATGCTATGCTATATTTACAAATAACACGGGTTGCGAAATCTTTTCCAACCGTTTTTCATCGCAGTTTACCATGTCACAACACGTAAATGAGCTTCTTGCCAGACATCTTGCCCTCCCGGATGTCCTTCAACCCTTGCGAAATGCCCTCGAGCCCATCGTTGCGCACCAGAAGATTGTGCGGCCGAATCAATTCCTTCTCTAGTAGCTGGTTGACGATGGCCACCAGCTCGCGGCCAAACTCGATCACCTCCTTGTTCTCGGGCTTGTAGTGGGGCTCGGGCCAGGTGACCTCGCCCAGGAGGTTCGGGGAGATGACAAAGTCGGCCTTGATGATCTTGCGCGTCTGCGCGACGGCCTCGCTGAAGGGCTCGAGCGTGACGAAGCGGCCGCCCGCGCGGCCGACGACCTGGTAGCAGAACTGCATGCTGCTCGTGGTGGAGATGCAGTCGACGACCCAGCGCAGGCCGTTTTTCGTCAGGGCCTTGATCTGGGCGACCACGTCGTCGGCCTTGTAGTCGAGCACGTGGTCCGGGCCAAAGGAGCGGACGTAGTCGAAGTTGTGCGGGCTGCAGGTCGTGATGACCTCGAAGCCGGCGAGCTTGAGCAGCTGGATGACGCAGACGCCGGTGGACGACGAGCCGCCAAACACGAAGACCTGGATGGGCTTCGGGCTGGGCGCAAAGGGGCGCCCCGGCAGGTTGAGGGTGTGGAACAGCGCCATGCCCGCCGTCAGCCAGCTGATGCCCATGGACGCGCCCTGCTCGAACGTCCAGGCGTCGGGCAGGCGCCAGAGGAACCACTCGGGGCTCGACGTGTACTCTGCAAAGGCGCCGATCTCGGGCGTGTTCGCGTTCATGCCCGACACGGCCGAGCACACGCGGTCGCCGACCTTCCAGCCGAACTGCGTGGCCTCGGGCCCCAGCGCGACGACGACGCCGGCGTAGTCGAAGCCCGCGGCCGCTCCCGGGGTCACGTAGTCGCCCACCAGCTTGCTGTCGACCGGGTTGACGGCCACGGCCGCGACCTTGACGACGATGCTGTCGCCCGTGGCCTGCGGCACCGGCGCGTCGTGCACGAGGCCGATGGCGCCTTCCGTCGTGCCGACCAGGGCCTTTTGACTCTGCGGTGGCTGCTGCTGCTGGGTCATGATGCTTGGCGGGAGGGTTGGGGGTGGGCCAGTGGGTGTGATTGGTAACGAAGATGTTGTAAGTTGGATGGGCAGCTATGTGGGATGGCCATAATCACAGTACATGTGCCAGCCAGCCGTGTTTAAAGACATTTCTACATTTGGGTCCAAGCATTCCAACTATCGACATCTCGTCCCTGCAATCGGCAGTCGGGGGATGAGGGCATCGCCTAACCCGACATCGAAAAGGGGCCACCGAAAAACACCGAAAAGTTCCGAAATGGAGCTTGTCCAAACAACGACATGGAACGCTGGGGGCAAAGGTGTATTTCCTCACCGACCCGAACTCGGAGGAACTTTTGCGGAATACATGGTTCGTTGCCCACCATTCTTAACAGGCTTCCTGCCGTCACTACCTGCAGCCCCTACTAGTTATTCCAGTCGCACTGGGCGCTAAGACAAGCCCCTTGGAACCCTTCCCCCTCCGCCCCGCCGACCAAGGTGTCAACAAAGCACGTGTTGCCCTGCTGGTTCGGGCCTGGCGGGCTGGTCGGGATGTTCCAGAAGAGGGCGGCGTGGCGCGTGTCAAAGACCCACCGCTGGCCGTCCCGGTACCACTCGAGACGGTACCCCGCGTTCTTGTCGCTGTACGCGCCCGTCAGGCCATCGCCCTCGAGCGTCATGCCCAAGACCAGCGCGTCCCCGGCCCCAGCCTTCTCGGCCTCCTCGCGGGTGCCGGCCACGCGCTTGGGCGAGCAGACCAACCGCCCGTCGTGGAACAGCGTCGCGGCCAGGTAAGGGACCTTGCCGTCGTCGGTGGGGGACCTGATGTGGCATATCTGGAAGGCGTAGGGCCCCGCCTGCGCGTGTATGTACAGCGAGTAGGACATGGCGCGCGGCCACGGGAGCTTGCACCAGCCGTGGTCGATGGCGCCGTGCGCCTTGTGGGGGCCGTCCGGCCCGAAGGCGAGGCGGCGCCCGCCCATGTCGACCTCGCACTCTGCCGACCCTCGGGGCAGCGGGCGCGTGTTCATGTACTGGGGCCCCATCCAGGGGTCTATGTCGAGCCCCGAGTCGCCCGGAGGCGCCGTGAACTCCAGGGTGCCTGTCGCCATGCCGGGCATGTTCAAGACCAGCTTGACCTTTTTGCCAGCCTCGGTGATGGTCCAGGAAATACTGGTGCCGCGTGGCTCGTCCTGCCACACGCCTGTCACGTCCTCCCCTTCGGTTTCAGTCACGATGGACTCGGGGAAGAAGAAATCTTGATGCCAGGTCGACTGGTCCGGCCAGAGGCCGAGGACTTGCACCCTGAAGTCATCCTGTCCGGCCGGCCTCATGCCGCGCGACATGCTGACGACGATGGCCGAGTGGTCCTTTTCCGAGACGGCATCGAAGATCCAGACCTCGGAGCCCGCGCCTATAGCGTCGGCATACTTTGGGAATGCGTTCAGCTTTCCTGGGACGAACGGCTCGGCTTCGGCGGGGGTCGAGTAGACGGCGGGACCGGCAACAAAGTGTGACTTTTTAATCGGGTTGGACATGGTTGGTAATGGTGCGGAGGGATGTCGAAATGGTCGGAGTATTCTGGTTAAGGGCTGGGGTGGAACGGTGTGTGTGTGTGTGGGATGCAAGTCGGAGCACAGGAAACGAGGAAGATGGCACGACCCTAAGTATAGACCCAGTTCTGCCAGAATAGAAAGCAGCCCGAGCATCACCGAAATAGTCCGGCCCCCACATCCTGTCCGGGGTGAAGGCTTCGCTTCGCCGAGTGGCACCGACAAGGTCCAGCGCGCAAATATTCGGATCGCCTGTTCTGTCGGAGGCGGCATCGACCGACATGGTCTTCCCCGAGCCTCCCCAGCATGGGATCGGGCGCGAACAACGCCGAGGCTGTTGACGCCGAGGCTGTTGACGCCGAAGCAGGGTCCAGTACCTGCGTCTATGGCACGCATGGTACTACTATTATTATTAGCCAAGCATGGCCGCCGACTGTGAAGCTCTGGGCGGCCAGAGAAAGCAAGACGAGGTCATCTACCAACACATCAACGGTTTAACACAAGACCATCCTCGTCTGGGCTGCTCTTCCTGCTAGGACCCCAACAACTCCCCAAAGATTTCTTTCCACCTAATTACACAATGAGCGCCCCCGAGCCTATCGCCGTCATCGGCAGCGCCTGCCGCTTCCCAGGGGATAGCGACACGCCGTCCAAGCTGTGGGAGCTCCTCAGGGCGCCGCGGGACCTGCTGCGACAGGTGCCGCCGGAGCGCTACGACGCCGATGCCTGGCACCACACCAACGGCAAGCACCACGGCGCCACCAACGTGCGTCACGCCTACTACCTGAACGAGAGCCCAGCCCATTTCGACAATGGGTTCTTCAGCATCCAAGCCGGCGAGGCAGAGGCCATCGACCCGCAGCAGAGGATGCTGATGGAGACCGTCTACGACTCCCTTTGTGCTGCGGGCCAGACCATTGAGGGGCTGCGCGGCTCGCAGACGTCCGTCTTTGTCGGCCTCATGTGCGACGATTGGGCGGGCCTGATGGCGCGCGACACGGAGACGTTTCCCCAGTACGGCGCGACGGGTACGGCCCGCAGCATCATGTCTAACCGCATATCATATTTCTTCGACTGGCATGGCCCCAGCATGACCATTGATACGGCCTGTTCCTCGAGTCTGGTCGCCGTCCACCAGGCTATACAGACCCTCCATAGCGGAGAATCAGAGGTTGCCGTCGCCACCGGCGCGAACCTCCTCCTGTCGCCTGGTAAGCAACCCATCCCTTGCCTGCCCGCTCCCCCATAAGCCACCAAACGCTAACCTGCTTGCCACAGCCATGTTCATGGCCGAGAGCAACCTGTCCATGCTGTCACCGCACGGCAGGTCCAGGATGTGGGACAAGGACGTGAACGGGTACGCGCGCGGCGAAGGGCTGGCGTCGGTGGTGCTCAAGACGCTCAGCGCCGCCATCCGCGACGGCGACCACATCGAGTGCGTGATCCGGGCTACGGGCGTGAACCAGGACGGCCGCACGGGCGGCATCACCATGCCCAGCGCCAAGGCGCAGGCTACTCTGGTGCGCAGCACGTACGCGCGCGCCGGCCTCGACATCAACAAACCGGAGGACCGACCGCAGTTCTTCCACGCCCACGGCACCGGCACGCCGGCCGGCGACCCGCAGGAGGCCGAGGCCATCTCCAAGGCGTTTTACTCGCAGGGACAGCACGACGACAAGCTCTACGTCGGCTCGATCAAGACCATTGTCGGGCACACCGAAGGCACGGCCGGCCTGGCCAGCCTGATCGGCACATCCCTAGCTCTCCAGCATGGCATCATCCCGCCAAACATGCACTTCAAGACCCTCAACCCCAAGCTCAAGCCGTTCTACACCCACCTTCAGGTACCTACCAAGTGCATTCCGTGGCCAGAGCCAAGGCCGGGCCAGCCTCGCCGTGCCAGCATCAACAGCTTCGGTAAGTCGTCCGCCTCTGCTTCGTCTCTCGTGTGTCCATCTTGCTGACCCAGCGCGGCCAGGCTTTGGCGGCACCAACGCCCACGCCATCCTGGAGGCCTACCAGCCGCCGCCCAAGGCCCGGGCCAAGGCGGCCCCCATGGGCGCCCTGTTCACGCCCCTCGTCTTCTCCGCCGCCAGCGAGTCGTCGCTGCGCGCAATGCTGTCGTTGTACGTCGACTTTTTGTCGACGTGCCAGCAGAAGGAGCTGCACGACCTGGCCTACACGCTGCAGCACCGCCGCTCCGCCCTCTCGTACCGCGTCGCCATCTCTGCCCCCACGCCGGCCGAGGCGCGGCACCAGCTCGAGGCGATCCTGGGCGGCGAGAAGATGAGCACCATCGGCACGCGCCAGCTCGCCAAGGGCTCGTCGTCCAAGATCCTGGGCGTCTTCACGGGCCAGGGCGCGCAGTGGGCGCGCATGGGCGCCCGCCTGCTCGAGACGTCGCCCTTTGTGTTCCAGCGCCTGGCCCAGCTGGACCAGGCCCTGGCCGAGAGCCCCGCGGGGGACGCGCCCGACTGGCGGCTGCGCGACATGATCCTGGCCGACCCCAAGACGTCGCGCATCGGCGAGGCCGCCATCTCGCAGCCGCTGTGCACTGCCCTGCAGATCGTGCTCGTGGACATGCTCGGCTTCGCGGGGGTCAGGCTGCACTCGGCCGTGGGCCACTCGTCGGGCGAGATCGGGGCCGCGTACGCCGCCGGCCTGCTGTCGGCGGCCGACGCCATCCGCGTCGCCTACTACCGGGGCCTGTACGCAAAGCTGGCCGAGTCGCCCAACGGAGGCGCAAAGGGAGCCATGATGGCCGTCGGCACTACCTTTGAGGACGCGACTGAGTTCTGCGAGCTCGAATGGTTCAAGGGACGGATCCAGGTCGCGGCGTTGAACTCGTCGTCCAGCATCACCCTCTCCGGAGACGAGGACGCCATAGACGAGGCCGTCATCATCTTCCAGGACGAGGGCAAGTTCGCCCGCAAGCTCAAGGTTGACACGGCCTACCACTCGTCCCACGTCATGCCCTGTGCTGCACCCTACCTCGCCGCCATGGAGAAGTGCGGCATCGAGGGCGGCGTGGCCACGGGCGTCAAGTGGCACTCGAGCGTGCACGCAAAGACGGTCATGAGCCAGGACAAGATGTCGCCGCAGTACTGGGTCGACAACATGGTCAACCCCGTCCTCTTCTCGCCCGCCGCCGGCGACGCCTGGACCGAGAGCGGCCCGTTCGACCTCGCCATCGAGGTCGGGCCCGCGCCGGTCCTCAAGACGCCGGCCCTCGACAGCATCGAGTCCGTCAGCGGCGGCCAGCGCCCGCCCTACACGGGCGTCCTGGCGCGCGGCAAGGACGACGTGCAGGAATTCTCCAACGCCCTCGGCTACGTCTGGACGCAGCTCGGCGCGGGCTCCGTCGCGTTTGCCTCCCTGCAGCGCGCCGTCTCGGGGTCCGAGGCCGTAGGCCGCTTCCTGCCCAACCTCCCCAAGTACCCGTTCGACCACTCGCGCGAGTTCATGGCCCTGTCGCGCGTGTCGGGCCTGCACAAGACGGCCCAGGACCCCATCCACCCGCTGCTGGGCCGGCGGTGCCACGACAGGGAGACATCGCAGAGCATGCAGTGGCGCAACATCCTCTCGCCAAAGGAGGTCCCCTGGCTGGCGGGGCACCAGATCCAGGGCCAGATGGTGTTCCCCGCCACCGGCTACATATCCATGACCGTGGAAGCCATCAGCCTGCTTGCCGGCGCTTCCGACGTCGGCCTGTTCGAGCTCCGCGACCTGCAGATCGTCAGGGCGTTGACCTTTAACGACGAGGACGACAAGGTCGAGACCCTGTTCGACCTCAAGGACATCCGGCGATCCAGCGGCGAGATCACGGCCGACTTTGCCCTCTACTCGGGCTCTCCCTACGACATCAAGTCGACGTTGGCGCTTAACACGGCGGGCACGGTCCGCATGATGCTGGCGGCTCCCCAGGCGGACCAGCTGCCGCGGGTCGAGCTCGACGAGGTCAGCCTGAGCAGCGTCGACACGGACCGCTTCTACGCCTTCCTCTCCAAGCTCGGCTACAACTACGCGTGGCCGTTCCACGGCACCACAAGCATCCGGCGCAAGGCCGACTACTCGCTGGGCACCATCGAGGACCAGTCGGCCTCGGCCTGGGAGGACCAGCTGATCGTGCACCCGGGCATGCTGGACACGGCGCTGCAGACGGCGTTTGCGGCTTTTTCGTGCCCCGGCGACGAGCGCATGTGGGACCTGCACCTGCCCAAGAGCTTCCGCTCCATCCTGATCAACCCCTACTTCACGCCGCTCGGCGTCGGGAAGCAAGCCAACTTTGGCTACGTCTCCGCCGCCAGGGTCGGCAGCAAGCTGGTCAGGGCCGCGGCCGACATCACGCTCTTCTCCGAGGAGGGCGGCCACACGTTCCTGCAGGTCGACGAGATGGAGATTGTGCCCTTCTCGGCCGCCGTGCAGGCCAACGACGCCGTGGTGTTCTCGCGCTTCCAGTACAAGGTCGCGGAGCCGGATGCGGCGCTGGTTGTCGACGACGGGTGCGAGGGCAAAACCGCTGCTGGAGAAGAGATTGCGGCGGCCGCGGAACGCCTCGCCTTTTACTACCTCGGCCGGCTTCTGGAAAAGGTGACGGCCGAGGAGAGGGCCGGTGCCCTGCCGCACTTCAAGAGCCTGCTCGACTACGCCGACGAGTGCGTGCCCAGGGTCGCCAGGGGAGAGAACGGGCTCGTCCCTGCCGCCGCTGCCCAGGACACGGCAAGCGACATCGACGCCCTCGTCGCCAGGCACGGCCAGGACGCGTCCATCCGCCTGCTACAGTCGGTGGGCGAGAACCTCGCCCAGGTCATCCTCGAGAACGGCGACATGCTCCAGCACGCGTCCATGGACGCCATGCTGCAGAGCTCCGGGCTGGCCAAGGGCGACGAGTGGATCGCATCCCTCGCCGAGCAAATGTCGCACCGCTTCCCCAAGATGAACCTGCTCGAGATCGGTGCCGGGTCGGGAAGCTCGGCCAGGGAGATCGTGACGCGCCTGGGCGACGCCTTCCTGACGTACACCTACGCCGACGTTTCCGGCAGCGTCGTCCCCAAGGCCCAGGAGCTCTTCAAGGGCTTCGAGAACCGCATGGTCTTTAAGCCGTACGACCTGGACGAGAGCCCCGCGGGCCAGGGCCTCACCGGGGGCGCCTACGACGTCGTCGTCTGCTCCAGCGTGCTCCGCGCCGCGCGCGACGTGGAGGCGACGCTGAAGCACGTGCGCAGCCTGGTCAAGCCCGGCGGCTACGTCTTCGTCCAGGAGGTCGTCGCCACCGACGACAGCCTGCGCGCCTGCCTGGCCATGGGGAGCCTGCCGGGGTGGTGGCCCGTCAGCGGCGTCGCCGACGATGCAGGCCGCAACAAGCCCATGACGCTGGACCGGTGGGGCGCCCTGCTGCAAAAGACGGGGTTTCGCGGCGTCGAGTCGGCGACGCCCGAGATGCCGTGGGTCGGCCCCGGACGGGTGTTTGTCGCCCAGGCCGTCGACGAGCGCACCGAGATGCTGCGCGACCCCGTGGCCCACCTGGCGGTCCTGCCCGCGGCCCGCGCGCCGCAGCTCTACCTCGTCGGCGGCGGCAAGACGGCCGAGGTGAAGCAGATGTGCGACGCGCTGTACGCGACGCTGTCGCCCAGGTTTCCCAAGACAGTCCGCCACGAGTCCGTCGAGGCCTTCAACCAGGACGCCCCCCTCGAGGGCAGCACGGTGCTGTGCCTGACGGAGCTGGAGCAGCCGCTGATGGAGGTCATCACGCCCGAGAAGCTGGACGCGCTGCGGCTCGTGTACAAGCGGGCGCGGGACGTCATGTTCGTGACGCGCGGCGCCCGCCGCGAGACCCCGCACTCGTACATGCTGCTCGGCATGGGCCGGTGCATGCGCTTCGAGTACCCCGGCCTCAACTTGTTGGCGTTCGATCTGGACCGTGTCGGCGACGACGCGGCCGCCACCGTCGCCCGCCAGCTCCTGCGGCTCGAGCTGGCCGGGCGCTGGGCGCTGGAGCTGCAGCCCGGGGAGCTGCTGATGTCGGTCGAGCCCGAGGTTTACATCGAGGACGGCCGGATGGTTATACCGCGCATCTACAAGGACGACGAGCGCAACAGGCGGTATAACACGACGCGCCGCGTCGTCAAAGAGGACGTCGATCCCGCAACCTCGCGGCTGGTGTTTGAGTCCCGCGAGGGCCCGTGGGAGGCCCAGGTGCCGTCGCCGCTCGACATGCCCGCGCCGCTGCCGTTCGACGTGCCCGCGACCAGGACCCTTCGCGTGACGCACTTCGTCCCGGCGACCATCACCGTCGGCCAGGGCGCGCGCCTAATGCCCCTTGTCGGTCGCGCCGAGCCGGGCGGCGAGCTCTACCTGGCCGCCGCCCACTTGACCGAGTCGCCCGCCACCGTGCCGGTCGACTGGACTTTTGCCCTCCAGGACGGGACCGACCCCGTGGCCGCCCTTGCCTCCTTCGCCGCCGCGCTGGCCGCCCGGAGGATCGCGAGCCTGGCCGGCAGCGGCGACACCATTGTCGTCCACGAGCCGCCGGCTGTTATTGCCGACGCGCTGCAGGCGTGCGCCAGAGACCTGGGCATCTCTGTCCGCCTGACGACGTCGGACAGGCACAGCAGCTCGGACAGGCAGCAGCAGCAGTACCTGGACGAGAAGCTGTCGGAGCACGCCCTCAAGGCGCTTCTGCCCCGGGCGGCGACCAAGTTCCTCGACCTGTCCCAGGCGCGCTCCTCGGCTGCACAAAAGATGGCCAAGTGCCTGCCGCGCGGCTGCGACGTCATCATCCCCGGCAGCGTGTTCCACCAGAATACGGAGCTCCGATCGTCGGCGTCGCCGGCAGACATAGCCGGCGCGGTAAAGGCCGCGTGGTCGGCCTCTCAGAAGCAGCTGGGCGGCAGCAGCAGCCGCGAGGTGCAGGCCATCATGCTCCAAGACCTAGCTGCCGGCCAAGCCGACAACAACAACAGCGGCAGGCTCGCCGTAGTGGACTGCACGAGCCCCCTGGTGCCCGCCGCGGTTCGCGCCATCGACGACGGCACCCTCTTCCGCGGCGACAGGACGTACTGGCTCGTCGGCCTGGCGAACGAGATGGGCCTGTCGATCTGCAGGTGGATGGTCGAGCGCGGCGCCCGCCACGTCGCCCTCACCAGCCGCTCGCCCAAGGTCCACCCGGCCTTCATCGACCGCATGGCCAGGCTGGGCGCGGCCGTCAAGACTTTTGCCATGGACGTGACGGACCGCGCCTCCCTCCACGCGGCATACGCCTCGCTCACCGAGGCGATGCCGCCCGTCGCGGGAGTGGCCAACGGCGCCATGCTGATGCGCGACTCGCTGTTCGAGAACATGTCGTACGAGAACTTCACGGCCTGCACGAACCCCAAGGTGATCGGATCGCTGCTGCTCGACGAGCTGTTCGGCGACGCCCCTCTCGACTTCTTCGTCGCCTTCTCCTCCATCGCCGCCGTGACGGGCAACAGCGGGCAGTGCAACTACGTGTCGTCCAACCTGTTCATGAACGGCCTGGCCGAGAAGCGCCGGGCGCGGGGAGTCGTGGGCTCGGCCGCCGACATCAGCCCCGTCATTGGCCTGGGGTTCGTCGAGCGCACCGACAGCCTGACCGAGGACACCTTCACCGAGATGGGCTACCGACCCGTGTCGGAGCAGGACGTGCAGGTCATCTTTGCCGAGTCCATCCTCGCCGGCCGCGTCGACGGCCCGGGCGAGTCCGAGGTCATCTCGGGCGTCCAGCCGCTGTTTGACGACTTTGTCGGCCGCGACCAGTACATGAAGGACGTCAAGTTCAACCACTTCTGGATGGAGCGCACCGACGCGCGCGACCTGGCCGGCGGCCGGCCCTTGGCCGTGTCGGTCCGGGCGCAGCTGGCCCTCGCGGCCTCCAAGGCCGAGGTCCTGGACATCGTCAGGGAGGAGTTCCTGGTCCGGCTGCGCAAGATCCTCTCGCTGGGCGCCGACGAGGCCGTCAACGAGCGCGTCACCTTTGTGGAGCAGGGGCTCGACTCCCTCATGGCCGTCGAGGTGCGGGCGTGGCTGGTCAAGGAGCTCGACGTGGACGTGCCCGTGCTCAAGATCCTCGGCGGCAGCTCCATCGCGGACCTGCTGGATCACGCCATCAAGTCGCTGCCGGAGAGCATCGTGGATGTTTCCAAACTCGGAGATGGCACGCCGGGCCAGGCCAAGAAGAAGGCGCCTGCGCCGGTCCCCAAGGCCGCCCCTCCCGTTTCTGCGAGTCTTCCTGCGAGCCCTCCTCGCGACGTGTCGCCCCAGAAGACGTCGTCCAACTCCGGCACCGGCACCGGCACTGGCTCCGGGACGCCTGTTGACGACAAGTCTGTTTCCGGCAGCGCGACGCCCTTATCCACCCCCGACGAGTCTCTCACGGCATCGGCCTTCTTTGGCGGCAGCGTGGAGAACAAGAAGCTGGCCGAGGTTCCCGACGACAGCACCGACATGCTCACGAGCCCCATGTCGTTCGGCCAGACCGGCTTCTGGTTCCTGAACGAGTACCTCGCCGGCAAGGCCGTCTTCAACATCGCCATGATGTACAAGTTCACGGGCCCGATCCGCATGTCGGCCCTCGAGGACGCCGTGCGGCTGGTCGGCGGGCGCCACGAGACCTTCCGCACCCGCTTCTTCTGGGCGGGCGAGGGCGACGCCAGGGTCCCCATGCAGGGCATCGGCGCGACCTCGCCGGTCGAGCTCAGGTCGAGGCGCATCTCGTCCGAGGCCGAGGCGGTCGAGGAGATGAACCGGGTTCGTGCCCAACCCTGGGACCTGGAGAGCGACAACCTCATCACCTTGACCGTGCTCTCGCTCTCCAACAAGGTCCACTATATGGTGGCGGGCATGCACCACATCCTGTTCGACGGCTACAGCTTCACCGTCCTCTTCAAGGAGCTCGAGCTCGCCTACAACACCAAGAACCTGTCGCCGCTGCCGGCCGAGTCCCAGTACCGCGCCTTCGCCAGCAGGCAGCGCGAGGACTACGAGGCCGGCAAGATGGCCCACTCCGTCGAGTACTACCGGTCCGTGCTGCCCGCCGCCGAGGACCTCCAGCCCATCGCGCTCCTGCCCTTCGCCAAGACCACCACCAGGCAAGCCCTGACGAGGTACGGCCAGTACGAGGCGACCTTCCAGATCGAGGCCGAGCTCGCCGCCAAGGTCCGCCAGCTCGCCCGCCGGAGCAGGTCGACGTCCTTCCACGTCTACCTGGTGGCGCTCGAGGTCCTGCTGTTCCGGCTCCTGCCCGACGCCGACGACGTCTTCATCGGCATCGCCGACGCCAACCGGTCCGACAAAACCTTCATGGACAGCATGGGCTTCTTCCTCAACCTGCTGCCGCTCCGCTTCTGCCGGCCCCAGGCCGATGCCAAGCTGGGCTCCGTGATCGAGCAGGGGCGCGACGCGGCGTACGCGGCGCTGGAGCACTCGCGGCTGCCGTTCGACGCGCTGCTGCGCGAGCTCAACGTGCCCCGGTCGAGCGAGCACACCCCCCTGTTCCAGGTCTTCCTCGACTACAAGCAGATCTACCAGGAGCGGTCGACGTGGTGCGGGTGCAAGGTCGAGAACGAGCGGTGGGAGCTGGCCAGCACCGGCTACGACGTGTCCCTCGAGGTGAGCGAGGACACCAGCGGCGGCGTCATGCTGCGCCTGGACCTGCAGGACACGCTGTACACCGAGGAGAGCACGCGGCTGATGCTGCGGTCGTACGTCGGGGTGATCGAGTATATGACGAGCGCCGCGGACGGTGGTATTCTGGGTGACGTCCCCAAGTGGTCCCCCCAGGACGTGCAGGCGACGCTCGTTACTGGCAAAGGTAAGTAGATGGAAGGATGGATGGACCCTAGAGGAACGTGGGCGACGGAAGCAGCTGACAATGTCCCAGGCACTCCTCTCGATGCCCAATGGCAGCCGACCATCATCCACCGCATCGAGGAGCTGGCGCAGACCCAGCCCGACAAGACGGCGCTCAAGGACGACAATGGCAGGATCCTGACCTACCAGCAGATGACAGCCCGCATCGACGCCATCCAACACGCGCTCGAGACGGCAGGTCTGCAAAAGGGCGGCGTCGTCGGCGTCTTCCAGGAGCCGTCGGCCGACTGGACCTGCTCCATGCTGGCCGTGCTCCGCGCCGGGGGCGTTTACGTGCCTCTGGATCTGCGCAACTCGATCCCCCGGCTGGCCAGCATCGTCAAGGCCTCGAAGCCGGCCTTCCTGCTGACCGACCGCACCACCGAGTCCCAGGTCTCCCTCATCGGCGCCGACGCGGCCGCCCAGGTCTCGGTCTCCAACCTCAAAGCCGACGACGCTGCTGCTGCTGCTGCTGCTGCTGCTGCTGCTGCTGCTCCACCGACGACCAACCGTGCCGAGCGCGGCGCCCCCGCCGTCGTCCTCTTCACCAGCGGCTCCACCGGCGAGCCCAAGGGCATCGTCATGACGCACGCCAACCTCGTCGCCAACGCCGAGGCCAACAGCCACGTCTACGCTGCCACGGCCCAGGACGGGGCCGACCTCGTGGTGCTGCAGCAGAGCGCCTACTCCTTCGACTTCTCCATCGACCAGACCCTCGCGGCTCTCACCAACGGCGGGCGCCTGCACGTCGTGGCCGCGCGCCACCGGGGCGACCCGGCCGCCATCAGCAAAATCATGCTCGACGAAGGGGTGACGTACACGTCCAGCACGCCGTCCGAGTTCGAGATGTGGCTGCGCTACGGGCGCGAGACTCTGCGCCGCTGCGCGTCGTGGCGATGGGCGTTTTCGGGCGGCGAGCCCATGCACCCGGGCCTGCCGCGCGAGTTCAGCAAGCTCAAGCTGGGCGGCAGCCTCCGCCTCTTTACGGGCTACGGCCCGGCCGAGACGACCTGCTTCTCGACCAAGATCGAGCTCCCTTATACGTCCCCTGATGCTATTCCCGACCCCCTGCCCGCGGGGCGCATGCTGCGCGGCTACACCGTGTGCGTCGTGGACGAGGCCCTGCGCCCCGTGCCGCACGGCGTCCCCGGCGAGATCGTCATCGGCGGCGCCTGCGTCGTGTCGGGCTACCTCGACAACGCGGCCTTCACCAGCGCCAAGTTCCTCGCGGACGAGTTCTTTGGGTCCGAGACCAAGGTGTACCGCAGCGGCGACCGCGGCCGCCTCCTGGGCGACGGCACCCTCTTCTGCGACGGCCGCCTCGAGGGCGACCTGCAGGTCAAGATCCGCGGCTTCCGCGTCGAGCTCGTCGAGGTCGAGGAGGCCATCCTCCGCTGCTCGGCCGGCACTTTATCTCAAGCTGTCGTCTCCGTGCGCGGGGGCGAGGGCGAGGACCGCTACCTGGCCGCCCACGTCGTGTTCCGCCCCGGCATTACCAGCGACGAGCAAGCAATGACGCTGCGCGCGCTGAGGCACAGCCTCCCGCTCCCGCCCTACATGCGGCCCTCGGCCATCGCGACGCTGGACGAGATCCCGCGGACGGCGCACCTCAAGGTCGACCGGAAAGCCATCGCCGCGCTGCCCGTCGTCGTCACGGGCAACGAAGATGACGAATCGGCTGGTGAGGACTCGCTCACCGACACCGAGCGTCGGCTGGCCGCCCTCTGGCGCGAGGTCATGCCCGTCGGCCCTGGCGCCCTGGGCTCCCATTCGGACTTTTTCCTCGTGGGCGGCAACTCGATCCTGCTCGTCAAACTCCAAAGCCGCATCCGCGCCTCGTTCGGCGCCGCGCCCAAGCTCGTGGCGCTCATGGGCGCGCACACGCTGGCCGCCATGGCCGCCGCCGTCGAGAGCAGCAGCGGCTCGGCCAAGGCCCTGATCGACTGGCAGGCCGAGACCGAGGTCCCCGAGGTCCTGCTCGCGACCAAGCCCAGGCCGCGCGCGCCCAAGACCGACAACATCAGGGTCCTGATGACGGGCTCGCAGGGCTACCTGGGCCGCCATATCCTAGCCGCCTTGGTCAAGGATCCCAAGGTGTCGAGCGTGCAGTGCCTGGTCCGCAAGGAAAACACCACCGCGCCGCTCGACGCCAAGGTGACCGAGATCGAGGCCGACGTGTCCCAGCCCAGCCTGAGCCTGTCGCCCTCCACTTTCTCCGCGCTGTCCTCCTCCATCGACGTCGTAGTCCACTGCGCCGCCAACCGCAGCTTCTGGGACCGCTACGAGACGCTGCGCGCCGACAACCTGTCTTCCGTCAAGGAGCTGGCCCGCCTGGCCGCGCCCCGCTCGGTCCCGCTGCACATCCTGTCCTCGGGCGCCGTGGCTACATACGACGGACCTGCCGGTGTGACGACGCCGCCCACCGACGGCAGCGACGGCTACGTCGCGACCAAGTGGGCGGCCGAGACGTTCCTGCGCCGCCTGGCCGCCGCCACGAACCTGCCCGTGCACAGCCACCGGCCGACGGGCGACGGCGCGCCCGTGGCGGACGAGGCGGGCGCGGCCGCCCCCCTGCTGGAGGAGCTGATGGGGCTCGTCGCCAAGGTGGGCGCGCGCCCCGATTTTAGCGGCGTGCGCGGCCACGTCGGGCTTGTCCCCGTCGAGCGGACCGTGGAGGACATCACAAAGGCCGTCTTGGCTTCTTCCGCCGCGGTTGCTAGTGTTGGTGGTGGCGTGCAGGTGCAGAGCCACAAGGCCGCGGTGCGCGTGGCGGTCGACGTTTTCGAAAAGCGCGTCGCCGCCGACGAGGAGGGCGCCATGAAGCTGCTCCCCGCCGTGGGGGTGCTGGACTGGTTTGGCATGGCCAAGCGCGCGGGCTGGGGCCAGCTGATGACCTCGTGGGAGCTGGTGATGGGGTCGAGCAGCACAGACGGCACCGGCGAGTTGGAGCTGCGGCGTTGACGAGGCAATCAATGGGCGGGCAGAATGGGTTGGGGAGAAAAAAGGTGGTTGACGAAAAAAAAAAAAAGATCCTGGGGAGAAAAAAATCGCGGAATATGTTGCAATGTTTTAACTAACGCGTCCACGCGTCAATTGAACTTTATCTACGAATATCTCCACAAGAAACAATGGTGAACACAAGTAACAAAAGCTAGATCATTCTGGCCCTTCAAGCCATTAATTCGGATCCAAAGTTAAGCATCCGAAGCGCCGCCAAAATCAATTAACCGGAGGCTGGGTGTGGGTGTGTCGCTCACATGTGAACCACGTTAGTGCTTTTCCATCTTGGCAGAGGTGGCAGGGGGTGTCCTTCTATTTAACCGCCTTGACAGCCCCCACGGAGTCGCTAATTACACGTCCAGTTCGCTGTTCCCGCGTCCATGTCCGTCGCTGCCGGTGCCAACGTTAAAAATGCCATAGGCTCCAACGCCTCCTGGCCCGGCCAGCTCGCACACAACATCTCGTTGAACACTGGAAAGTTGAAGCCGAAGTCGGGAGCGTTTTCTTCTTGCGAGGGCAGAGAGAGAGAGACAGTCGGTCAGTGGTTTCGCTCGGACTTTGCTCGTTGTTCCCAAGGAGGTTAAATCGTTACCTTGATACAGCTCTCCCACGTTGGCATGCGCCGCCGGCGTCGACGCCGCCGGATAGGGCGTGGCGCGCGTGTCAGGATCAGGATCAGCAGCAGCAGCAGCCTGGGCCGAGCTCTCGATTCCCAGCACCACGCTCAGCGCCTTGGCCGCCTTTTGCGCCTCCCTGGACAGCCCGCTGGACCGGGCCCAGATGTCGTGGGACCTCCTCAGGGCGTCGCGGATTGCGCTCCTGGTGATGTCGACCCTGTCGTCGCAGCTCTCGTCGTGATCGTCACCGTTCTCATCATCGTCGTCGTCCCCGCCGTGCGCCTGCTGCAGGTAGTAGCACAGCACGCTGACGGCGAGGAGGAAGTGGTGCGTGACGGGCGACGACACGCGCCAGCGCTCCTGGCTCAGCTGGCCCAGCGGCTCCGTCTGCTCGCGCAGCATCTCCTGGAACTCGAGCAGCCGCAGCGCGGCCCCCAGGCACTTGTGGCGGGAGCAACCGTATTGCCGCGCATCCCCGGCGGGCGGGCGCACGTACCCGCGGTGCAGCACGACGCGGGCGCGGTGCACGTTGATCTCGAGCATGACCTTTTGCATGACGGCCTGGGGCGGGTCGGCGATGCAGAGGGCGCCCGAGCGCCAGCGCAGGCACTCGGGGATGGCCGCGTGCGCCGCCTCGAGGTCCGCGTCCAGGCTCAGCACGTCGGCGTGCCGGTGCGGGCGCGCGCCCGTGGCCAGGTCCCAGATGGCGCCCATGACCCTTGAGATGCGGGCGCGCACGATGCGGAACAGGATGGGCGTCAGGTCCGTCTCGGGCCGCGGCGGCGGGAGCTCGCGCGCGGTAAGGTCCAGATCACGATCAAGCAGGTTCGCGGGCTCGGCCGTGTCGGCCTGCCACGGCCTGATGGTGCGGGGCAGGCCCATCTGGGCCGAGACGCCGAGGTCGATCTCGACCATGGTCATCCACACGCGCCGATGCATCTCGGCGGCCAGAGGGCTCAAGCCGGCAAAGTGGCGGGGGTCGCGGTGGTAGCCCATGCGAGTGGCGAGCTGCGTCATGGTGCCCACGAGTATCCACATGCCCGGCTCGGCGTCGCTGCTGCGGAACAGCTCCGCGGCCAGGTACAGCACCAGCGTCTCGAGCACGTGCGGCCCGCCCCGGATGTAGTCGCCCACGACGAGGCACTGCACCGCGCGCTGCTGGAACGCCTCGACCCGGTCCTGCAGGTGCCGCCGCGCCGACACCATCTGGGGCGTCTGCTCGCCCGGATCGAGCCGGTGGCGCTGGAACTGGCTGGCCAGGCACATGAGCGTGAACAAGAGGCCGACCCAGACGATGGGGCTCGCCGACGGGCGCTTCCAGAACTCTTCGTACTGGCGTCGCGTTAGTGGCCGTGATTAGTGCAAGACAGATGGAGGAACACGGTTTACCTCGTGCAGAAACTGGCCGCTATGTAGGACAGCTGCAACATTTTTAGCACTGCACTGACTTCACAGGGAGCACGCACAAGCACAGACGCAAACACACACGCACCTGGCGACAATTCGAACGAGTTAAAGTAGCACGAAATCAGCTGGTCGACGAAGGGCCGCGTGGGGACCGACGCCAGGATCTCCTCCTTGGTGGCCATCGCGGAGCATCCGTAAAGCAGCTGCGGCCCGCTGAGCCGGGGCGCGGGGGCCTCGCCGAACAGCAGCGGGCCGTTTTCGACCGGTGTGCCGTGTTGCGGCGGCGGCCTCTCATCCTCCAAGTGGCCCTTTAGGTCGTCGATGCCGTCGAGCACGGCGGCCCAGTGTGCGCTGTTGACGTAGCTCGTTCCGGATCTGGTTAGTCGGGTGCTCCCGCAGTCTGACTCGGCGGGCGACGAGGGGCCGCAAGGACCTGTCGTGGCGGGCGAGGCCGCGCTAGGGGTCGACGGGCCGCTGGGAGCCTGGTCCCTTGGCGGCCTCGGCACGTGGGGGTGGTGGTGCTGCTGCCGCTGGGACCGTGCCAGGCCGACCAGCTGCTGCTCCAGGTATCTGATACGGTCCTGCGGCGTCAGGTCGGTCGACTGTGACGCGTCCCCGACCCTCGCCCCTGCCGTCTGCGGAGGCCAAGTCTGATACGAGCAAGACGAGCCCATGACACGCTTAGCGCAGTTGGTGCAGGGGAGCTGCCGGTCGCAGCGCAACCTGGAAAGAGGGGCGGCCGTCTGGTCAGTCGGCAGTCGGCCCACGCGGGGCCACCCGGCTTGGCTCGACTCACTTTCTCTGGCGGCACAGGTTGCACGACAGCTGTGGCCGGTCTCGTCGGCGGCTCGAGGGCAACCGGGCTCTTCCCCGTGCCGTCTTGCCAGGCCCCCATTCCACCAGAGGAGACGCGGCTGTGGCTGTGGCTGTGGCTGTGGCTGTGGCTGTGGCTGTGACTGTTGCGGCTGTTGCTGGTGCTGCCGTGTTAGTGGCGGGACTCTGGGGATGGCTGCTGCCGTCGGACATATCGGGCAATGGCGTGGATGGGGATCTCCTGGATCTCAGCGTATTCCGCGAGCGCCAGGGCCGAGTCGACTTCGCCCAGCACCAGCGCTGCGCTGTGGAGATAATAGCAGAGAAGGCAGCGGGTTGCTCGAGCTGGTGGCGCCCCAGTACCCGAAACATGTCCGTTCCGATGCTCCGGTTCGATCCTCCGATCCGATGCCCCATCTCTGGGGTACGCTAACGCGGCTGGACCCGCAGGACCAGGGCCCCCAGGCTGGCAGGGCGATATGCGGGTCCCAGCGACATGCATGCCCTGACTCGCTTGAAGTTCACCACCTCATCTTCCCCTGCGCGCATGGCGAGACGACCAGGGTCCTATCGGGAGCGGTTATGCTGCGTGTTAGCGAGATGGACTCGTTGTCCAGAAGAATTCTGGAGCCCGGCCTTGCTAGCAATCCCACTCTCCGTAAGGACGAGTGCCCACGGGTATTTGCAAGCCACCGAGTCCACAGCGCGCCGCCACTTCGGAGTATCGGACCTGAGCACTCCCACGGGCGGTAATGTCGCAAAAAGGGAGTCGGCGACGGCTTCAATAAAAACAGTGACTGATGCCCACGTCCTGCCGGCAGCTGTTGAAGGGGCCATCCGCTGTCATTCCTTTGGCCTAGTGTTTCACGACATCGAACAAGTACGAACTCCCTGCTTGAACCCTCGACCGGCATCACGCCCTCTCCCCTTCGACCGCATACAGAGCCCAAGACGGTAAAGGAGCGAGCTCTGTCGATCGACCATGGCGGAACAAAGTGATTCCTCGACGATCAACATAGAGATGGGGCCAAACCAGCCACCAGCCACAACCAACTCTAGCGAAAAGCTCGACCCGAACATTGTCGACTGGGACGGGCCCGACGATGAGCAGAACCCGCGCAACTGGTCCAACCTTGAGAAAAACGTGCACATTGTGCTGGTGAGCCTGATCACGCTCAACGCGTAAGTGCCTCGCACCCGCCACCCTCCCTCCCAGTCTCTCCACCGCCCCTCCGCCTGCCCTCGGCTAACGAGTCGCGTGCCGCAGCAACCTCGCGGCCACCATGTTCGCGCCAGGGGCCGCCCAGCTAGTGTCCGAGTTCGCCATCACCAACAGCATCGTGGCGGTCATGACGGTGAGCCTGTACGTCCTGGGCTTCGCGCTGGGCCCGCTGGTGCTGGCGCCGCTGTCGGAGCTGTACGGCCGCCTCCCCGTCTACCACGGCTGCAACCTCGTCTTCACTGCCTTCACCGTCGGCTGCGCCTTCAGCACCGGGCCCGACATGTTCCTCGCCTTCCGCTTCCTGGCTGGCTGCGCCGCCTCCGGCCCCATGACCGTCGGCGGCGGCTCCATCGCAGACCTGAGGGCGCCCAACGAGCGCGCCCGCGCTATGGCCCTGTTTACCACGGGTCCCCTGCTCGGCCCCGTCCTGGGGCCTATCGTCGGCGGCTACGTCTCCCAGTACATTGGCTGGCGGTGGACCTTTCGCATTATCCTGATCCTGGTATGCAACCCTGATTCTTACCCCAGTGCTGGGTCCGGTAATAACGACGAATCACACGTCGGCTGACAATGCTCCCAGGCCGGTGCCGTCGGGGCTGCCTTCGCCCTCTACGGGCGCGAGACCAACGCGCCAGTCCTCCTGCGCCGCAAAGCCGAGCGCCTGCGCAGGGAGACGGGCAACCAGGCGCTCACGCCCAAGGTGGCGCGCCAGGGGACGCCGCGCCAGATGTTCGCGGCGGCCATTGTGCGGCCGTTGAAGCTGCTCGTGCTGTCGCCCATCGTGCTGCTCATCTCGCTGTACACGGGCATCCTGTTCGGCCTCGTCTTCCTGCTCTTCACCACCTTCCCCGAGGTCTTCCACCACACGTACGGCTTCAGCGCCGGCACGGCGGGCCTCGCCTACCTCGGCCTCGGGCTCGGCATGGGCGTCGGGCTCCTCGTCTTCACCAAGCTCAGCGACCTGCTTGTCAGGCGGGCGGGGGACGGCGCCTCGCACAAGCCCGAGGACCGCCTGCTCCTGATGAAGTGGGTCGCGCCCATCACGCCGCTCGGGCTGTTCCTCTACGGCTGGAGCGCCGAGTACGCGGTGCACTGGATCGTGCCCATCCTCGGCACCTTCTTCGTCGGCCTGGGCTGCCTCTTCGTCATGATCCCCGGCCAGATCTACCTGGTCGACTCGTACGGCGCCGCGGGGGCGGCCTCGGCCCTCGCCGCCAACCTGCTGGTCCGCAGCCCCTTTGGCGCGTTCCTCGGTCTCGTCGCGGCCCCTCTGTACAGCAGCCTCGGGCTCGGATGGGGTAACAGCGTGCTGGGCTTCATCTGCCTCGCCTTTACGCCCGTGCCCTGGCTCTTCCACCGCTACGGCGAGACGCTTCGCACCCGCTTCGCTCTGGAGCTGTAGGTAGCGACGGCAATAAGGTCACGACCCCCCATCCATGTATGACATACATGTATGTACTTTACCCGCGGACACCCGAGACCCTAAAACAGGTCATAAATCAGCAAGATAAGCTCATCCTGTTCCCCACCCCTCGTGCCAAGTCGGGTAAACGCTCTGGAAACGTATATCGGGCGGACCGTCCCAGTGGTCGGAACGGGCGATCGTCATTTTGATTCCCCGAACCCCACCGTATCGCCCACACCCCCACGCTTGCTATCCGTAGCCGCTGCTTCGCCAGGCGGTCAACCTCCCAACTTCCCGTTGTGGACGCGACGGCGAGTCAAGGGTCCAGGGCATATACCACCCTGTATCCCCGCCACGGCGGGCCGGTCGTTGAGATGCAGGCAGGCAGATGCGCCGCAGACAACGTGGCATGTGTAGGCTGCGCCCTGCTCATTGGTGCAAAACGACGTCGTGCGCCGTCCAGGAAAGGTGCCCTCCCCTGGCCCGCCCCGTACTCCTCTTCTTTCCCACCCCCGCGAACGTAGGGGATGTGGCCTGGCCTGTTGGTCTGCGTTGGTCCCGGAATCTCCGGCGACACATGGCGCAACCAGGCCCCGGCTCTCCTATCCATCTCGCACCACGTCAATGGATTCTTAGCCATCTCGCTTATCCCGACAAGGGCTGTCTCCAAACCTTATTTTCCTCGGGTCGTTCTTTGCGTGTCAAAGGCTTGGTGATGCTTATTTTCCTTCGCGGAAGAACTTACTTTGTGTGCGCACTTATACCTAAGCCAACCTGGGGAAACTTGATATTTCAAGGCTTTTGAACCGTGCCCGGACATGCCATAAAGTGTTACCATCTTGTGACTGCTCTCCCTATTTAGGATCCCAAAAGCCGAAGAAGAAGAGAGGAAGAAGAAAGAAGCACAGAACGGAAAGAAGACCATGCCGACGACCATGGAGTTTCCGCACGCTGACGCCCAGCAGCAGCAGGATCAGCAACAGTCCATCCGGTCGTCCTGCGACCGCTGCCGGTCCAAAAAGCTTGGCTGCGTCATCTCCGCCAAGCGAACCAGGGCGATTGGCGACGCTCCGCAGCAGTGTGTGCGCTGCCTCCGCGCCAACGTCGACTGCGTCTTTAGCCGCCGCGCCCGGACGACGCGCCGCAACAGCGCCGCCAACATCTCCTCGTCGGCCACGGGCATCGAAAGGAGGGCCAACAGGTTGCTGGCGGACAAGACGGGAGAGAGGAGACACCAACTGCGACGCCAACAAGATCAACAACAACAACAACAACAACAACAACCCATGACCCCGTGCGAACCGTCCGTCTTGGACGACCCGCTCGGCGAGGCGTCGGTTGCGTCGCCGCTGTCCGACTACGGCGTCTGGTTCGACGGCTTCATACTCGGCGCTCTGTCGGCCGACCCTTGCGGCACAGACGACGCCGTCCCACCACCACCACCACCAGGCGTCGCCTTCTCCGTCACGGCGCTCGACCACGACGTCTTCATTGACCCCACACTAGACCTCCAGGGCGGCGGCGGCGGCGGCGAGCCTGACCTCGACGCGCTCTGGGGCTGCGACGCCGACGCCTGGACGTCGTCGTGGCCGCCCCCGCCGTCGCCGTCGTCGCCGTCGCTGCTCCCCGACACCGCGTCCGAGTTCCAGACGCTGTCCGCGGCCTCGAGCGGGGGCGGGGGCGTCCCGCCGGCAGACGGCTCCCCGCTCGAGCTCTGCACCACGCTGGACCAGCAACAGCAGCAACAACCAGGGACCGCGCTCCACGCCGTGAGGGACCTCTCCGGCCTGGTCAGCGACATCCACAGTACCACCAACAACCTCCAGCTGGCCGTCGCCGCAAACGCCCAGGACCTGGACAGGTACCCCGTCGGCCAGGTGCTGACCCTCGCGCGGCGGCTGGTGAGCACGGTCCGCGACATCTTGTCGGCCGGGCAGCAGGGCAGGAGCACATCCGAGCCTCGGCGCTTCTCCCCGGCCTCGGACGCGTCCCCGCGACACGGCGAAGCAATCACCGACACGATGATGATGACGTCTTCCTCCTCCTCCCCTTCCCGCCACCGCCGCCGCCGCCCCCAGTCGTGCGTGACGATGGCAGCGACGCCGTCGTCCCCGCCCCGCTGCCAGCAGCAGCAGCAGCAGCAGCAGCAGCAGACACGCCCGCCTCGTCGCTGCCCGTGATGCTCCTGGTGCTCAGCTGCTACGTCTCGCTCGCCAAGCTGTACGCGACCGTCTTTGCGCAGATGCAAGGCTTCGTGCCGCCGCGGGGGGGCGGCAGCAGCAGCAGCAACGCCATCGCCATCACGCACCACCACCGTCGGCTGCCGCCCCCGGCGGGGGGCGACGATGACGCGGCCTGCAGCCGCCTCTACGTCGCCGTCCAGATGCTGCTCGACGAGTTTCAGGCGGTCGAGGACGCGCTGCTGTGCGCGTGTGGAGGAGGTGACGACGAGGCCGAGAGAAGCACGCCCACCTGGTTCGCGGCGCAGCTGCAGGCGGCCAGGCTGATGCTGCGGCAGGAGGCGGCCGCTGGCGGCGGCGGCTTAATGGACGAAGGGCAGGTTTTAAAAGCTATACTACGGAAGCTCATGTATGTGTAAAACATCGGGGCGCCGCATCCAACAATTTAATATTCGCCCTGTCACATGGCAAGAGCCAGACGGACTTTCCCGCATCATCATCACGTGGCTCCTCTCCATTTACACCCCAGCGTTGGGCTGGAAAAAAGTCCCGCTCTCTTTGCTACCATGACGCGCTTTGCCGAGGGTCTAGGCCGTCTCCAAAGGTGAGATAACAAAATATGCAAAGTCATATAGTTGCGTAATAATTCGTAATTACTATAGCCTAACCATAGCCGTAAGGGTTTTGCTCCATTTTCGCCAACAAAACCCTTTAGTCGGATTTCGGGGCGGTAATAGCGGCGTGCGTAAGGTTTATCGAGCCGGGACAACTTGAAATGCTGGTCGAAACGCGGAGTTGTGACGATTTGGGGTGAAGCCCACAGGCCTTGAAGACGCGCTGAACGCGCGCCGAATACCGGAATCCCCTCTTTCCTTCCTTTCTCCCCTAGATTAGACATCCTTCCTATCCAGGTCGTGCTATTAAAGGAGCAAAAGCGCTAGGAGCATATTTTTCGTTTTATTCAAGGATTGGAATACAAATGGGTGTATAGGGCGGGGCGCAGCAAACGGCCGTTGGACGGTAGGGGAACGCTTGGCAGGGGAGCAGGAGCATCCGTTTTTAGAGGCGAAAACCTTCGTTTTTGGACGCCTTGGAACTCAATCTCTCCAAAAAATCTCCCAGTACTAAAACATATAAGGGCCGAACTAGTACTCAGGTGGGTAACCACTGGGGAATCCTTGGTGTAGTATGTTTTTGCTTTTTCTTTTTCCCCTTTTTAGCTTTTTTTGCTGACGGGCTATTGAAAACACGTCGCTGGACTGGCAGGTCGAGTCGGCCAAGATGGCGGCCGTTTACGGGAACGCCTGGCTGACGCTGGCCGCGGTGCACTCGCGCGATGGGGAATGGCGGTTTGTTCGCGTCTACTCCCGACTTGGAGGTCTGCGGCCGCTCGCCGGCGGGCGAGCCTTACCCGCATATAATTTCGGCGACGCATCGACCACCGCCTCGAGGTGCGGGTCGACGGGGGCGACGAGGCCGCCTCGAAGGGGCGCACGGAGAGATCGACAGACTGGGAGGGATATATGCAGAGTCTCAGTCGAGGACTCTCAGTCGAGAACTCTCAGCCGAGGACGTTTGTGCTGATATAGATGGCTCGGATCCAGGCTAGATGACGGGGTTGGAACCAGTCGAACCCTTCTCGAAGAGGCAGGAAGAAAGAGCTGCGGTGAAGACGCCATATGCAACGCTAATGAGGGGAGATGGCGAGCTCAGCGATTATTACGCCCTGCTGATTGGTGCAACACCGACAGCAAACTTTGGGACATGTCTTGGCATCCACAGTCGCCTTCCTTTTTAGGCCATGGCCATGGATGACAGCATCCACCGGCTGCGAAAGGCCATCAATATCAGCATGCATCTGCATGCGAGAATGCATGCGAGAATAATATGGTCGGTGCAACACTCGGCCGAGCAGCGGCGGCATTAGAGTGGAGGAATTCGCAAAAAGGCCGTGGCCAAAGAGCAACGAGCCATAAAAACGAACCTTTTCCCCTATGCCCTTTATCGCTGCATCTCCATCCTCACCTGCCCACCTCCTCCAAGCCTGCAGCCCGCAGTCAGCTCCACACCTCCACCATGCGCTACACCACGTTCGCGGCCTGCGCGGCCTTTGCCGCGTCCGCCGTCCTGGCCAAGGAGCTGCCCAAGGACGAGCTCCGGGCGGCGGAGCTGTACGACAGCGGCGTGGTGCACCAGGGCATCATGGAGCGCAAGACGGCCTTCTGGGAGGCGTCGTCGCGCGCCGGCCTGCTCGACTCGGCGTCGTACCCGCGGCTCAACTACACAAAGTGCGTCGACGGCAAGGCCGAGGCTATCAAGGGCGACCCGCTGCACACTTTCAGGTGCAAGAACATGGACCTGTACGACTTTATCAACCACGCGGAGCTGGGTTCACCCGGGTCCGACGCCCCGAACCGCGTCGGCTCCGGGTCGTGGGGCTGGACTGATCCCGAGTCCGGGCGTGAGTTTGTGGCCAACGGCGCCTTTCAGGGCACCCAGTTCCTCGAGATCCTGCCCGAGGGCCGCCTTAGGCACCTGGGGTTCCTGCCCAGCCACGCCCCGGACACGTCGCGTTCGCTGTGGAAGGAGCTGAAGAGCTACCAGCACTACATCCTGATCTCGTCGGAGCTTCCCGGGCATGGCGTTCAGATTTTCGACCTGCGCAAGGTATGTTGCTGCTGGTCGCTGACTCTCTTGTTGTCTGCGGTGTGGTCCACGCGATACGTAAAAGCCATACTAACAGGGCTTGTCTAAGCTCCTCCCCCTGACCGACGCCGAGATCCCAAAGCGCTTCGGTAAGGCGGACTACACCGGCCACTTTAACGAGATCGCTGAGGGTAGGACCCACAACGTTGTCGTCAACGAGGAGGGCCAGTACGGCGTCACGGTGGGCAACCAGCCCAGGGATAAGGACTGCCTAGGCGGCCTGATCTTTTTCGACCTCAAGGATCCCGCCAACCCGAAGAGGATAGGGTGCAACAAGGACGACGGCTACGTGCACGATGTGAGTCAAAACCCGTAGCGAAGTCTCCCGTGATTACCTGCTAACAGTCTGCAAGGCCCAATGCATCATCTACCGCGGCCCCCACGAGAAGTACTACGGTCGCGACATCTGCTACGGATACAACGAGGATAGCTTGACCATTTACGACGTGACCGACAAGGCCAACTCCAAGATTATCTCCATAACCTCGTACGAAGGGGCCAGCTTCACACACCAAGGATGGGTGAACAACCCGCAATGGCAGGAGTGGCTATACATGGATGATGAGTAAGTTGTCCTTTTGCGCCTCGAGATCTTCTTCTTCTTCCTCGTCCAAAAAAAACCCCCTTCCAAACTAACCTCCAAACCCAGACTCGACGAGCAAAACGCCGCCGGCCTGGGCAAGGACGGGTTCCCAGTTACGTACATCTGGGACATCCGCGACCTCGAGCGCCCGAGGCAGACGGGCTTCTGGAAGGGCACGGTGCGCGCCATCGACCACAACCAGTACATCAACCCGCACGACGGGCTCATGTACCAGTCCAACTATGGCGCCGGCCTGCGCGTTTACGACGTTTCGTCGGTGCCCTCGGACCCCACGGGCGCCTCCGTCGGCGAGGTCGCCTACTTTGATGTGCACCCCGAGGACGACGCCGAGCCGGGCGGCGGCGCCGCCGCCTTTACGGGGTCGTGGTCGTCGGTCGCGCGCTTCAAGTCGGGGTTCGTGTGGATCAACACCTTTGAGCGCGGCGGCTTCCTGGTCAAGCCGACCAGGGGCGCGTACGTGCCCTTCAGGCCGGCGGGCTGCAGCGCCGACAACTGCCTGCGCGGCCTGCGGTCCGACGCCCGCCTGGCCGAGGCTAGAGGCTTCTGCGCCGGGTTCCTGGGCGACGCCACCGCCGACGTCGCCGTCGTGCCGGCGTTTGCGGCCGCCGCGTGCGCGCAGGGCCAGAACGTCATCTCGCGCGTCAGCTCGGCGTGCAGGTGCCTGCCCACACCGACGCCGACGGTGGCTGCGCGCGGGGCGGCGGCGGCGGCGGCGGCAGTAGCGACGGGTGTCTAGGTAAGCAGTTCCTAGACTGGAAGCTCGCTGGCAGGGGGGAAGGGGAGGGTAATAATTCGACGAAAATAGATAAATGACAAGAGGCATTAATGTAAAATACCCATCATGTGCCTGATGAACCATGGGCCTGGGAACCATGTCGGATGTCGTAGCGCTCGGTTAAGGTTAAACGATCTTGGCACGTCGTTGACCACCAACAACCTCTCGGGGATCATTGTTTTCACCTTTTATTTTTAAGGCCCTGACACCTGACCGGGGTGGCATCTCGGGCTAGCCCGCAATTGCTTGTCTTGGCCCTGCAGCTGTCATGTCATGTCGTGTCACGAACCCGATGTCGCGATGGGTCGCCGCTGTGGGGGAAGAAATTGCTTTTGGAATCAGATCACATCCAACAGCCTCCAGTTCTTTCTACAACCACCCACTTTCCTTCCCGTTTAATTCCTACCTTCAATTCTTTAAACAACCTCTCGGACGGCATCGTCAGGGATGCTGAGTGCGGCGGCCTCCGGGGTTGTTGGGAGCTGGAGGGATGTCGTTCTCATTTCGACTCATAATCCTGAGTGCCACTCCACTGTTGTGTCGAGAGGCAAAGAATACAACTATTTTCACTTGGAGCAAACACACGTGCCTGATTATCCCCCCCTCCTCACCACTCACTTCTCACCCTTCTCCTCCTGCCTCTCGGGCACCTTCTCGACCGTGGCCTCGATCTTGTCCGTCATCAGCTCCTTGACGCCGCGCAGGAACCAGATGGCCGCGATGGCCAGCACCACAAACGGGATGACGCTCGCCCAGGCCCTCCGGTACGCGTACAGGTACTGCTCCCTACTCGCTTCCGTCGCCGCCGCCCACACCCCGGGAGTGGCGCCCGCTATCTGCGCCGTCTTGGCCTTGCCGCTGCCCAGGGCGGCGACGAGGGCGGGCGCGCTGGACGGCGGCAGGCCCGCGGCGACGGCGGCGGAGGCGACGGCGGGCGCCAGGTTGGCCGACAGGTGGCCGTTGATGATGGCGTTGAGCACGGCCGAGCCGAAGGCGCCGCCGATGGCGCGGGTCGAAAACGCGAGCCCGGTGGCCGTGGACAGGAAGGCGTGCGGGGCTGTGAACTGCACGCACGCCACCAGGAGGGTCAGGGGCCCGGACTGGCCGATGCCGCAGAGGACGTTGATGAGGTAGTGGATCTTGGACCAGTGCAGCTCGGTGCAGGCATACATGATGGTGCTTTTGGGGGATGGGGTTAGTTTTTTTACGGGCAAGGAGAGAGAGAGAGAGAGAGAGAGAGAGAGAGAGAGAGACGAAGAAAGAAAGACTACACGACCAACGAAA